GACGCCTACATTTGAGTCGACTCAAACCTAGACGCCTACATGATCTCCCCCACCAGCCTTCGCTATTACGTACCGATGATTTCTGAACGCTGGGAACGACTGCGAACTTCAAACGACGCTGTTTGGTTCTTTAGGTGTAGCGACCTCGTTTGGACGCTGCAGCGATGGCGACGGCCCCGAAACCCGTGCCTCGGATGCACACATGCAGGGGGGAGAACGAGGAGAACAGCGGGAGAAGGATTGTACACGCGTTAGAGGGAGGGAAGATTCACACATGACGCAAAGACGGAAAGCGACACGACTCTCTAGGCGCTCCTATTCTATGGACCCCCCCCCTTTACAGCCTTAGCTCCCGCGTACCTTTGATCTTTTCCTGATCGCCCGCGATCTCCAAGCAAACTTCTACGCCGACTTTCAAAAGAACGCGAGAGAGCTTCGAACGACGCCAGGCGATTATTGAGAGCAGCCTTCGTCGGACACTGCGGCGATGGAGGCGACCCGAAACCCGCTTGCGAACGACGCCAGGAAATTTTTGGAATGTCTGAAGCAGCCTTCCTCCGACACTGCGCGGACCGTCCAAATCCCGCGCCTCCGAGTTAATCGCAGACATGCAGCGGGGACTCTACAAAAAATTGGGAGGACAGGGACAGGGGGAGAGGGACGGTCCACGCGTAAGTGAAAGGGTAATCTCAAACATGACGCGAAAGGGGAAAGCGACGAGACTCTCTAGGCGTTCCTATCCTAGACGCTTACATTAATCCCCCTGTAAGTTACACGTACCGTTGATCTTTCTTTCTTTGATCGCCTGCGATCTCCCAGCGAACTCCTGCGACGATTCTTTGACATATCTTTCGGACGTTGCAGCGATGACGACGGTCGAAATCCCGTGCCTCGGGCACGAACATGCAGAAGAGCGGAGGAAGAGGACAGGGGGGAACAGATGGTACACGCGTTAGTGAAAGGGTAGCTTCACATATGACACAACGAAGGGAAACGACGAGACTCTCTAGGCGGTGCTACTAGCACGATAGTATCTCCCCACACAGTCCTCGCTCTTACGTACCCCCGATTGCGTGCGAAATCCAAGGGAACGCCGAGGAGCTCGATGCGAACGCATGCGATGCTCGTAGCGTACGCGCCGAAAGCAATCTCCCGACGGCCACGTCCTGTTCACCGTTTTGACGCATCGAAACGACCACCTCCTGACGACCGAATTTTGGAAACAAAGCGCCGCTTCTGATGCCGTCGGTGAACACCATTGCTGCCATTTGCGAACGCTGCTTCTCGCCGCTGATTCGTTCTCCAAAAAACGCTGTATTGTTTCCAGCTCTTGACAGGCAACTGTCAATGCCGTACGGTTGGAGGCTGACGCCGATGCTGCTCCCACCTCTGCCTCGGTCTCACGGGTGTTGAGAAACGTTTCTTTCAGACTGCCAGTTTCGACGGTGGAGCTAATACTCCTCCATCACTCGGACTGGAGGATGCTGCTCTAGGCGCTATCCCAAGACTGGCCAAAACAACCGCTTCCGACGAACGAGCCACTCATGATTTGGACGACCATTTCCGGATAGTATACATGTCAGCTTTTGCGACTTGTCGCCTTGTCGCCGCGTCATTCTACTCTGGAGTTTCGCAGGCTGCTGGAGGGCAGACCGAGACAGCCAGGAGCCTGATAAGGTGTAGAGCTACGGTTTGCTACTGTGAGACGCCTCCGTCGCGATCTCTAAGAAGCCTTACTGGATGTCGCAACCGCCGTACAGTAACGTGCGACGGTGCAAGTGAAAAATCATTCTCAGAGTAAACTGTATGAACGCTGAGCCTAGCTGAATCTACGTTACCACGAGCAGCAGTTAGGCCGTTTCTTCTATAAAGTCACCCTTCGCTAAACGAAAACGAAGACCACAATAGAACCTTTGCTCTAAGGAGGCGAAAGTCTAACGTTTTCGCAACGCAGCACCAGCACGCAGTTATTTTTATGCGAAAGCTAAGCCGTGGACTAATAGCAGATAGAACCAGTACAGGAACCGCAGGCTATAGACAAGTTTAAGCACTCGATTACTACCCAATAGAAATTTATAAATCCTCCATGGCTAGTACTCATCGGTCTAATCAGTTCGAACCGTAGCCGTACTGTTGCAGAAGCTAAGAGACCCGAAGTCGGCAACATAGAAGACTAGTTTCTAGGAGAACTACGAGGTCTAGTGATCATTCTGAGCAATGATTGGGCATTGAGGAAAGTCTTGGGAATGACCTGGGAGTTCGAATGCTCAGGGAGAGCGCAGCGGCAGCTGCTGGCTGGACTGATGCCATGGCATGGCATGGGATTTTCCTTCGGGAATGGTGAGAGTTTGGCGGCTCACTGATGGCCCGCGCTTTCTGACATTCTCGTCGGCTGATTGGGCCGAAGTTGGGCGCCAAAGGTCTGACAAAGCCTCTCAATTTGAAAGTTTCCGGCAATTTCTCGCTGTAACGTGGCTCGGTACTGTGTTCTCTGTGATGTTTTCACAAAAGGGTCGGTCTTACACACGATATTACCAAAAGCCCCATTCATTCTTCTTGAACATTATCCTGCCATAGTAAGGGTTAAAGGGAAATACTTTGCAAGCATCTAGCCTACACCGAAACGATGATACATATTGCACATCAAGAGGTCTGCAAAACTTCCATGTAGTGGTGGCAATTTAATTGTGCAAAATGGGTGATGGTTACTCAATCGCATCAAAATTGTGTTTACAGCATACATCAATAATGTGACTTTGGAAGGGATGAGATTGATGGTTGTGATTGGCAATGCCGTGTCTTAAAAGCTTTGCCTTGCCAGTGTCAATATGTTTTTGTGTGAATTTCGAGTACCTTATATAGAGGCTACGAGTTACCCTTTTCAGCAGCAAATTGAGAACAGTGTTGTCGTCTTCGGGCAACGCGAACCGTCGAAGGGGATACTAGATCTATCACATGCTTGATCGACCATTGAGATGCAGTTCGATGCGTCACACTTTCCTGAAATTTTGGTCGCGCCAAACGACGTGGAACTTGGTTGCCGGGACAGGGCTCCCGATTGGTCCAGGTCTGGTGTCCGCATGCGACTGTCCCTAGAAGGGGGGTTTGCTTTACTGCCGGTGCTCCCCGATTTTCACGCTCCCAGCAATTTTCAATCTGGTTGTACTGGATTGACCGACCTTCCTCAACCGACTGGCACTTAGCAAAGTCCGAGTCAGTACTTACAGAGTTTGTACAAAGCTTCGGACAGTTTCTCCCCAAACGTCACTCACAAGTTCTGATTCCTGACCACACGCGTCGCTGTAGGTGAACGCGCCTCGCAAATTGTCCCCCTCATCTGTGAAAATCAACAATCTGGACCGCCCTACCCCCGCCAATATCTCTGATTGGTCACCTCGCCCGCTGCTCATCAATAGCGGCGGTTCGGTCGGTGCTCCAAACCAATAGCCTTTCGAGCTTTTCGATCTTGCTGCCCCTCCTCCCCCTCAGATTCATCCGAACTCTTCGGCGAAATCGCGCGCATCGGCGGAAATCGCGTTTGTCTCAAAAGAATCGACCCAAATTGCTCACACTTTGCCACGCGGGCGTTTTTCTCAATTAAATGGACCGCTTTTCCCCCCACCCCCTTAACCCGTTTTTCCCGCCCTTCCCCCCCGAAATTCGGGGAATCACAAAACGTCACGAATACATGTTTTTTCGTAACGCTAAGGTTTCGACATCCTAGCGACATCTGACTGGAAAGAACACCTATGACTTTTAATGAGAACTTTAACAGAAATAGGGATTTGACCTTTTATGTTCCACTGCAGTAACATTTTTTAGTATGATAATATTTACTTTCTGACTCATATCAAGCAGTAAAATCAAACAAAATATCTACCTAGTTCAAAAATAGTTAGTTTTGTTTTCCCTGGAGTGACTATTATTATTAGTTTATAAAATTTAACTCTTAGATTTTTATGGTTTTCAGAGAGAGTTTTATATAGATATTAAAAAAACAAAAAAAACTATAAGTTATTTGTGATAAGTTTTCTTGCGCCCCTATCTACATTAATGGCATGAAAACATATGAAAAATGACCTATAGGTTTTGTATGATTTTTATATATCTATATACACCTAATTCCAGAAACCATAAAAAACTAAGAGTTAAATTTTGGAAACTTATTATAATAGTCACTCATTGGCAAAACTATTTTTGAACGAGGTAGATATTTTCTTATTTTACTGCTTGATGTTATTCAGAAAATATATTTTATCATACTATTATGAATAATGAAAGAAATACGTTACTGCAGTGGAACATAATTAATAAAACTCTATTAGTGCTAAAGTTCTCATTAAAAGTCATAGGTGTTCTGTCCAATCAGATGTCGCTAGGGTGTTGGAATCTTAGCGTTACGAAAAAGCATGTATTCGTGACTTATTGTGATTCCATGAAATTCCGGCTGGTGCCCGAATTTTGGAGGGGAAGGGCGTGAAAAACGGGTTGGGGGGGCGGGGGGAAAGTCGGTCCATTCAATTGAGAAAAACGCCCACGTGGCGAAGTGTGAGCAATTTGGGTCGATTCTTTTGAGACAAACGCGATTTCCGCCGATGCGCGCGATTTCGCCGAACTCTTCTTTCTTTCGGTCTCCGCCATTTTCATCATTCTCCGCCAGTTTCGTAGTCTTGCATTCTCGTCTTCATCGTATGATAGGCAGTGCGGCTGCCTCGCTCTCTTGTGGCCACGTAGGGCCTCTTCATCCGTACGTCACCAGTAACGATGACCGAAAAATAGAAAACTAACGCCTCTTATATGTGGGTTGAACTAACAACTCTTCTCCTGAAGTTACGCTTCGTTTGACACTGCCATTGCGACCCGAGTAGTCAAGCTTGTTGCAAGCGTTTTGAGCCGGCGACGTGAATGAATATCGCGACTTTTCCGTTATTAGATCAGTAGCATCGTACATTCCTCCGACCTATGGATACCATAATTGAATTCGCTGACTCGCGTCATTTATGGGGTTCGCTCGCAGTTATCGTCGCATCGTTGCTCGCGTTGCTCCTCTATCGCGTAGTCTGGCTTCCCTATCGCCTCGTCGTCGCATGCAAACGACAAAACATTCCCTTTCTACCGTTCTGGCCTCTCATTGGCCAGATTCCCGAGCTACAGTCGCAGTGGCAAGTCAAGGACCCCATTTCGCCTGCCACGTCAGCACCGCTCGGGCCGGAAACGGTCACGCCGTTGCTGTGCGACTGGATTGCTCGGCACGGGACGGTGTTCGGTTTCGCCGCTGGCCCGCAACCGGCGCTGGTGCTTGCGGATCCGGATCTTGTGCAACAGGTGCTTATCGGACGGTCGGGATTCTTCCAGAAGATGCCGGCCGTGCAACGCGCGTTGAGTTTCGTGGGAGACGGCCTGCCGTTTGTTGACGGCGAGGAGTGGCTGCGGCAGCGCAAGGCCGTCAATCCTTCGTTCAGCCATGGCGCCATCAAGGTACGGCGACTAAGCCGTCATTTTTCGTAAAAGCACGCGCCGCTCATCGGTCCCCGCTCCCCCCTCACCGTTCGCCGCTCGCCATCGCGCTCACCGTTCCCGCTCCCCCTGTTCCGTGGCTCCCGTTTTCTCTCCCGCGTATGTTCGAGTCGACTCAGAATACATCTCGCAGTTCGCGCCCTTGAGTCGAATCAAAAGTCATAAGTTTTTCGAGTCGACTCAAAGTACGTCTCGCAGTTCGCGCTCTCCCTGTTCCGCCCCTCCATTTTCCCCGTATCCCATTTTCCCCGTAACCCCGTCCACAGCACGCGCTCTCCGTGATGAACCGCCAGGCGCGCAAGGGCGTTGCGCGGCTGCTGCAGCGAATCGCACAAGAGGGGCAGAAGGCGGAAGAGCACACGGCGGAAGGGGCGCGCGAGGCGCAAGGGGGGCGCGAGGTGGAGATTCAGGAGGTGCTATTCGCGGTGACTCTTGACGTCATCGGACTCGCCGTGCTCGGCGCCGCCGTCAGCGGCGGCCGTGGCCGCGCCACCGCTGGCGTGAGCACCCTTGACGCGGGGATCGTCGCGACCGAGGCGGCGGCGGATGCGGATGCGGATACGCAGGGGGAAGAGGAGGGCTGGGAGGGGGAGGAGGAGGGGGGGGAAGGGGCGATTGTGGAAGGGGGAAGGGGGGAAGGGGAGCGGGGGGTGGCGGGGATATACACGGTGCTGCACTCGCTGGTGATTAAAGCCATTGCGCGGTTCTTCTCCGGACGGGTCTTCATCCCACTCTACACGTACGTCCTGCTCACCACTCTCCATCACCCTTTTCCCTTGTGACTCACACCGCCTGCAGAATCTTCCCTTGACCCGTTTCCCTTTGCTCACCCGTTTCTCCCGCTACCCATGCTCGAGAGCACTTTAGAGGCGCCTCAGAAGATCCGCCCTCTGTGGATCTTTCAGGTGACTTAAGCCCTTCCCCTCCCCCTACCCCCACCCCCCCTCTCCCTCGCACGTCCCTCCGCCGCCCTTCAACCCACTCAGTCTCCTCCCCACGCCTGAGAACCGCACGCTGTGGGCGGTGGAGCAGCGGTTCCGGCAGCTGTTTGGGGAGCTGATCGCACGCAGGGCGGAAGGGGGCATGGGAAGCGGGCAGGGGCGGCTGGGGAAAGACATTTTGGCGGCGCTGCTGGCCGCGGAGATGAGGCGCGAGGAGGAGATGCGCGTTGCTGCTGCTGCTGCTGCTGCTGGCGGTGGTGTTGCTACTTCTGGTGCAACTGCCGGTGCTGGTGGTGGCGTGTTGTCGGCTGCTCTGGTGAACAGGGTCGTCAACCAGTGTGCGACACTCATCATGGCTGGTGGGTGTCCCCTTCCCTTTCCCCACCCCACCCTCGCCCACGCCACGAGTCAGTGGCAGTGTTCGCACCTTATCATACCTCACTGCATTGCACCTCACCGCATTGCACCTTACTCCTCCCCTTCTCCCCCCCTCCAGGCCACGAGTCAGTGGCGGTGCTGGTGATGTGGAGCATGTACCTGCTGGCCCGCCACCCGCACTGGCAGCACCGCCTCCGATCCGAGGTGGTGCGTGTGGTGCAGGGAGGAGGAAGGGAAGAGAGGGAGGCAGAGGCAGAGAAATTGGGCGAGAAGGCTGTGAGGGAAGAGGAGATTGTGCAGGATGATGGAGTAGAGAGCAGCAATAGCAGCGACAGCAGTGACAGCAGTGGTGGTGGCGGCAGCAGTGGGGATGCCACGGATAGTGACAGTGAGAGTGACGCCAGTAGCAGCGACAGCACAGCCAGAGCGAGGCACGGATCCCACCAAGGCAACACGGTTAAGGTGACACACGCACAAACAGTAGAGGCACACGCAGCAGACACAAGAGAAGCGGAGGGAGGGAGAGCGGAGATCACATGGGAGCAGGCGGGGCAGCTGAAGGACATGCACATGGTGCTGCTTGAGACTCTCCGACTCTTCCCCCCCGTGCCCGTCGTCACGCGCACGAGCAAGCAGGACGTGCGCATCGGCCCCTACGTCATTCCCAAGGGTGTCGACCTGTTCCTGCCTGTCGGGTGCTTGCACGCTGACGAGCGCTACTGGGGGGCCGATGCACGTGAATTCAATCCCGAGAGGTTTCAAGGTGAGAGAATAAGTTATTGAGTTGTGTCAGGGAGGTCTTTCCTAGAATGTTCGCATCGGCCCCTATGTCGTTCCCAAGGGCGTCGACCCGTTCCTGCCTGTCGGGTGCTTTCACACTGACGAGTGCTACTGTGGGGCCGATGTGCGTAAATTCAAGCCCGAGAGGTTTTCAGTTGAGTGAGGAATCTGTTCATTTGTCAGGCAGCCTTGGAGAAGAAGAGCAGCTGGAGAGCCTGGGCTGTGTTTGTGACACTGCTGTGGCCGAGCCTGTTCCAGATGATTTCTAGCCCAGGTTCCTCTCCACGCTGTTCCGCCCTCATTTCATCAATTGAGCTCGCAATGTTTTTAATCCCCCCCCCCCGCTCCCCCCCACACACCTTCCATCATGCACCCAACCGACAGATGGACAGCAAGCAGCTTGCTCACACCCCCAGGCCTTCATCCCGTTCTCCAGTGGTCCACGGGACTGTGTTGGAGCGATGTTCGGGCTTACCGAGGCTAAGATTATTCTCTCCCACTTGCTCCTTAACGTCTCATGGAGCATATCGCCTTCGTATCGGCATCAGCCTACTGCTGCTCTCACAGCACAAGCGAAACATGGCATGCCCCTTTTGTTTAAAGCTTTGGTATACATTTGAAAGTACTGTTGGTGTTTGTACAGTAGCCAAATAGATTTCGCCACAACGAAACCGAATGCCCTTGGCGAAGGGGGCTGGCGAGAATTTGAAGCCAACCTGCATTTAGGGTTGCAAACACGAGGAACTCTCCCGTCACCAACTACTGAGAAACGCCTAGATAGAACTACATGGGAGTCTAGGAGGCGGCGAGCAGAACAGTGCAATCACTCAAATAAATGCTGATAGTAAGGGAACATGTACATTATAGGCTTCAGCGCTAGCATCTATCGAGCCCGCCAGCTCCCTCTAGCTTCAGCGTCGTCTGCAATCGGACGGGCCGCCGCGAGACATTTGTCGAGCGCGCCTCGCCGGCGAGATTCTTGCATCACCTGCAGCTCGCGACACCCGCTTAGCGCGTCACCCGCTTCTCGGACATCCTTCCGCGCGCCTCACCCGCTTAGCGCCTCACCCGCTTAGCGCCTCACCCGCTGCTCGCCTCAACTTTAGCGCGTCACACGCTTCTCGTGTAACTCGCTGCTCGCCTCACTTAGCACGTCACCGGCTTCTCGCCTCACCTTCTGCTGGCCTCACCTGCTGCTCGCGTCCCTTACTGCGCGAATGTCCCTAGACTCGCCTCAAATTCCGTGCGCGCCTCGAAACGTCTCCCTTTACCTATCTTCCCGGATCGCTCTCACCTCACCTTGCCCCTATTTCTCCCCAGCTAGCCCTCCTTTTACCCTCTTTTCCCCCCTCGATTTCCAAGGAGCGTAGCCTCATTTTCCCCTCTGCTTGTCCTCCTTTCCCCCCCTTCTCCCCCTCATTTTCCCCCTTTGTTACCCTCAATTCCCCCCCTGCTCCCTTTCAAGTCCCCCCTTGCTCCCTCTCATTTCCCCCCTTCTCCTGCTCATTCCCCCCCTTCTTCCTCACGTTTCCCCCCGTTCTCTCTCTCCTTTCCCCCACTTCTCCCCCTCATTTTCCCCCTTTCCTCCTCTCATTCCCCCCCGCTCCCTCTCATTTCCCCCCTGGTCCCTCTCATTTTCCCCCCTGCTCACCCTCACTTCCCCCCTTTCTCCCTCTTCATTTCCCCGTCTCCTTCCCCTCATTTCCCCCTCTCTGTCTACTCATTTCTCCCTCTCCTTTCCCACATTTCCCTTCTCCGTCCCCTCCTTTCCCCCTCTCCTTCCCCTCCTTCCCCCTCTCCTTCCCCTCATTCCCCCCTCTTTCCCCTCATTTCCCCCTCTCCTTACCCTCATTTCCCCCTTTCCTTCCCCTCATTTCGCCCTCCTTCCCCTCATTTCGCCCTCCTTCCCCTCATTCACCCTTTCCTTACCCTCATTTCCCCCTGTGTCCCCTAATCTCCCCCTCTCCCCTCATTTCATCCTCTCGTTCCACAAAATCCCCCCCTCTCGTTCCTGAGTGCAAAACTTTGTTTGCAAAACTGTGGGAAGATATGTTGCCGCGTCTGCTTACGAATGCGCTCGTCAGCTCGACAGTTGTCAAACAATCAGCTTTGCACCTCCCACCACCCACTGAGTTCAAGCCTCTCACGTGTTACCCTGTCACCACTGCTGCATATCTTCCCTACATGCCTCTCTCCCTCTCCTCTCTCCGTGCATTGTTCTACCCTGCCATGCCCTTCCCTTGCCTTCTTTACCCTGCCTGTCCCACCTTGCCGGCAGGTGAGTGCGCTCATGCTGCTGGCGCGCGTGAGGGAGCTGCAGCGCCCTCACATGCTGCACATTCCTTCCCCTCCTCCCCCCTTTGCTTACCCTTCCTTACTTCCCCCCGTACTATCCTTGCTCCCCCTTAGCTTCCCCTCCCTTCCCCTCCAGCTTACCCCCTGTTTCTTTTGCATCTGCCCTTGTCTTTTTTTTTTTTTCCACAGCACAACACGAAGGACATCAGGCCTTCTCATTTTGGGTGCTGCTCTTTGCAGCTTAGCGAAACCAAATTATTAGGCAGGAAGTTCCAGCTTGTGTGTGCCGTCAGCGTATCCTTCAAGTGATTTGTTAGCATGCCATAATGCATCAGTTTATTTAAAATGAGCGAGAGCTGTACTTAGAAACAATTTCCCTTCCTTCCTTGCGTACAACATCCTTGCATGATGCATATGGGCACACCATAACATTGTATGTGGCATGTGACATGTGTCGTACACAACTCAAGATACATGGAGGGTTCTCCTCTGCTCTAGCTGGTCAGAATTTGCTCAACACTTGTGTCTGATGCTGCTCCCAATAAGCTGCCTAACTCTGCTGAACCTGAATTTGTCTTGCTCGAAGCGGTAACAAAGGGAGAAGATATGGGAAAATAGGATGGAAAGGTGGAGAGGCAGGAACGGAGGATACGAAGGTGGGACGGAGAGGTGGGGGGACATGAATGGGAGATGGGGAAGAGAGGAAAAAATAGGGAAAGGCAGGAAGATTGCAGGAAAGTGGGAAGGGCAGGCAGCAAGGGGAAATGGGGGAGAGGTAGGACGAGGTCTGAAAAGAGAGAAGGCAGCAGGAAGGGGAAAAGAGGGAAAGGCAGGAGGAGAGGGAAAAAGAGCGGAAGGGCAGTGCAGGGAGGGGAAGGGCAGTGCAGGGAGGGGAAAGGCAGTGCAGGGAGGGGAGAGTACTTCGCTAGGCGACGGAAGGCCGAGAAGGGAAGGGAGGCGCGGCCTCTCGCTAGGCGACGAAATGAGCGGGAGAAGGGGGAAAATGAGCGAGAGAAAGGGGGGACATGACAGGGAGCAGGGGCTCATGAGAGGGAGAAAAAGGGGGGAATGAGGGGGAGCATGGGGGGAATGAGGGGGAGAAATAAGGAGGAGAAAGGGGGGCAATGAGCGGGATAAGGGGGGAGGATGAGAGGGAGAATGGGGGAAATGAGAGGGAGCACGTGGGGCAATGAGAGGGAGAATGGGGGAAATGAGAGGGAGCACGTGGGGCAATGAGAGGGAGAATGGGGGAAATGAGAGGGAGCACGTGGGGCAATGAGAGGGAGAATGGGGGAAATGAGAGGGAGCACGTGGGGCAATGAGAGGGAGAATGGGGGAAATGAGAGGGAGCACGTGGGGCAATGAGAGGGAGAATGGGGGAAATGAGAGGGAGCACGTGGGGCAATGAGAGGGAGAATGGGGGAAATGAGAGGGAGCACGTGGGGCAATGAGAGGGAGAATGGGGGAAATGAGCAGGTGAATGGGGGGAAAATGAGAGGGGGAAAGGGGGAGGTGGGAAGGGGAAACGGGGAGGTGGGAAGGGGTAATGGGGAGAGGGAAGGGGAAACGGGGAGGCGGGAAGGGGTAATGGGGAGCGAGAAGGGGAATTGGGGAGGCAGGAAGGGGAAAAGGGGGGGCGGGAAGGGAGCAGGAAAGGTATGGGATGGGGCTTGGAGGGGGATGGGAGAGTAACACAGGGGGGTATCACAAGGGATGGAAGGGTATGGCGATGAAAGGTTATGGCAGGGGAAGGGGAAATGGGGAGCGGAAAGGGGAAATGGGGAGGCGGGATGGGGAAATGGGGAGGCGGGAAGGGGAAATGGGGAGGCGGGAAGGGGAAATGGGGAGGCGGGAAGGGGAAATGGGGAGGCGGGAAGGGGAAATGGGGAGGCGGGAAGGGGAAATGGGAGCCGGAAAGGGGAAATGGGGAGGCGAGAAGGGGAAATGGGGAGGCGGGAAGGGGAAATGGGGAGGCGGGAAGGGGAAATGGGGAGGCGGGAAGGGGAAATGGGGAGGCGGGAAGGAGAAATGGGAGGCGGAAAGGGGAAATGGGAGGCGGAAAGGGGAAATGGGGAGGCGGAAAGGGGAAATGGGGAGGCGGGAAGGGTAAAGGGGATGCGGGAAGGGGAATTGGGGAGCGGGAAGGGGAAACGGGGAGGCGGAAACGCGAATTGGGGAGGTGAGAAGGGGAAACGGGGAGGCGGGAAGGGGTGAGCGAGAAGGGGAATTGGGGAGGTGGGATTGTGAGATGGCGAGGCGGCAAAAGGGAAGGGGATAAGCATGCGCCAAGGGGAAAGTTTCGGCGCGGCCCCTATCGCTAGGCGACGTGACACCGTGAGGGAAAGGAGGCGCTGCTTCTTGTCAAATGATATATATGTGTGATACATATTGGTAGGCTGTAGTGGGGTAGATGTTATAGGGGATAATTCCTTAGGGTTGTGTTACTTGTAAAATTTCTCTCGATAGTCAACTTCACCTTGCCTAGCTATCTCAACATGGCATCTAGAGCAATGGTCCTAAGGACCTAAGATTGGGGCCCACCTACTCATGAGTTACTTTCCCTACAGCTATACCTACGTGCCTACCTTGCCTGCTGCCCGCGCGCGCCTCGGCTGCATGCGCGCGTGCATTTTTTTTTTTTTAGCGCGCCCCGCTGCCTTAGCCGCCCGCGTGCTCGCTGCTGTCACGCGCAGCTCGGCGCCGCGCGCAGCCCGCCGCCACGCGCGACCCGCCGCCGCGTGCAGCCAGTAGCCACGCGCAGCCCGCAGCCGCGCGCAGCCCGTCGCCGCGCGCAGCCCGCAGCCGCACGCAGCCCGTCGCCGCGCACAGCCAGCTGCCACGCACAGCCCGCAGCCGCGCGCAGCCCGCTGCCGCGCGCAGCCCGCAGCAGCGCGTGCCCTGCCCTGCCTGTGCGCCACTGCCTCGACCTGAGCGCTTAGCCGCCCGTGAGTCGTGCGCTTGCCTGCCTTACGCGCGGCCTGTCACAGAACTGCGTGCTTCCTTACCTGCTACAGTTGCCTGCTGCCTGAGCCTGCTGCCTGAACCTGCAGTCTTTGCCTGCTGCCTGAGCCTGCTGCCTGAGCCTGCTGCCTGAGCCTGCTGCCTGAGCCTGCTGCCTGAGCCTGCTACCTGAGCCTGCTGCCTGAGCCTGCTGCCTGAGCCTGCTACTTTTGCCTGCGCTACAACCATGGCGACCCTTACTGTTCTCGCCTTTGAGCCTGACGGCCGCCCCATCGAGTTTGACACCTGGCTTAGTGACCTGCGCCTTTACCTTATGACTGACGTCGCAGACGGAGTGTCACTGCTAGCCTATGTGACCGGCACTGTCCCTACTCCTGCTGAGACTGCTCCTGCCCCTGAACGAGCACAGTGGGAGCTCCGCGATGCTGTCGCGCGCCTTGTTATTCGCAATCACCTACCGATCTCTGAGCGCGCGCATTTCAACCAGCTTAAGACTGCTAAGACGCTGTATGATGCTGTCGTTGCCCGCTATTCCGCCCCGACCACAGCCACCGTTGGTAGTCTCATCCTGCCTTACCTGTTCCCAGACTTAGCCTCGTTTCACACTGCTGCCGACCTTATCACTCACCTCCGCGCTAGTGACGCCCGCTTTCGAGCCGCTCTTACCAACGAGTTCCTCGCCACGAACACCCCCCCGCTGTACTTCACCCTCTACATCCTCGTCACCCGCCTCCCTGACACTCTTCGCTCTGTCAGGGATTACTTCCTTGCCAAGGATCCTCCAACTATCACTCTGGACGACTTCGAGCAGCAGCTGGTCGCAGCAGAGAAGAACATCCTCGCTGTCGGTGCTGCTCGTGGCACTCCCCGCACTCCCCTCTTTGAGGGGTGCTCCCCCTCCCCTCTTGACCCCTCCTACGCCTCTGCTGCTACTGCTGTCGACTTCCTCGGTGCGGAGAAGGTCGCAGCGGCTTCCGCTCCTGGTGGGAAGCGTGGTGGTGGCAGGGGCGGCAAGGGTGGCAGGGGTGGCGGAGGTGGCGGTGGAGGGAGCGGTGGTGGAGGCGGCGGGGCTGTGCCTGCGCGTGAGGAGCCTGGCGGTGCTGAGCTTGGGGGTGTCGAGTCTGAGGGTGCTGTGCCTGCGCGTGAGGAGCCTGGAGGTGCTGAGCTTGCGGGTGCCGAGTCTGCGGGTACTGAGCCTACGCGTGAGGAGCCTGGGGGTGCTGGCGCTGGAGGTTCTGGAGCAGCTGGGGGTGCTGGCGCTGAGGGTTCTGAGTCTGCTGTTGCGCGGTCTCCTTGGAGTAGCCGCCTTCGTCCACGTGTGCCTCTCACCCCACAGCAGCTGCAGGACTGGTACGGTCACCGTCAGCGTCGCGCTGCTGGAGCTAGGAGTGGTGCTGGACCTTTGTCTACTGGAGGTGCTGGAGTCGCTGGTTCTGGAGGTACTCGTACTGGAGACACTGAGGCTGGAGACCCTGGGACTGGAGGTGCTGGCTCTGGGGGTGCTGCTGCTGGTGACACTGAGGCTGGAGACCCTGGGACTGGGGGTGCTGGTTCTGGGGGTGCTACTGCTGGAGACACAGGGGCTGGAGACCCTGGGACTGGAGGTGACGACTCTGGGACTGGAGCTTCTGGAGCTGCTGGAGGTTCTGGAGCTGCTGGAGGTACTGGAGCTGCTGGGGGTACTGGAGCTGCTGGAGCTGCCGGTACTGATGCAGCTGCGCCGACACGACTGTTCTTCGCTCCGCCGTCTCCGTCGTCTCTGCCGCCGTCTGACTCTGTTCTTCGTCAGGTTCTTACTCTCCCGTCGTCTACTGGTCTTCCGTTACAGCCTGGCTCACCGCTGCCTGCTCCTTCTCCTTACACTGAGCAGACTGGTAGTCCTGCTGAGCGTCGTGAGCCTGTGTCGCGTCCTGTCTCGCCTGCTCGTCCCGGTCGTCGTGTTCCTCGTTCGCGTCAGCAGGCTGTCCCCAGCACACACCTCGTAGTTCGTCGTCCTTCCTCTGCTCTGCAGCCTGTTCCTCTTCCGTCTCCTCCTGCGTCCTCTCTACCTGACGTTCCGGACCCTGAGTCTGACCGGTTTCGTGCTGAGCACCCTACTGTCACGTGTCTGCTAGCCACTGTTGTCACTGACCCGTCGTTTGAGTCTACTGCTGCGTCTGCTCTTGTCGCTGAGCTTGTTGACTTTGCTGCTGCCTGTCGTCTAGACTACGCCGCCAGTCTTGTTGCTGAGTCTGCGCCTGTCTGTCCTCTGTCCGTCGGGGGTGAGTGTGCTCTTAGCACGGACGTCCTTGAGGACAGGCAGGAGGAGTTCCAGTGTCTTGCTGCTGCTTTACCTCATCTTGTGTCCTCGCTACTTGCCCCTGAGGGAGACCCGGATGCACCAGACATCCCGACTCCGCGCTCTTACGCAGAGGCGATAGAGAGTCCCTACTCCTCTCAGTGGCAGGCAGCCATGGACGCAGAGATGGCTTCCTGGAAGTCCACAGGCACCTATGTCGACGAGGTTCCCCCACCTGGGGCGAACATCGTCAGTGGCATGTGGATTTTCAGGGTGAAGCGGCCGCCGGGTTCTCCGCCTGTCTTCAAGGCGCGTTACGTGGCTCGAGGCTTCAGTCAGCGAGAGGGAGTTGACTTCTTCCAGACCTTCTCCCCCACCCCGAAGATGACCACTCTTCGGGTGCTGCTGCACGTTGCTGCTCACCGTGACTACGAGCTTCACTCTCTTGACTTCAGCACTGCTTTCTTACAGGGCAGCCTGCACGAGGAGATCTGGCTGCGCCGCCCCCCGGGCTTCACTGGGTCGTTCCCTCCTGGCACCCAGTGGAGCCTCCGACGGCCGGTCTACGGTCTCCGCCAGGCGCCACGTGAGTGGCACGACACACTGAGGACGACACTTGCGGCTCTTGGGTTTGCGCCTTCTACTGCTGACCCGTCGCTGTTTCTGCGCACAGACACTTCACTGCCGCCGTTCTACATCCTCGTGTACGTCGACGACTTGGTTTTTGCCACTGCTGACACTGAGGCTCTCGCCCACGTGAAGTCGGAGCTACAGAAGAGACACACGTGCACTGACTTGGGTGAGCTGCGCAGCTACCTTGGCTTGCAGATCACCCGGGACAGAGCACGCCGCACCATCACCTTGACTCAGTCACACATGGTGCAGCAGGTCCTTCAGCGCTTCGGCTTCACCTGGTCTTCAGCACAGGCCACTCCTCTGGCTACAGGTCACACGCTCTCAGCTCCACCTTCGGACGAGTCCGTAGAGCCGAGTGGTCCTTACCCAGAGCTAGTCGGCTGCCTCATGTACCTGATGACTTGCACTCGACCTGACCTCGCGTACCCTCTTGGTCTCCTCGCTCGCTACGTGGCTCCTGGTCGACACCGACCTGAGCACATGGCTGCTGCTAAGAGGGTACTGCGCTACTTGTGCAGCACATCAGGCATGGGGCTAGTGCTTGGAGGGACGAGCCCAGTTGTCCTCACTGGGCACTCAGACGCTTCTTGGGTTGACGACCTGGCTACTCAGCGGTCGTCACAGGGTTACACCTTCAGCCTTGGCTCTGGTTCAAGTTCGTGGCGTTCTACACGCTCGTCTTCAGTTCTCGGCTCCAGTTGTGAGGCTGAGATCTACGCCACCGCCATGGCTGCACAGGAGTTACGCTGGCTCACCTACCTGCTGACTGACTTGGGAGAGCAGCCTCGTTCTCCTCCAGTGCTGTACGTTGACAACAAGGCCGCCATTGCCTTGTGTGAGGAGCACATACTGGAGCACAGAACGAAGCACATTGCTCTGCGTTACTTCCTGGCTCGAGAGTTGCAGCAGCGAGGCCAGCTTTGTCTTCGTTACGTGGCCACTCGGGCCAACACTGCTGATATATTCACCAAGGCACTTCCGTCTGGTGATCATCAGCGCTTTTGTACTCTGTTAGGCCTTGTGCCTACGCTTCCACACTTGCTGTAGTCTTTGCTTGTACTGTGATCTATATACATATATACCTGCATGCTGGCTCTTGCTAGGTAGCTCGACACTGTACTGTCATTGCTGCATATATATCTCTGCATGTGAACTGGCCTTGTGGCCATTTGCTTGTGCTCAGAATGTGTGGTGACGTTGTGATCCACCCTGAGCTTGTTTTGTTTCTCTTGACTGGTCTTGTGACCCATTGCTCTCCCCCACTTTGCCTATGGGGGTGTGTCAAATGATATATATGTGTGATACATATTGGTAGGCTGTAGTGGGGTAGATGTTATAGGGGATAATTCCTTAGGGTTGTGTTACTTGTAAAATTTCTCTCGATAGTCAACTTCACCTTGCCTAGCTATCTCAACACTTCTCCCTAGGCGTCGAAATTCGGCGAAGGAAAGGGAGGCGCAGCCTCTCCCTAGGCGACGAAAGGCCGCCAAGGGAAGGGAGGTGCGGCCTCTCGTCGCCTACGAAGCAAAGCAGCTTCGTCGCAGCCCATTGTACCACAGGGGGTTCGCATTCCATGCGATGTGAGGCCACTGTAAAGCCGTGCTGATGGTGGTAGGTGGAGGGTCTTGTTTGAAAGCTAGCGCCGCAGCTAGCGCTGTTTCAAGGTCACACACATGTGATGTGGGACATCGAGTGTGAGGGAGGAACCGGAGGTGGTGCAGACCGAAAAGTCGACACTAACTTGTAGATAGACTACGTTTGTGTCGGAAACGAGTTATTTGCCCTGGCTGTTGAGTCACGAAGTGCTTATCTACCGCTTATGCCGCCTGTGGTGGGCAGTGGTTGCCTTTTCAGACACGTGAGAATCTGTATACTTTTGTTCTTCCAAAAGTTTTGAATCACCAGCGAGTCTCGCTGGTGCGGGGTGTTGGGGCGGATCAACTCCCGTGTGGGACGAGGGGACGAAGCTGTAATAGGGTAACCAATTTTTCAAATTTCAAAACTTCTGAACCCACGCTTTGCAAATGTATACGAAAGCTTTAAAGAGTTGTAAATGTTATGCAATCATCCAGTTGATTGAAAAAAGCCCACTGCACATACTGTATGTTTCCTGAAAAAGTAAACTTATCACGGTGCAAAAACGGAGAGAAAACAAAAAACTATCGAGCACTGAGAGATTCGAACTCTCGCGGGCAGAGCCCATGTACTTAGCAGGCACACGCCTTAACCACTCGGCCAAATGCTCTTGTCGTTCTTGGAATAAGGTTAAAACTTGAAAGTTTGTATCTTTTTCATTTCCTTGAGTTCGGAAGTTTGAAATTTCAAACAGGCCGTTCAGGCTTTCTCTCCGCGCGCTTCTCAAGGTTGAAGGGTGGCGACGCGGTCACATGGATTTTCCCCCTCACAATTCATCTTCAAGAGCACGCCTTTCTTCTAACGTGGCCCATTCCCAGTGTTCGTCAATCCAAGTGCCATGAGCTGAAACCCGCCGTCGTTTCTCCGCGTGTTAGATACCCGAGGAGATGAAGCAACGTCGCCTTAATTATCTGCAACAATCTAGTTAGGATTTCATGTCATTCCTTGGTTGCCACGCGTCGCAGTTTATAGTGTAACTCGAGTAAGCGGAACGTCCATTTTAGTGCCGTGGTCCTATTTGCTTAGCTAGTCGCAATGGAAAGGGCAACCAGGTCGCGTAGAGCTGTAGACTCCGCTTCCGCCTCCCGCAAGAGCGCGCTGGCGGAGCTCGCTGCGCACCGCACCAGCCGCCAGTCCGGTTCAGCTCCGCCTCCTGTCGCAGGCGATGAAGCCGGCGATCAGGGAGACCAGGCTGTGCGACGCAAGCGACGGATCGATACCTTCGAGCTGAAGGAGGAGGATCGCCTATACGACGTCGTCGACGAGTCGGAGTACCAGAAAATCGTCGCACAGCGTCGCGTGGCGGGCGAGAACTTCGTTGTGGACGACAACGGGCTGGGGTATGCCGACACGGGCCTGGAGGACGTGTGGGACCGACGCGACGACGACGACGATTCGTGGGACGAAGATGAGGACGGTGGCAGACGGAAGAAGAAGGATAAGAAGCCTGCGGGTTAGTGGTCCTGTCTATCCCACCCCGTCATTTGTTTGCGCGTCTTCTCTTATGTGTATTTTCACCTTTCCATCTCCTCAGTTGTGGTCGATAGCTTGCCTGATGTGATGTGGTGATAGTCCGTCCCATCGTTTGCAACTCTTCTCGTCTGTACTTTTCCGTGCTCAATTGGTAGCTTGAGAGAATGGAGACTTGGAATGATGTACGTCAGTGCTCGTAAAGGAGTTTCGTTGCACCCATTCCCGCAGTATGGCTGCTGGTGGTGTCTTTCTTTCTTTTTATAACTCTCTTTTCATCTCCCCTCGTCAGGGCCCAGGCCGCGCCGGGAGGGCGTTGCCGCGCGGAAGGCGCTTTCTGCCGCCGCCGCCATGATGGGGAAGCGCCGTGGCGCCTCCAACATGTTCGCCGCTGCCGGCGCGCGTGCCGGTGGCCGGCAGGCTTCGGCGCTGCCGGCCGGCGAGGCGCAAGCGGCGGAGGCGCTGCTGGAGGAGCTGATTAACGACATCGGCCCCGACGCACACGAGCGCCTGCCCGACAAGAGAAGACGGAGAGGTGCTCCTTCCATCCAAACCTCTCCCTCCCGTAGTTTGATTGTCATATTTTCTCCTTTTCGCCAAGTGACGGTGTGGCTGTGACGCGCGATACTTCAACTTATCTCTCCTCCTTCCGTCCCATTCCCTTTCCCTCCTGATTCACTAATCATTTCACTCGCATTCGTCAGGTGGCGGAGTGGCTGTGACCGTTACGCCCTCCGCGTGGCGTCCACTCGCGCAGCACGCGAAGCCCCCCGTCTACCCCGACGATTTCCACGACGCACCTGTCGTCACGCCGTCAAACGAGCCGGTCGTTCCTGCCGGCCGCAGCAGCAGCAACAGCAGCAGCCGCCGCCAACGCCATTTCCCGACGACTCACCCTTTCCCGAGATGAACCCTGCCGCGGGGGCACGTGAGCACGAAGGGGTGAATGCCGGTGCTGCTGAGGGGGGAGTAGGTACGGATCCCGAGTCACCTAGTGCTAAAGCAGAGCCCAATAGTACCGCCCGGGTAACCGGCGGTGGAGCGGGTATGACGACAGGCGTTAAAGCAGAGTCTGGAAAGGAGAACGTACCAGGAGCAGCGGCAGGTGAAGGGGTTGCAGCTGGTAATGGTGCGGTAGAGGGAGGGCAGTCGGCCAAACCGGATTCCGCCGAGGCAGGCCAAGCGCCGAAGCTGCATGCTAGGCTCGGGGCGCTGGCTCAGGAAGAGAACGCATCTGCGGCTTGGCACGCGGTCAGCCGAGGCTCGGCAGGAGGCTTGGCAGACGAGAAGGGTGGCAGCCCTGACAGGAGCGGCGCAGCAGCGGGAGGGGATAAAGGGGGGTGGGCGGGGGCGGCTGTAGCAGGGCAAACGGCTGTAACGGGGAGTGCGGCTGTAGCAGGGTTAGATGCGCCTGTGAACGTGGAGGGGCTTCCTCTGGACGCGGATGGGAAGCTTCCGTTCTTCTTTTTAGATGCGGTGGAGGAGTCATATGGCGCGCTTCAGGGCACGGTGTTCCTGTTTGGCAAGGTGAGAGTTTGGGGGAATGTTTGGGGAGAGGTACGCGAGTCGTATGTGACTGTTGCGTAGAATGCAGAGCCTGCATTGCGTGTTCATCGTGCATTGCTGTCGTACCTCCTCAGTGGCGAACTCCCTTGATAGTTTGATCTCTTACATCCCACTTGCCCCCCAAACAGGTCCCTGTGAAGCAAGTCAGCACCAGCAACAGCAGTCCGAGCAAGGGCGTCGGTCAGTCGTACGTGAGCTGCTGCGTGGGCGTGCAGGGCGTGCAGCGGTGCGTGTTCGCCGTGCCTCGCGAGGGGCTGTTTGACGACCCCCAGCTGGCCGTGCTGGAGGCTGAAGAGAAGCAGGCTAGGGACGAGGACGCGGGAAAAGCGGGCGGTGGGGGTAAAAGCGGTAACAAGGGAGGTGGCGGCAGTGTTGGTGGGGGGAAGGGCGCGGAGGAGTCGGAGCGAGTGAAGGCTGCCCGGCTCAAGAAGATGCGCAAGCTGCACGTGGGTGGCTTGAAAATGGCGTTGGGGATGGGGTTGAGGGGATTGGGGTTATGGACGAGGTCTTGGATGGGGTCTTGGGGATTCAGGCATCTAAGGATTCTGACGCTTTCAAGATATCCACTCACTTGGGGCATTGAGCGCACTTGCTAGTCATTGAAACATGTCGTCCCCCCTCCCCTTATCCCCATTTCCCATGTCCCCACTACCCCTTCTCCTCGATTTATCACCTTCCTCCAAGACCCTCACCACCCCACTTCCCCCATCCCCTTGCTTCTCTGGTTTCCACAGGAGCTAGCCACGCCTCTCAAGGAGGAGATTCGCCAGCGACTTATGGAGCGCCACGTGTCCTCCTTCTGCATGATGCCTGTCAAGGTGGGTCGCCTGCTGACTGCCCCAGGGTCCTCACTAGCGGCAGTTCACTGTATCAAAGTGAAAATCTCTTGAGTCAGCTCATATGGATCTGCTTGGATTTGTGTGAAAATCTCTTCATCTTGTGCTCATGTGCGTGCATCCCTGCCTGTCTGTTGGCCTCTCTTCTGTGTCTCTGTCTCTCCCTGTCTCACGCAGCGTTCGTATGCGTTTGAGAGGAAGGATATTCCACGAGGCGAGCAATATGTGCTGAAGATCACATACCCTTACTCGGTAAGCTGGCAAGTACCATGACAACTGAATGATTGTCTTCTGGTTTTCCCACTGTACCTGGATGCTCATTGCGGTTGTTGGCTGTTTTTCTCATTGCTTCTCTCCTCTCACCGCACCTCTCACCGCACCTCTCACCGCACCTCTCACCGCACCTCTCACCGCACCTCTCACCGCACCTCTCACCAAACCTCTCACCGCACCTCTCACCGCACCTCTCACCGCACCTCTCACTGCGCCTCTCATACCGTCACTTACTGCATTTCTGTTGATAACTGCAGGACGCCCCTCTGCCTTCGGACCTCACAGGCACGCACTTCACTGCCTTGATGGGCACCCACACCAGGTGAGACGAGAGGGCTCTACTAGTGCTTGCAACAGCAGGCGAGGCGAGAAAGCTTGTTCCTGCGTTGCTTCTAGTCGCAGGATGGAGGTGACTAGTGAGTCGACTCAAAGCGCACTGGACAGGCACGTTGTACTGCTTGGCACAATGTCCTGCTTGGCACAATGTCCTGCTTGGCACAATGTCCTGCTTGGCACAATGTCCTGCTTGGCACAATGTCCTGCTTGGCACAATGTCCTGCTTGGCACAATGTCCTTCTTGAATCCTTAAGCGCCCCTGCTGGCTGGCCATTGATCGCCCTCCTTCACCTCCCCATTCTCACTGCCTTTTCTTACCCCCCCTCTTTCATCTCCCCTTCCCTCCTCCCTCCCTGTTTCTGTCTGAACACACGCCACCCCATCCCAATCCAACCCACCGCACCCCACCCCGGCAGTGCGCTGGAGCTGCTGCTGCTGAAGCGACGCCTCAAGTGCCCATGCTGGCTGGCCATCGATCGACCCACCCGCATCCACCCCGCCTCCCAGGTCCGTGCCTCATCGCAAGACATCTTTTGAGGCGCCTCAAAGGTCCGTGCCTCATCGCAAGACATCTTTTGAGGCGTCTCAAAGGTCCGTGCCTCATCGCAAGACATCTTTTGAGGCGCCTCAAAGGTCCGTGCCTCATCGCAAGACATACATGTGTAGGTCAAGAATGGAACACCCTCATAATTGCCCTTTTTGGTATGTTTTTGAATGCTCACCTTCATGTTTCCGTTGCCTTTTTTCTGATTTGTTTTCCTTGAACACCATCCGCTCTGCCCTCCCACCAGAGGAGCCATTGCAGGGTGGAAGTATCCGTAGCGTCACCAAAGTTGGTAGCGCCAGCAGCAGCAGAGAGCGACCCTCCGCCGCTGGTGGTGGCGTCTCTGAACGTGAAGACGGTGGTGAACCATGGCAAGAACGTGAACGAGGTTGCTGCTGTATCAGTGGTGTTCTGTCGCAGTGCAAAGGTAAGGAATGAGGATGTCAAGTGGTGCCGAGTGGTGCTAAACGGTGCACTGGTAGTAAGGACGCTGGTGGTGGCGCCGCTGAACGTGAAGACGGTGGTGAACCATGGCAAGAACGTCAACGAGGTTGCTGCTGTCTCGGTGGTGTTCTGTCGCAGTGCAAAGGTCAGTCAAGGGAGTGGTGTGCGGTGTCAAATGGTGAATAGTGGGGATGTGTAGTGCTAAGCGCTGCACTGGTAACGGCGCTGGTGGTGGTGTCACTGAACGTGAAGACGGGGGTCAACCATGGCAAGAACGTGAATGCCTCAGTGGTCTCCTGCCGCAATGCTGGTGGCTGCTGTCTCAGTGGTCTTCTGCCGCAATGCAAAGGTTAGTCGGTAGTGAGAGTGGTGCTGAGCGGTGCCGAGTTCTGAGTGGCGCTGTGCAGTGCTAAGTGGTGGGCTGTGCGGTGCTTTGCTGGTTTGTTGTGTGAACCTATGTGGTCTGTATCTCCTGCCTTCTCCTCTCGTCCCACTCCTCCACCCCCACAACTCTCTTTCCCCCCTGCCCCTCTCTCCTCACCAGATCGACCGACCAATGGCGCGCAGCGAGTGGAGTGGGGCGGCGTCGCTTGGACACTTCTCGGTGCTGAGGCGGCTGGAGGGGGTGATGTCCCCTGTGGGATTTGATTCCGCCATCGCCGCAGCCAATCAGAGGGCCGGGCGGGATGGGCCAGTGCTGAGCAAGAAGGGCAGGTGAGTGAAGTTCGGTGTGAGTGAGGTTGGGTGTGAGTGTGAGTGGGAGAGTGAGTGTGTGTGTGGTGAGCACACTCCTACCCACGGCCACCACCACACAACCCTCTTAATCCCTGTGATCTCTTTCTAATCTTTGTGATTTCCAACCAATGTGTGAGTCCCCAACCCCCTCCTCTTCTCCCTCTCCCCCTCCTCTTCTCCCCTCCCCCCCTCCTGCACCTCCCCTCTCTCCCCACAGTCTTTCAACCTCAATCTTTTCCCCTCTCTCCTCCCTTCTCAACTTGTCCAACGTGTGACTATAGCGAGAGGGAACTGCTCAGCTATCCAAGAACTCTCAAGCGAGATCTTTCCCCTCTTTCCTTCCATTTCAACCTGTCCCCCACCATGTGACTCTAGCGAGAGGGAGCTGCTGAGCTATCTGCTGGCGCGCATGGGCCGGTTGGATGCTGACGTCATCATAGGACATGGGCTGGCAGCGTTTGACCTCACTGTGCTGCTGCAGCGCATGCAGGTGGGCTCCGAGGTTTTCACATAAAGCTTAGGTATCCAGATGGAGCTCAGGTCTTTTTTCAGGTGGGGCTTAGGTGGTGTTTGAGGTGGGACAAGCCTGCAGCTTCAGGTAGCCTTATATCTGGTTACCGAGTTATATTGTCTAACCTGGTTTCCACATACCTCAGCTATTGCCTCTCCCAAACCTCCCCTCCAGGCTTGTCGTGTCGGAAACTGGTCTGCGATTGGTCGGCTCAAGCGCACCCAGATGCCCAAGCTAGGGGGCGGCTTGGGCAGCAGCTGGGGCGGCGGAGGGGCGGCACCCGGCCTGCTGTCAGCTGTGGCCGGGCGGCTGCTGATCGACACGAGTGTTTCGTCCCGAGAGATACTGCCGAAGGAAGTGAGCCACTCGCTGTCGGCGCTGGCGGCGAGTCAGCTGGGGCACACACGGAGGGAGGTGGCTGCGGCTGAGGTGCCGGGGATGTATGGCAGCAGCGAGAGCCTGATGAAGCTGGTGAGTGCAATGGTTTGTGAATGGAACTGGTGAGGGCTGTGAAGCACAAGGTAGCCGTTAAGACAGGATATCCCTCGGCTGGGGCACGTGCGGAGGGAGGTGGCTGCAGCAGAGGTGCCGGGGATGTATGGCAGCAGCGAGAGCCTTATGAAGCTGGTGAGTGCAGCGGAGTAAAGATTAGGCCTCACGACAGGCTAAAGCGAGTCTGAGGTGGCTGGGGCTGAGGCAGCTGTCCTTGTTGGCGCTTGACTGAGTTGGCTTCACTCACACATGCTCTTGTTGCTCCTTTTATGCTTTACACGTGCAGGTGGAGTTGGTAGACACAGACGCGTGGCTGGTGCACACCTTCATGTTCCAACGCTCCGTTCTCCCACTGCTACTCTTGCTCTCCCTTGTTCCCCTCTCCATCCCTCACTCCCATCTCCCCCCCCTCACCCCCCCATCCTGCGTGCAGGTGGGGTTGGTAGAGACAGACGCGTGGCTGGCGCTCTCCCTCATGTTCCACCTCTCCGTGCTGCCACTCTCGCGCCAGCTCACAAACCTCAGTGGCAACCTCTGGAACCGCACCCTGCAGGTGAGGCCTGCGCACGTGCTTTCATGGTTAAGGAGGGGAAGGGAGGGGGAAGAGGGGGAAGAAGGAGGAGAGGGGAGGGTTTGAAATGATTTGGGGGCAATGGGGTGTTCGTGTGATGGTTGCTCTCGCGCCAGCTCACCAACTCGCACGCTTCAAGTGAGCATTGAGCACATACTTACAGGTTTACTGAGTTCAAAGCCGGAGGAGCCTGGCTTTTGTGCTGGATGAGAGTAATCTGCTCCTTCTCCTATTTCGGTTCGTGATAGGACTCCACATTAACTGCTCGATTTCTGTGATCTTGTCGTGTTTTTTCTTCTGCTGCCCGTCGCTGTCAGGGATCCCGGGCCCAGCGAATCGAGTACCTCCTGCTGCACGAATTCCACCGCCGGAAATTCATGCTGCCCGACAAGCTGACCACAAAAGAAAAAGAAGCGGCAATCTCATCCGCAGCCACCGCAGCTACAGCCTCGGGCAAGAAAAAGAAGCGCAAAGGAGCGGGAGGGAGCAGCGGGGAGAAGCAAGAAAAGGCAGCAGCAGGAGGAGCAGCAGGAGAGGATACTACAGTTACACGGGGAGTGGAAGGGGGAGAGGAAGAAGAGGGGGATGATGAAGATGCTCCTGAGGGCGCTGAGGGAGGAACGGGGGGAGCGAAGGGAAAGAAAGGGGGAGGAGGAGGTGGAGGAACGGGAGAAGGGAAGAAGAAGGGCCCGGGGTATGCTGGGGGGTTGGTGCTGGAGCCGAAGAGAGGGCTGTATGATAAGATTGTGGTGCTGCTGGACTTCAACAGCCTGTATCCCTCCATCATCCGCGAATACAACATCTGCTTCACCACCGTTTCCTGCCCGGATGATGCCTCCTCGCTTCCCCAGCTACCAGACCCCGACCCCCCTGGGGTGTTGCCTGAGGTACGTGCTTGGGTGGGCATATTGCGCTAAGGGTACTCTTGGATCTGGCGTGTGATACGGAGGTATGCGGGGGGTTTGGTGCTGGAGCCGAGGAGAGGGCTGTATGATAAGATAGTGGTGCTGCTGCTGGACTTCAACAGCCTGTATCCGTCCATCATCCGCGAATACAACATCTGCTTCACCACTGTCGCCTGCCCGGATGACCCTGCTTCGCTGCCTCAGCTACCTGATCCTGATCCTCCTGGTGTTCTGCCAGAGGTACGTCCGTGGCCTGGCGTTTAGGTGCCTGTTCTGTTCAATGTGACAAAGCGCACTGCACCACACCACACCACTCCATAGCCTGAAGTTGATTCTTAGCTTTGCTAGGGACGTGCCGCAGCATGAGGCGATTAATTCTCATATATCGTATGGTCTGGCGTGGTGCTGGCAGGTGCTGGGCATGTTGGTGCAGAGGAGGCGGCAGGTGAAGGATATGCTCAAGAGGGAGAACGACCCGGATGAGAGGCAGAGGCTGGACATCCGGCAGCAGGCACTCAAGCTCACCGCCAACAGGTATGAGTGGTGTTGGAGCTTGCGTCAACACTTGGAGGTGATTCTTGAGATGGCTCAAATTTCACCTCCTGCAGCGGCTGGATATCCGGCCGGCAGCAGGCGCTCAAGCTCACTGCCAACAGGTGCCATGCAGTCCATAACGACTCTCGTTCTTCACGTATCATGCCGCCTTTTCAGCCCGAATCCCCCTCTCCTGACCCATGCATCATGTACTTCTGCCTGGGTTTCTCCAATTCTCGCTTCTCCAATGCTCTCCCTCGCCCATCCCTCTCCCCTCACCGCTCTCCCGTCCATCCCTTTCCTCCTCCCCCCCCCCACCCCCCCCCCCCCCCAGCATGTACGGCTGTCTGGGCTTCTCCAACTCTCGCTTCTTTGCCAAGCCCCTTGCCGAACTTATCACCTCAAGGGTACGTCTCCCCCATCCCATCCCAGTCGTTCCACGGTCAGCTATTCTCGGTTCTTCTGTGGCTCAACTGTCACAATGTGCCAGGGTTGTGATGTGCTGCTGAGTTTCTCAACAGATATTCGCAGCCCTCCCCCGACTCCTTCCCCACATCTCACAGGGTCGTGACATCCTTCAGAGCACAGTGGATCTGGTGCAGAACAATCTGAACCTGGAGGTGATATACGGCGACATCCACTCCATCATTATCAACTCAACTGTGCTGCCGCCCCCTTACTGTTGTTGCCGCCCCCTTTTACACCGTTTAACTCCTCCTCCTCCACAGGGTCGCGACATCCTTCAGAGCACGGTGGATCTGGTGCAGAACAATCTGAACCTGGAGGTGATATACGGCGACACTGATTCCATCATGATCAACACGGGGCTGGACGACCCCAGCCAAGCCATTGCCATCGCCCACCGTGTGAAGAAAGAGGTGAGGAAGGAGGGAGGAGAGGTGAGGAGGAGGGGAGGAGGGAGGTGACGGGGAGGGGAGAGAGAGGTGAGGAGGGGGGGTAGACATGTGCACTTCTGTGGTGTCCCCGATCTCTCTTCCTCAACTCAACTTCCTTTTTCCTCTACCCCCCGTCACCCTGCACACCAGGTGAACAAGCGCTACAAGCTCCTAGAAATCGAGATGGACGGGCTATTCCGCAGCATGCTGCTGCTGAACAAGAAGAAGTACGCCTCCATGAAGCTGATCCTGGGACCCGGCGAGCCCCCCAAGGTGCTGAGAGAGGTGGCGGAGCACAAGGGGCTGGACATTGTTCGGCGCGACTGGAGTGTTTTGTCCAAGGAGATTGGTGCCTACTGCCTCAAGCAAATTCTGTCCGGCAGGTAAGTCCAGTCTGCACCACATAGGTTCACTCTCAAGTGGTCCAGCAGAGCCCCCCAAGGTGCTGCAGGAGGTGGCGGAGCACAAGGGGCTGGTAATTGTTCGGCGCGACTGGAGTGTTCTGTCCAAGGAGATTGGTGCCTTTTGCTCGAAGCAGATACGTTCGGGCTGGTGAGCGAGCGTGAGGGTGTGTATCGAGGTGAAGCAAGTGACGAGCCCTTGACTGGAGTGTTCTGTCAGAGGAGATTGGACCCCACTGTCTCAAGCAGATTCTCTCGGGCAGATGGGTGTTGCCTGTACCCCGCCCCTGTGGGAGTGGGTTTGCAGGTGGGTCTTTTGTGTTGTGTTAGCCTCTCACCCCTGTCGCCACCTCCTTAACTATTTCACCTCTCCCCACCTCACCTCTCCCCGTCTCATCACCTCACCTCTCCCCATTCCTCCCCACTTCTACCCACTTCTACCCACTTCTTCCCACCTCTCCCCACCGCTCCCCACCTCTCCCCACTGGTATGCCTGCAGGCCGCGGGAGGAGGTGGTGGAGGCGATTCACACCGAGCTGCGCAACGTGAGTGCATCTACGATCACTTACTCGCCCATTCACTCACTCACTCACTCACTCGCTCACTCACTCACTCGCACACTCACACGCACACCCTTGCAGCACAATCACGATCTGAACAAGTCTGATGCTTGTCATTTGCCACCCCAGGACCGTGTTTTGAGACGTCTCAAAACACATTTGCCACCCCAGGACCCTCACATGCCATCCCTTAAGTTACCAGGTGACTTTTGAGTCGACTCAAAAGACACATTTGCCACCCCAGGACCCTCACGTCATTTGCCACCCCAGGACCCTCACATGCCATCCCTTAAGTTACCCGCATGCCTTCTTTCTCTCCCCCTCCTCTCTTCATTCTTCCAACACACAAAACAGTTGGCTGCCAGGTTACGAGCGGGAGAGGTGGACCTGACGTCGTTCGTCATCACCAAGACGCTCACCAAGCCGCCATCCGATTACCCCGACGCCAGCTCAAAACCTGACTCCCCCTCTCCCTCTCTGCGCCCCTCTCCATCCCCTTCCCCCAACACACAACAGCTTGCAGCGAGGCTACGAGCGGGGGAGGTGGACCTGACATCGTTCGTGATCACCAAGACGCTCACCAAGCCACCCTCAGACTACCCCGACGCCAGCTCACAGCCGCACGTGCAGGTGGCTCTGAGGAGGAAGAAGGAGGGCCGCACGGAGGGGTGCAACGCTGGGGACGCCATCCCCTACGTCATTGCCGTGCCACGGGTAGGTTCAGTGCGGTGAAGGTGGGTTGAGTAGGGTACCCCTATGTCAGCTCGCAGCCGCACGTGCAGGTGGCGCTGAGGAGGAAGAAGGAAAGGCGCACCGAGGGGTGCAATGCGGGAGACGCCATTCCCTATGTCATTGCGGTCCCAAGGGTAGGTGCTGTAAGGTGATGGTGGGTTCAATGCAGTGATAGGGAGGAGAAGGAGGGGCGCACCGAGGGGTGCAATGCAGGAGACGCCATTCCCTATGTGCTCGCGGTCCCAAGGGTAGGTGCTGTGGGTCGAAGGCAGGCTCAGAGCGGTGATGGCTGGTTGAGTAGGGTATCTAACGCTCATCCCATGTCCCAGAGCAAACGGCAGCAGCAGCAGCAGCGACACAGCAGCAATAACAACATAGGATAATGAGGCGAGTGTGGCTTGTGGACTAGCTTAGGAGCACAGTTAGAGTACTAACTGGGGGGAGTACTGCCTTGCACACCAGGTGCACCCCTCAAACACCGCCCTCCATTCCCCTCTCCTCCCCTCTCCTCCCCCCACCCTTACGTTCGCCTGCAGCAACCAGGCAGTGAGGGAGCAGACGCAGCAGTACCGCCTCCTGGTCGCAGCAGCAGCAGCAGCAGCAGCAGTGCGGGTGGCATAGCAGAGCGGGCAAGACATGTGGACGAGCTGAGGAGTGCAGAGAGCGAGTGGGACGTGGACAGGGAGTACTACCTCGCACACCAGGTGCACCCCGTGGTGGCCCGGCTGTGCGCTCCCATTGAAGGCACGGACGCTGCTAGGCTGGCAGACTGCCTTGGGCTCGACTCCTCCAAGGTATTACCGCCTCCTATGGCTCCTTGTATTGTACACACAGTCAGGCTGGCGGTGGGACAGCCGGAAAGACAGACAGACGGGGAACAGACTGAGGCAGGTGCAGAGAGTGACAGAGAGGAAGAGAGGGAGAGCGAGTGGGACGTGAAAAGGGAGTACTACATCACACACCAGGTGCACCCCGTGGTGGCCCGGCTGTGCGCTCCCATTGAAGGCACGGACGCTGCTAGGCTGGCCGACTGCCTTGGACTTGACTCCTCCAAGGTACGCCTAGGCGTTGACTTCTTTGACTATTTGACTCTTCGCAGATGTCGGTCATACTTTTGGAAAGGTCTTACTCATCTCACTACTGGTTTAACCTACCCCACCTTCCCCCTTCCCCTCCCTTTCCACTCCTCTCACGTGTACCTTTGTTCTCTACTATGTGCAGTACCGGCATGTGCATGCAACGGCGTCAACGGTGCGAGATGATGCCATGCTGGCAGCCTCGTCCATTCTGGACGATGATGAACGGTGAGAGATGGGGTTGATGAGAATGGACGGTGAGCAATGGGTCTGATTGCCATCCTTATCACTTTCCTGTGCCGAATTGTCAATACTTTCAAATCATACTCCTCTCTACCTCTCTCACCTTCATCTAACCCATACTGTTTCCTTACCCTAGCTTGTTCACTCGTCAATTGCCATGCCTTTCCCTCTCTTTTCCTCCCATTCCCCCCTCACTCCCTCCCAATCCCTTACCCATCCCTCTCTCCCCCAGCTACTCGCGCCTACCCCCCCTGCAGTTCCTCTGTCCCTCCTGCCGCTTCCCCTGTGCCTTCCAGTTCCATTGACTTCTCCTCTCTTCCCCCTCTTCCCCCCTATCCCCGCTCCCACCCCCTACCGCCCTTCCCCAGCTACTCGCGCCTACCCCCCCTGCAGTTCCTCTGCCCCTCGTGCCGCTTCCCCTTTGCCTTCCCGGGCGTGCCTGCCATCGCCCAGGGGAGAGAAAGGGAGGTGCTTGAGAGGGCTGGCTTGGGGGGAGGTGGCGGTGCTGGCGCAGGAGAAGGAGGAGGAGCAATTGGGACAGGACAAGGGGACGGAGGTGGGAAGGAGAAGGGAAAAGAAGGGGAAGGAGAGGCGGGGAAGGGGGAGCCTCTGCCGCTGGCATGCCCTCGCTGCAAGGACGCCAAGCCGCTGTCACCTGCCATGCTTTCCAACCAGGTGGGCTCACACGTGTGCTCTGAAGGCGAGACTGGGAGATTTTCTCTTCTGTGGGGGGGGTTGTGCTGCGTGTTTTTTGAGTCGACTCAAAAGTTTTCTCTTTTGTGCGGGGGGTTGTGCTGCGTGTTTTTTGAGTCGACTCAAAAGTTTTCTCTTTTGTGCGGGGGGTTGTGCTGCGTGTTTTCTAGTCGCTCTGTGTGACATTGATGTATGAGCCCACGTGGCTTGGAATCATGGCGCTTCTTTGTGTTCTCTGCGTTACGTTGACGTGTTGTTGCTGACGCATACCTGTATTTTCTTTGTGGCGTGGCATTGTATTGTACGATGCATTGGCGTGGCTTTTATGCACAGGTGAAGAGGCAGGCAGAGGCGTTCATATCGCAGTTCTACGATGCATGGATGCAGGTAGGCCACTCCCACCCCCTCTCTCCAACTCTCTCCACTCCCGTTTTCTCTCATGGACATAATCGATACGCCCACTCACGAACTTACACACTTGCTCATGCATGCATGCGCCCACTCATGCGCATGCACACATGCCCATGCATGCTTGCGCGTGCACACACACGCACACACACACACACACACACACACACACACACACACACATACACCTAAACATGTGTGGGTGTACGGGCGCACCAGTCCTAAACGATCCATCCCTCTTGCCCCTTCTGCCTGCTCTCTCCCCACCCACCAGTGCGACGAGGAGACGTGTGGGTGTGTGTCGCAGAATATCGCCACTCGTCTGGTGCATTCTGATAGCTGCAGAGGGGCCCTGTGCCCCAACTACCCCCGCTGCCAAGGCACCATGCGCCGCCAGGTATGCACACACCCTCCCCTCTCCCCCCACCCACGCACCCATCCCCCCCCACCCTTCCCCCCCTCCCCACACACACATACGCATGCATGCACACACACAAGGCTTTGCTGTTCGGCTTCTCTCATCATCCCCCTCTCTCCCACCCCAATATCAAAGCATAGGCTCTACCGCTCTGCTCTCTCTTCTCATTTCCCTCCTTTCCTCCCTTTTGCTCCTCCCCCTTTCCCCCACACACCACCCTGCCTTGTTACCCATATATCAGAGGCAGACCTTTACCACCGGCTCTGCTCTCTCTTCGCCTCATCCACCTCCTCTCCCCTTCTCCCTCCTCTCCCCTTCTCCCTCCTCTCCCCTTCTCCCTCCCCCCTCCTGTTGTGACTCAGATATCAGAAGCAGACCTCTACCACCGCCTCTGCTATCTCCGCCACTCCCTTGCAGTCACACGCACCCTTGCCAAGGTACGTTGCTGCACTTGGTGAGACGATTTTTGAGTCAACTAAAAAATCGGCCCTTGCCAAGGTACGCCGCTGCACTTGACTCGCATACCCGTTTTGAGGCGCCTCCAAAGACCTTTACCACCGCCTCTGCTATCTTCACCACTCTCTCGCAGTCACACGCACCCTTGCCAAGGTAGTCTCCACTTCCTTAGGTAGTGTCTTCTCTTCTCCTCCTCCACCTCTTTCGCCCACTCTTGATTTTTCTTTCCTTGCTTCCCCAGCCCAAGCTCTTCCCCTCACCAGCAGTGCCTCCATACTCCCCCATGCTCCATACTCCCCCATGCTCCACACTCCCCCATGCTCCACACTCCCCCATGCTCCACACTCCCCCATGCTCCATATTCATCAGGTGAGGGACCCAGCACAGTTGGCAGCAGTGGAGCGCAAGCTTCAGCCAATCAGGAGGGCTTTGGATGCAGCACATGCAGTGGTGGAGGGGATGTGTGACAGCTCAGCATACAAATGGGTTAAGATGGGTGACCTCTGTGTTACATAGTTCCAACTGCTACAGCGGCAATACAGCAGCAATGCTACATAGTTGCATATGTTACGTACATTTTAGTTTGTAACAAGCGCTCGGAGCATTGCCTATGCTGCCAATCGCTAATGCTGTGGGGCACTGGATTGCACATGTTATATGTGTAAGAGAAGTAAAATATGAAGCTAAAATATATCACATGCTGACTACTATTGAGCAGGTACAACTGCAGTGCAGACAGGATACATGCGTGAGCCTTAAAGCCCCCAGCAGGCCAGGACAATCCGAGCTAGAGCATCCCAGTCCAGGGCATTCCAGCCAAAAGCATTCTCAAAGCCAATGCGAGCCCACAGCATCGAAAGGCAAGGGCATTTTGAAGGCTAGGGCATGCCACGCTAGGCTAAGCTAGCAACGTAGCTCCTTGTGCATGACATGAGGATGGGTACCTGCTTGGGTAATTCAAACTGCTCCCTCCCACCCCTGCCCGCCTCATTCTTCACTTTTCAACTCCTCACTCCCTCCCTCACTCCCTCCCTCACTCCCTCCCTCACTCCCTCCCTCCCTCACTCCCTCCCTCCCTCACTCACTCACTCCCACATCCACCCCCTTCACCTTCTCTTCAATCCCGAGCATGGTGAGCAGCACAGTGGGGGGCATGTAAGCGTCGTTGTACATGAAGAAATGACCCCTGTTGGGCACCACATGCAGCACACTGCCGTCCACCATCCTCCCAACCTCACTCTTCACTTTTTAACTCCTCACTCACTCCCTCACTCACTCCCTCACTCACTCCCTCACTCACTCCCTCGCTCGCCCCCACATTCTCTCCTTTCGCCCTCTCCTCCAGCCCGAGCATGGTGAGCAGCACAGTGGGGGGCATGTGGGCATCGTTGTACATGAAGAAATGACCCCTGTTGGGCACCACATGCAGCACACTGCCGTCCACCACCCTCCCCACATGCCGCGCATAGCCCACCCGTGCCCCCCAGTCCTCCTCCCCATGCCATATGTGCACCTTCCCCTTCAACCCCCCCGCTTCTCCCCCCGCCTCTCCTCCGCCCTCTCCCTCCTCGCCCTGTGTCTGAGAGAGGTCAATCTCGGAGAGGTTAAAGCCCCAGTCAGAAGCCAGGATCTCGAAATCCCTGTACCACGACACGCCTGCCCCTTGCCTTGCTCCCTCTTGCATGTTCTGCAAAGGCACGATGGGGAGGGGAAGGGGAAAGCAGGGAGAGCGTGGGGAGGGGTGGGTGCTGAGAGGATAAAACCCCAGCCAGGAGCGAGGATCGTGAAATCCCTATACCACGACACGCCTACCCCTTGCCTTGCTCCCTCCTGCATGTTCTGATAGAGGGGAGAAAGGGGAGGGGGAGGGGAGAGGAGGGGGTGTTGAAAGGTGTGAGAATGAGAGCATAACTGAGTCGACTCAGAAGTCATCTCATTTTGAGTCAACTCAAAAGAGGGGATTGGGGATGCCGGAAGTTCCCCATGGGCACCAGAGTCTGGGAGAACCACACGTGCAGCAGGGAGGGCACTCACACTCGCTCACTCACACCCCCATGCCCCAATCACACCCCCACACTCACCCGTGCGAAGTACCCGAACACCTCCTGACTCGCCAGGGCGGCCATGTCCGACTCATAGAGGTCAACCGGGTGCGGATGGAATGGATGGCGGAAGTTCCCCATGGGCACCAGCGTCTGGGAGAACCACGCGTGCAGCAGGGAGGGCACGTGGCGGGCCAGCAGCAGCGTGATGCGATCCTGCACTGGCATCTGCTGCCACGTGGCTGTGAACTCGTGCTTGGGCCACGTGGGGTCCCATGGGTTGCCCACTACGCTGATTATTGTCAGTCCCTTGAGCCTGAACGTGGGAAGGGAAAAGGAGGGTGGAGGGGGGAGAGGGTTGAGATGGGATGAAAGGAGATGAGACGAGAGGAGAGGAGAGGAGATGAGATGAGATGAGATGAGATGAGACGAGACGAGACGAGACGAGACGAGACGAGACGAGACGAGAGGAGATGAGAGGAGATGAGAGGAGATGAGAGGAGATGAGAGGAGATGAGAGGAGATGAGAGGAGATGAGAGGAGATGAGAGGAGATGAGAGGAGATGAGAGGAGATGAGAGGAGAGGAGAGGAGAGGAGATGAGATGAGATGAGATGAGATGAGATGAGATGAGATGAGATGAGATGAGATGAGATGAGATGAGATGAGATGAGATGAGATGAGATGAGATGAGATGAGATGAGATGAGATGAGACGAGATGAGACGAGAGAGATGAGATGAGATGAGATGAGATGAGATGAGATGAGATGAGATGAGATGAGATGAGATGAGATGAGATGAGATGAGATGAGATGAGATGAGATGAGATGAGATGAGATGAGATGAGATGAGATGAGATGAGATGAGATGAGACGAGACGAGATGAGATGAGATGAGATGAGATGAGATGAGATGAGATTAGATGAGACGAGATGAGATGAGATGAAATGAGATGAAATGAGATGAGACACATGGGCGACTGTAGCCAGAGCACCAAACAGGGCATGTGCTCACGCTCAGTGCGGGTCGGGTCAGGTGTTACAAGTCCCACCGAGCGCTCACCGGTGCAGCAAGTATCGGAACCACTTTTGAGACTTCTCAGAAGTGATTCGCAGGTATCGGAGAGCCCGTAACGCCACGTACAACCCCACGGACGTGGCCACGAGGAAGATTTTTGAGTCGACTCAAAAATCGACTTATCACACATGCCCATGGACGTGCTTTCGAGTCGACCCAAAAGTGGACGTGGCGACGAGGAAGAACTTCTCCCCCATCCCCAAAAGTGGACGTGGCCAACGCCACGTCTGCTCATGCCCAAGCCTCACCTGTGGGTTGGGTACCTCAACCCACCTCCTTACTCACCGGTGCGGGATGTATCGCAGTGCCCCCAGCGCCACGTAAGTCCCCATGGACGTGGCGACGGGGTAGAACTTCTCCCAAGCCCAGCCCCACCGCTGTCGCCACCTCGCCTGCATCCCGCACGTCGCTCTGCAGTGTGCGCCCCGGGTTGGGGTCGCTGTTCCTTTGAGTCGTCTCTAAAGTCGCGCTGCCCGTCCCGTACCCAGGCTTTCCCCACCAGCACTCACCGGTGCTTTTGAGAATTCTCAAAAACACCCTTCAGCACTCACCGGTGCGGCAGGTACCGGAGAGCTCCAAGAGCCACGTAAGTCCCCATGGACGTGGCCACGAGGTAGAATTTCTCCCCCAGCCCCACGGCCGTCGCCACCTCCCCCGCATCCCACTGCCACACTATGCGCATGCGCTCCCACCCACCAGCACTCACCGGTGTGGCATGTACCGCAGAGCTCCAAGAGCCACGTAAGTCCCCATGGACGTGGCGACGAGGTAGAATTTCTCCCCCAGCCCTGCTAGAGTCGCCACCTCCCCCGCGTCGCGCACGTCGCTCTGTAGTGTCCGCCCCGGGTTGGGGTCGCTCTGCCCGTACCCCGCGCGGTCGTAGCTCACCAGGCGAATGCCATTGGCTTCCAGGAACTCCTGGGGTGGGGAGGGGTCGGGAAGGGTGGGGAGGGGTGTGGAGGGGTGGAGATGGGCGGGGAGGAGAGGAAACGGATAGAGGGAGTTGTGATGCTGGGCTGGCTACAACGTGCGCCCCGGGTTGGGGTCGCTCTGGCCGTACCCCGCGCGGTCGTAGCTCACCAGGCGAATGCCGTTGGCTTCCAGGAATTCCTGTGGCGTGACCGAGGAGGGATGCGGTGCGGATGGGTGGGGATGTGTGGGGAAGGATGGGGAGGAGTGGAGAGGAGAGGGATGGGAAGGGGAGGAGAGAGTTGAGGCTTGGAGAGGGCGGTAACTGGACATGTCATCACAGAGACAGTGGACAGGTCACGACCCTGGAACATGGCACGTCATCGCACGTGCGTAATGTTGGGGCAGCACGCTCAGTCGGCACGTCTGAGGCCGTCAATGGGGAGGAGTTGGGAGGGGTGGAGAGGGGTGGAGAGGGGTGTAACCGTACCCCGCCCTGTCGCACCTGCGTGATGTTGGGCAGCATGCTCAGGCGGGAAGTCTGCCACGCGTGCACCACCAGCACCTGGTACTTGGCCACGTCAGCAGCCGCGCCCATCTCGTGGTACGCCACGTGGCGGCCGTCCGAGAGCCGGACGCGCGGGCTGGTGACGTCAGCATCGGTGAGCGGGATCGGCGGCGGGGCTTGAATGGCGCGGAAAATAAAGACGGCCCAGATGGCGATTATAAGAGCCACTACGGAGAAATAGAGCGACGTGGCGACTGAGGAGGGGCGGACGGGATGTGGGGAGGGAGAAAGAGAAAGGGAGATAATTAGGGAGAGTGAGAAGGGGAGATAAAAAGGGAGGGTGAGGGTTGAACGAGAGACGGATGGACCGGCGCGGATGATAAAGAGGGGGCGGATGGAGATGATAAAGAGGGGGCGGATGGAGATGATAAAGAGGGGGCGGATGGAGATGATAAAGAGGGGGCGGATGGAGATGATAAGAGGCACAATGGGTAGTGGAGTGGCGCCGCGACATGGACGCGGCGGGTTTGGGCGGAAAAGGCGCGCGCACTTGAGTTATACTCTGAAGTCTTCCAGCTACATTAGAACCACTTCTTGAGGATTCTTCCAGTCTTCCCATGCATTCCCTTTGAGACGTGCTATCTCATGTTAAAAACATGTCAAAGGGAATGCATTCTCATGTTAGAAACATTCTTCCAGCGAGCTCTCTCTCTCACCTCCCTGCGTGCCTTTCCCCGCACTTCCCGGCCTCGCATGGCTCTCCCGCGCACGCCGCCGCGCCGCCGCGAGTCGCGCGCGCTCCTGCGGAGTTAGCTGCTTCGCGCCGCCTGCTTTACCGGGTTGCGGTTTCGAGTCGCCTCCCGCGCCCGACGCGGCTGCCTGTGGGGGCTGCTCGGAACCGTTAGATCCAGAAGCACCGGCCATCGTATGGTGAGGAAAGGTTGCTGTGCGCCGCAAATCTAGACTCACATTCCCAGCACAAACGGGGATTCAACTCTGAAAGCCGCGTGAACGAGTACTTTTTTTTAATGTATAGTGGATCGAGAGAGCGAGCGAGAGCGAGAAAGCGAGGGACGAGGGATGGGTAGATCTACGTCCAGGAATTGGGATGAGCAGGGCCCGCGGCGAGGCCTGAGGGACGACAATGGGGGCAATGCAATGCAACCAGCCTATTGTTCGTACGGAACAGTAGGACCGCACAAGACAAGCGACCGACTTTACGCGTTGCACTGCACGGCAGAACCAAGACAGTACTGTCTTCCCAGATCCGGAATCGAGGTGGCGATTTTCAACGAACAGAGAGAAAAGGGGCACGTCTATGTGGTGGGGCGGGGCGAGGCACACGCGATACAAGATGAGTCGATAAACATACGAGTGCGTCGCGTGGGGTGCCTGGCCCATGTATTGGTGTCAGGGTGTAGCTGAAGTGTCTGCTTAGTTATCAATGAAGGTGTATGCAGAGAATAGTGCACTCGAAAAAGGGAAATTTTCTGCATTAGTGTTACCCTTTTGCGAATACTTTCGAATTCGCTCGGCCATTATGGTTCGCAAGCTACGAGTAAGGGCGTGTAAGATCACGGAACCCCAAGAACAAGGCATCACCGAAGCTGTACTTCTAGTTATAGCTTGGAGATTACCCGTACAGATGTTTGGCCTCGACTAGTGATGCATTCGGAGGATTGGGATTCCAAGTGCTTGCGAGCTAGTACTCATGAGTCATGAACTAGCCCGAGCTACTCATGAGTCATGACCTGGCGCCGTATATGAATTTCCCCATCGTTTTTTCCCTACCACTGTACTCAGACTTCAAAAATTTCAGCGATTCCAGATGACCCTACTGTTGTCTAGCGCGATAACGTGGCAAGATGGTGCCACGTGGCAGCATCACGTTTCTTGGTGGTTAGCCTTCTTTCCGTGGGCTGGATTAGCAGCCGGAACGCTGTTCCTCGCTTATCGCCTCGTGTATGTGCCCTACCGCATAGTGCAGCTGTGCAAGACGCAAGGCATTCCTTTCCTCCCATTCAAGTAAGGCATTTCGTTCCGCCTTCAAGTAAGCCCCTTTCTTTCGCCGATTCAAGAAAAGCATTTCATACTTGCCGTTGGAGCATTGATGCATTCCGTTCGTTCTGCTCAAAGCAAGCCTACATCCGAAATCTTACGAGTCATTCCGCTGCATCTCTACATTTTTCCACCAGAATACCGTGCTGTTTATTCCTGCTGCTCCAGGCACACACATTCTTGTCATTGAAGCACATTCTTGCCTCGCCTCCCTTCCCCTCACTCCCCATCTCCCCTTTATGAGACGACTTAAAGCCCCCCACCCCCTATGCCCCTCCTCGCATCCCGCCTCTTTCCCGCCGTCCCCGCCTCCTATGCACTCCAGACCTATCATTGGTCAGGCGCTCGATCTCTACCGTCGCACCCCACCGTTCCCCAACCAAACCCCCCCTCCCCCCTCCAACTCCGCCTCCTCCCCCTCCTCCCCCGAATCTCCCCCCGCCACACACGGCCCGGCTGTGTTGGTTCCGCGGCTGTACCCGTGGTGCCAGCAGTACGGGGACGTGTTCGGGTTCACTATAGGGGCGACGGTGCAGCTGGTTATAACGGATCCTGCACTAGTGAGACAGGTACAGTGACGTGGGTATGTTGTAATTTGACGTGATGTGATTTGACGTGACGTGACGTGATGTGATGTGATGTGATGTGATGTGATGTGATGTGATGTGATGTGATGTGATGTGATGTGATGTGATGTGATGTGATGTGATGTGATGTGATATGCTGTGCTGTGCTGTGCTGTGCTGTGCTGTGATGTGATGTGATGTGATGTGATGTGATGTGATGTGATGTGATGTGATGTGATGTGACTGCATGAGATGTGATTGCATGAGATGCATGCAGAACGAAAATAAGACACAGTGCTCCTGGTTCCACCACCCACATCCTCTCTCTTCTTCCCTCCTCTCTTCCCTCCCCTCTTCCCTCCCCGATTTCCCTCCTCACCGATATTCTTCCCACTTGCCTTCTCCTTGCAGTGCTCACCTGTCCTCGCTTTTCTTCCTCCATCTACCCGCCTCGTCTCTGCCAGGTCTTCTTATCCAGCAGCGGGAGATTCACCAAGGCAGGGGGAACGCACGGCAGTCTCGGAGGCGCCTCAAAATGCCATGCGCCCCTCTCGACTCTGGCAGGTCCTGCTATCCAGCAGCGGGCGCTTCAGCAAGACAGCAAGGGCGCGCAAGGCATTGAGGCTGCTGGGAAACGGTCTGCCTCTCTCAGAGGGGTCGCTGTGGGCCCGGCAGCGCCGAATCATCAACCCCGCCTTCCGCCCCACGGCTATCAAGGTGGGCGCTATGGGCCCGGCTAGTAGCAGCCATGTGACCTTACCATGTGGTTTCGTGCTGTTAGGGGCTTGTGGCCTGTGGTGGTTGTCTGGTGCAAGATGTATGGCGGCTCGGCAAGGGTTGAGACACATGGGGGCATGGCTGCTGGGGAAGGGTCTGCCTCTCTCAAAGGGGTCGCTGTGGGCCCGGCAGCGCTGCATCGTCATCCCCGCCTTCCTCCCTGCTGCCATCAGGGCAAGTTAACGGCTGATAGTCGTGCTGGCTTGTTGACTTTTTTCAGTGAAATTTCGTTCCCGTGCTGAACCTTACTGGCTGGCTCATGCGGGCAAATGACCTGTGCTGGCTGTCTCTCTCGCTCTTGACTCATTGGTTTAGTGAGATATTCGTTTGCCACGTTTGTCCTGCATTGACCTTCGTTGACCTGCGTTGACCTGCGTTGACCTGAGTTGGCTCGTGCAGGAGATGGTGAGGATCATGGACGAGCAGGCTCACTCCCTGGCGACCTCGTGGTGGCATCGGCTGCAGCAGCAGAGCCAGGCATCATCAACAGCAGCAGGACGACAGGGAATGTCATCAACCAAGTCGGGTGCCAAGGAGGGGGTTCAGGAAGGAGTGCAGGAGAACAACTCGCAAAATATCAAGCGTGCTTGTAGCGAGTGCGCCTCTATGGAGGTGGACGTGCAGGAGAGCATGTCCCTCGTGGCTCTGGATGTCATCGGCCTCGCTGCCTTTGGCTCTGCTGTCATGCACGAGGGGGGCGAGGAGGAGGAGGGGGGAGCGGTGAAGGAGGGTGGCAGGTCCAAGGCAACGGTAGATAAAGCAGCAGCAGCAGCGCCACTACCACCATTACTACCAGCAGCAGCAGCTGTAGCAGGGGCACCAGCTGTAGCAGGGGCGCCGGATCCAGTGCAGCTGTACAACGCGTTGTCCAAGCTGGCAGAGCAGGACGGCAAGAGAGTCACTTCCTGGCGCTCCCTCGTGCCCTTCTACGAGTAAGAGTGCTGCCACCAACGTGCCTCCACCGTGCCTCCACCGTGCCTCTGCCGTGCCTCCACACTTGTGCGTCACCGTGCTCGTCTGACCATGCACATTTCCTTTCTCCGGAAAGTCATGCTCTGCTCGTAAGAATGGAATCCATTCTGTCCCAAAGCCCGGCCCTTGTCCACTCTCTCCATCCTGCAAATACTCCAGGCACACACTCTATCCACACTCTTATCTCTTGCATGTGTTGCTGAGATGGGGGGGATGTGTATACTGCCTATCTCTCTTTCCAAGCTCTTGCTGTCCGCCCACCTCAGCATCTTGCCGCTTCCAGAAAACTTTGCACTCTGGGCAGCGGAAAAGAGCATTCGCAACCTGACCTTGCACCTGATAGGCAAGAGGCGGGCAGCATCAGCAGCAGTACACGCGGAGGAGGCACATGGAGAGTCAGAGAAGCATCAGGGAGGGCCAACAGGGAGGGCAGCTCGGGACCTGCTGGCGCTGATGCTGGCAGCACATGACGAGGCAGGCAATGAGCAGATGACGGATCAACAGCTCATGGACGAATGCATCACCTTCCTCCTCGCTGGTATGCTTTCCTCCTCGCTGGTATGCTTTCCTCCTCGCTGGTACTCCCCATCCCCCTCTACCTCCTCCCCTCCCTTCTCTTCCCTATCCCCGCCCCTCCCAGGCCCACATCCGCGCTTACCCCCGCTCCATTTCCTTTTCCTCCCTTTTTCTTTCCACTCAGCCTCTCTCCTTCCCTGATAACCCCCCCACTTCCCCCCTCTCCTGCATTGTCAACGATCTTCTCTGCATAGCGTTCCTCGTATGTCGCCTCCTCATATGTCACCTCCTCGTATGTCACCTCCTCGTATGTCGCCTCCTCGTATGTCGCCTCCTCGTATGCCGCCTCCTCATATGTCGCCTCCTCATATGCCGCCTCTTCATATGTCGCCTCCTCGTTTGTCACCTCCTCATATTTCTCCCTGCCTAGCCCGCATTGCCAGGCCACAGCACCACAGCGCACCTGCTGACGTGGACGTTCTATCTGCTGGCGAAGCATCCCGACTGGCAGGAGAGGCTGAGAGCAGAGCTCAAGCAGGCGCTGACTCAGCAGGGGGCACGAGACACGTCAGCAGCCGCCACAACCACCACAGGAACAGGAGCAGCAGAAATGGCAGGGTCAGAAACAGGACGAGAGAATCACGAAGAGAGAAGCCAAGGGGGGCCTGCAGGGGAGGGAGAGGGGCGAGGACAGGAGGGAGGAGAGCGAGGGGAAGGCGAGAGAGAAGGAGGAGGGGGTCGGGTGACATGGGAGGTGGTGGCAGCACTGAAAGACATGGGCATGGTGCTGCAGGAGAGCATGCGCATGTTCCCGCCGGTCCCTTTCTTAGGCCGCACGTGCCAACAGGTAGAGACCGCAGTGGGGTTTTAATGGCAGCGGGATTCAGATGGATGGTGGACAGCTCATTTTGGTTCCATTGCTCTGAAGCTCTTGGAATCATTGTCCACACACTCATACAGGTTTCCTCTCCTCCTCACTCTCTCTTCCTCCTCACTCTCTCTTCCTCCTCACTCTCTCTTCCCCCTCACTCTCTCTTCCCCCTCACTCTCTCTTCCCCCTCACTCTCTCTTCCCCCTCACTCTCTCTTCCCCCTCACTCTCTCTTCCCCCTCACTCTCTCTTCCCCCTCACTCTCTCTTCCCCCTCACTCTCTCCTCCTCCTCAGTCTCTCCCCCTTCTCACTCTCTCCTCCCTCTCTCCAGGCGTGTAGACTGGGGCCATATGACCTACCGAGGGGCACAGACGTGCTGATACCAGTGGCCATGCTGCACTACGATCCGCGCTTCTGGGGCCCCCATGCCCTCCACTTCAACCCTGAACGCTTCGCCAGTCCGTCCAGTTGGTTGCCTGTGCCTCATTGTTCTCGTTCCACATTAGTTCTGTTACCACTTCTGTTTCTCCCGACTTCTGTTTCTCCTGACTTCTGTTTCTCCCGACTTCTGTTTCTCCCGACTTCTGTTTCTCCCGACTTCTGTTTCTCCCGACTTCTGTTTCTCCCGACTTCTGTTTCTCCCGACTTCTGTTTCTCCCGACTTCTGTTTCTCCCGACTTCTGTTTCTCCCGACTTCTGTTTGTGTACACTGCTTTCCCCTTGTTCTCTCTGATGTTCACTCCCACAAAACTTCAATCCTATGTGGTTTGCGCTTAGCGTTTGCATCATGTTCCTCATTTGCCCGTCTCTCTCACACCTGCCTCAAACCCCAACCGTTCCAGGAGGACCAGATGAAGCCTGTTCTCACCCCCAGGCATTCCTCCCCTTTGGTTCGGGCCCGCGTATCTGCATTGGAAACAACTTTGCCCTCACCGAAGCAAAGGTGGTCCTGGCGCACATCTTGCGGCGGTTCTCATGGCGCCTCTCCCCAGCCTGTAGGCATTTCCCTGTCAGCTCTGTCACGCTGAGGGCATCGTTAGGCATGCATGTAATGGTCGAGCCATTGGCAAACCGTTTTTGAGTTTCATATGCGGTGGTGGTTGCAAATAGTAGAACATCAGCATAAATTTAAACATTTACATGTTCGTTACAGTGTTCCATGCCCCTACGACCTAGGGAGCTTTGGCTTGGAACCTTTGAAATACCAAGACCTAGCGTGTACTCATCAATTTCTGGCCGTCAGATTTGCACCTTGGTGATTCCATACCCTGCATCCAACGCTAGGCATGAGAAAAATGTTTGGTGCTGATGTTGAAAAGAATGTGATGCCATATGCTGATTCCCAAATGTGTAAATTTGCATGCTGCGTTGGAGTTCTTGCTGTTTCCCGTTAGGATATTGTTCAGTACCTTATCCCGCTACTCCCTACCTCATAGCACTAGACTCCCAGCTGTTCCAGATGACCCTAGTCCCAGAGTCTAGCACGGTAACGTGGCAGGATGGTGCCACGTGGCAGCACCAAATTCCCTGGTGGTTAGCCTTCGTTCCATGGGCTGGAATAGCAGCCGGAACGCTGTTCCTCGCGTACCGCCTCGTGTACGTGCCCTACCGCATAGTGCGGCTGTGCAAGAAGCAAGGCATTCCCTTCCTCCCATTCAAGTAAGGCATTTCGTTCCCGCCTTCGAGTAAGACCCTTATATTCCGCCGGTTCTAACAGAGCATTTTGTTCTTGCCATTTTAATTTTTGCAGTGTTCTGCTCGTTCCGCTGAGTTAATAAGCGTACGATTAAGGCATTTTCGAGCCAATACGCTGCGTTCTTAAGAAGTTTCCGCTAGAACAGGCGTTTCAACTCTCCCCCGGTCCCACACCCCATGTCCCTCCGCTCATATTGACTCCGTCCATGCCGTCCCCTGCTCATATGCACTCCAGGCCTTTCATCGGTCAAGCGCTCGACCTCTATCGTCTCACCCCTCCTCCAGCCCCGCCCTCCTCCCCCAACCAACCCCCCTCTCCTGCCTCCGCTTCTTCCGCCTCCGCCTCCGCCTCCGCCTCCGCCTCCCCCGCCCCCGACTCTCCCCCATCCACGCACGGCCCGGCTGTGTTCCTTCCGCGGCTGCATGAGTGGCGCCAGCAGTACGGGGACGTGTTCGGATTCACCATAGGGGGGACGGCGCAGCTGCTTGTAACGGATCCTGCACTAGTGAGGCAGGTCCTGCTATCGAGCAGCGGGCGCTTCAGCAAGACAGCGGGGGCGCGCAAGGCATTGAGGCTGCTGGGGAACGGCTTGCCTCTCTCAGAAGGGTCTCTGTGGGCCCGGCAACGGCGCATCGTGAATCCTGCCTTCCGACCTGCAGCCATCAAGGTGGGTGGAATGGAAAGGTCATTCCTAGCAATGCTCTAAGGCGCTGAGGCTGCTGGCAACGGTCTGCCTCTCTCAGAGGGCTCACTGTGGGTGGGCCTGGCAGCGCCGCATTGTCAACCCCTCTTTCCCCCCCGCAGCCATCAAGGTGCCGCACATGCAACTTTTTTTTGCCCGTGTTGGTGAACCTTGTTGGTAGTTGACCCACACTGGTTGTTTCTATCACTGTTGACTCATTGGCGTTGGAACTAGCTTCTAACGCGTTGACCTGCGTTGACCTGCATTGACCTGCATTGACCTGCGTTGACTCATGCAGGAAATGGTGGGAATCATGGATGGACAGGGTCGGTCCTTGGCGACCTCATGGTCGCATCAACTGCAGCGGCAGAGGCAGGGGAGTGCAGAGGCAGGGCAGGGGGTTGCTTTTAGCGAGCGTGCTTGTAAGGAGCGTGCGTCCATGGAGGTGGACGTGCAGGAGAGCATGTCCCTCGTGGCTCTGGATGTCATCGGCCTCGCTGCCTTTGGCTCTCCTGTCATGCACGAGGAGGGCGAGGAGGAGGGGGGAGCAGTGAAGGTGAGGGAAGGGAAAGAGGGTGATAGGCTTGTGTCTGGAGCAGCAGCACCAGCAGCAGCACCAACAGGGCCAGCGGCAGGGGATCCAGTGCAGCTGTACAACGCGTTATCCAAGCTGGCAGAGCTGGGCGCCAAGAGAGTCTTCTCCTGGAGATCCCTCGTGCCCTTCTACGAGTAAGACTGATTTCATACCCGCGCCGTGCCTGCACCGTGCCTGCACCGTGCCTGCATCGCAAGAGTGCCTGGGTTCTTGCCAATGTCCACGGTGACTTACCAGGGCATTTTCCATGTTTCCATGACAATGCTCTTCTTGATTTCTTTTTGAGGCGCCTCAAAAATACCTGCACCGTGCCTGCACAGCAAGAGTGCCTGTGTACTTGTCCATGTCCACTTTAATTAACCAGGGCCATGTTTCTTGATTAAACAGGGCCACATGCACAATGCTCTTCTCGATTTCTTGTGCGTGCGCTACCTCCCTCTCTTCTACGCCCTGATTGCCCCTCCGTTGCAGCATCCTGCCGCTTCCAGAAAACTTTGCCCTCTGGGCAGCAGAGAAAAAGATCCGCAACCTGACCCTGCACCTGATTGGCAAGAGGCGTGGCGGCAGCAGCAGCAGCAGCAGCAGTGCACGCGGAGGAAGCACATGTACATGGAGAGTCAGAGAAGCATCAGGGGGGGGCAACAGGGAGGGCAGCTCGGGACCTGCTGGCGCTGATGCTGGCAGCACATGACGAGGCAGGCAACGAGCAGATGATGGATCAACAGCTCATGGACGAATGCATCACCTTCCTCCTCGCTGGTACTGCGTCTCTGTTTCAAATCAAACTCTGACTGCACCTCTTTGTTTCACAACTGGGAATGCAAGGAACATATGAGGGACCGACAGCTCATGGGTGCACCGCCTTCCTCCTGTGAATGGAACAGATGAAGGCGGTCCATCTCTCCACCCACCGCCTTCCCCCTGCTGGAATTACACCCGTCCCCTCCCGTTTCCCCTCTTGCCCCCGTCTCCATGCGCACCCCCCCCAACCCTTGTACTCCGATTCCAGGCCACGGCACCACTGCACGCCTGCTGACGTGGACGTTCTATCTGCTGGCGAAGCATCCCGACTGGCAGGAGCGGCTGAGGGCAGAGCTCAAGCAGGCGCTGACTCAGCAGGGGGCACGAGACAAGTCAGCAGCCGCCACAACCAGCACAGCGGCAGGAGAAGTAGAAGAGGCAGGGTTAGAGAAATGTGGAGGAAAGTCAGGAGAAGCAGGCCAAGGGGAGTGTGGAGGGGAGGGAGAGGAAGGAGGACAGGAGGGAGCAGGGAGAGAGGGAGCAGAGCGAGTGGGAGGGGGGCAAGGGGAAGGTGAGGGGCGGGGAGGAGGGGGGCGGGTGACATGGGAGGTGGTGACAGCACTGAAAGACATGGCCATGGTGCTGCAGGAGAGCCTGCGCATGTTCCCGCCCGTCTCCTTCATCAGCCGCACGTGCCAGCAGGTAGATAGACACAGGCGGCCGGTTCAGTTCGGCCGGTTCAGTTTGAGTGCAAAAGATGGGCTGGTATGGTCTGGGGGACTCACATTATCAGAGGGCTCAAATGCCAAGAGGGGCTCAAATGGGCAGGATATTCTTAATTGGGCCAAGGTGGTTTAACTGGCAAGGAGGGTTTGAAGGGAATGGAGGTTGAGCATTCAAATGGGTGGAAATGGGTTTATTCACGTGTGTTGCATGTTCTCAGCCTATCCCATCCCATCCTGCCTGCCACTCCCCTCACTCTCTTCCCCTCGCCCTCTCAACCTTACTCTCCCCCCCTCTCACTCTCCACCCTTCACTCCCACCAGGCATGTAGACTGGGGCCGTACGACCTACCGAGGGGCACGGATGTGCTGATACCAGTGGCCATGCTGCACTATGACCAACGCTTCTGGGGCCCCCATGCCCTCGACTTTAACCCCGACCGCTTCGCCAGTCCGTCCCTCTGTTTGCTTTCGTCTTCCCTTATTCCTCTTTCCGCACTTTCGCTGCATCAATCTGTTTCTCCCTCCTCTTTGTTTTCGACAATTCTCATGTGCTTTCACGTCCCCTACCTCTATTCTGCTGTAATGTCGCACTACTTTAGTACCAGGTAATTTGTGCTCAAATCTTCATATCCCTCGAATGCCCGTTCTCCTCCCATGCGTTCATTGATCCTCAATCATCCCAGAAGGACCAGATGAAGCCTGTTCCCATCCCCAGGCGTTCCTTCCCTTTGGTTCGGGCCCACGCATCTGCATTGGAAACACCTTTGCCCTCACCGAGGCAAAGGTAGTTTTAGCGCACATCCTCATAAGGTTCTCGTGGCGCCTTTCCCCGGCCTATAAGCACTTCCCCATCAGTGCTGTCACTCTGAGGGCGGGATTCGGCATGCACCTAAATGTCGAGCCACTGGAAGACCCATTTTGACGGAGAAAGAAAAGGAATTGGGGAAGGAAAGAAATTATCTGCAACCAGCCTATGTACAACAAAGAAACGGTAGTTATATGTTTACATGTATATGGTGAATTCATATGTGCTACTTTTATTTCTACTCATGTTTTAGTGCCTCTCGCAATCGCTGATTCTATTCCGAACCAATGTGTGGTTGGGGGCTTGAGTGAATATCTGGAAACAATCCAAGGTCAGCGTCTTCCTGGCTTACCTTTCCAAGCCACATCATCGCACTCTGTGGCTGGAAGCATTCTGCAGAATTCGATTTGTGCCCTTGACGTTCACATGACGATGAGATACTTCAGCGAACAAGGTTGGCCACAAGACGAAGCAAAGGGCATCCTAGTCTGACTAATATCTCGCAACTTTTTCTCGTACTTCAGCTATTTTGCTGCCCGTACAGTCTCACCTTGTCAAGTAATGATTTCTGTACACAAGCTTCTGTTTCTGGATGGTCCTCGATTCTTGTGGGGATTTTTCTAGGCTCGAACCTGTCAGCATGGTCCACCTGTCACCTGCTCTCCAGCACCAACATCATGTCCGCACCGCACAATCGGGGTTCGTTTAGATTTTGGAATTTGGCTGTTGATTTGGAAGGGTGCTCTGGCTGGTGGTGCTGTTCCAGTCACCCAAGAAAAGTTCCCTCCTCCTTGTCAGACAAGCAAACGAATGAATCCGTTCTTCACATCACGTGTTCTGCTGCCTTGCGTGTTCGTCGTCACTAGACCACTACAGTAATTTGTCTTGAGGATCAACAATCTCCTCGGTTCGCCCTTCATGGCCCCGAATATGCGGAGTGACAAGGCAAATGAAATGACAGAAAACGCACTCGGGCAGTTCCGAAAGGCTCGACCGCCGAAACGGCAATTTCGAGATATTCTCCACCGCGGCATCTGTTCGGCCATTTTGGCCCTGAGTTCGCTTGGCTGATATTGCTCGGCAGATGGTGCGCAAAAAAAGCAGCCTGACCGTGCCACGAGGGTGCAGCATTCGATCCGACATTCTGAAAGCCGCGAAGTCGAGTTCATCTGTTCAGCAAACCAGCCAACCACGGGTGAGCAACTGATATCCAACAGCACCAAGGGGAGAAGTGAGGGTTTCAAGGAGGAGGAAAAGATTTTTCATAGGTCCTGGCCCTATCATGCTGCAGCCACACAAGTCGAAAAGGCGGAGGAAAAAATCCGGGTGAGACGAGGAAGAAGGAGAGCCACACACGTGTTGATAGAGGGGACACATTGGAGTTGTCTTGATTAGCTCTCACCCCATCTATTCATGCAAGACTCTTGCTTCCTTAGCTGAGAAAGCTTGTTCCTGTCTGATCTTCTTGAATGTTCACGAGGAGATGCTCAGCAAATTTCACGCTGGATGTCAGAGATATCGCCTTTCAATCCTACGAAAAGATTTTGGGATCATATTTCGTGCTTAGCCTGTCTACTACAGACCAGGCGATTGTGATAAGGAACCGATACCAAAATGGCTGGAGAGTTCGGGGATTTAGATTTAGATAGAAGAGACGCTGTAAGAGGCGGCGGAGGGAATGTCGGCGAACGTCGGCACGGTCACAGTCTAGACAGGGAGTTCGACCGAATAGCTCTCGCAGTTGATCAGATGTACGATCAGAACAACGGCGAAGTAGGCCGGCAAATCTTCCCGCAAAACCAGGAAGAGCAGAGCCCGCTACAACCCGAGCCTCAGACTCAACAACAACCGAATACCGATGTTGTTCTTGGCGCTGATGTTGCTCCGGGAGACGAGAACGGATCTGGTCATGACCAACTTGACAGCAGCGCGAAAAACGAGCAGCACAAACAGCAGAACGAAGCTAATAGCAATAACGAGGAGGAGGACGATGGGGACGAGACGGGCGACGATTTCGAGTTGCACGATGGGCCGAACGAAGCGGGCGGTGGCGGGGGTTGGGGGGTATTGATGGAGGGTTCGCTGCGCGTGCTGCTTGTAGAAGACGACGACTCCACGCGCCACGTCGTCTCGGCGCTCCTCCGAAACTGCTCTTATGAAGGTGGGCCTCGAGCGGACCAACTGCGGGGAACGATTTTCGATGTACCGCAGTTCCTACTTTCTAGGCGCCTCATTAGAATCGGCCGCAAACCTACTGACTGCGGGGAATGAGAAAAGGCTAGCCGAAGTTCGCTTTTTGCGTAGGATTAGCCGGCTCTAAATAGGTCCGTGGTAGTAATCTGCCGGCGTACATTTGCTAAGCGGTCAGCGGTCAGTGCGTGTTGGTAGGCGAATGAGTGAAGGGGAGTTAAGCGTGCTGTTAGTGGGATGTGCTTTTAATGGGGTGTGCTGCTAGTGAAGTACGATGACCGCGTCGGGTGTGGATTGTGTTTGCGAATGGATGATTAAGTCTCGGCGGATTCGTAGTGAAGTTGGTGTAGATCCAGCGGCTCGCTTACGAACCGCTGGCCGCGGCGACACTTGCAGCTTACACGAGGAGCAATATAACTCGTTAACGTCCGAGTTAACGGTCAATACATTCAGTTACCGTCTTACGGCGTTCTCCATTCTCCCTGCATCACAGCATCCATTGTCGTGGCCTTTCTCAATCTCTCCAACTCCCGACATTTCCCCACCCTCGCTTCCCCCTCCTCCCCCTCGCCCCCACCCCTTCCTCCCCTCTCCCCTTGCCCACCCCGTCTCCCGCTCCCCTCCGCCCGCTTCTCCCCTTCCCTATTCTCCTCTCCAACCTCCACCTTTTCTCCCCGATACAGTCACACCCGCGTCGAGCGGGCAGCACGCGTGGGAGATTCTATCGAGCGGCAGCGGCGGGCGGTTCGACCTGGTGCTGACGGACGTGGTGATGCCGGGGCTGTCGGGCATCGCGCTGCTCGCTCGCATCATGACCAAAGAGGAGCTGCGCGGCATCCCCGTTATAAGTACGTGCGCGCCATCCCCGTTGGCTCGTGCGCGCACTGCACGCCGTGTAGGAATCGACCGTGGGGCTGTGTAGCCTCTCAAGTCTCACGTCATGTGGATGTTGCGTTCCGATGAGATCTCATGTCACGGCACGGAAGCAGGGAGATCACGGCAGTTTGCAGATCACGGCAGTTTGCAGATGACGGCACTCTAGTGCTTCCCGTCCTTGTCTCTTGACCCTCTACTCCTTCCAAACCCACTCCGTCCCCGTCCCCCCCTTCCAGTGATGTCGTCGCACAACAGCATGGAGATGCTATTGAAGTGCTCTCTAGTCCTCCCCTGCTGACCGTCTTATCCGCCTCTGCTCCCCATCCGCCCCCCAACCCCACCTTCCCGCTCCCACCCCTCCAGTGATGTCGTCGCACGACAGCATGGAGATGGTGTTGAAATGTTTTCAGAGGGGTGCGGCGGACTTCCTGGTGAAGCCAGTGCGCAAGAACGAGCTCAAGAACCTCTGGCAGCACGTCTGGCGCCGATGCCACTCCGTACGCCCCCTCTCCCTCTCGCCTCCTCGCCCTGCCCCCTCGCCCTGCCCCCTCGCCCCTCGCCCCTCGCTCTCTCTGCCCCTTATCTCTCGCCACTCCGCGTCCCGTCTTTATTCACCGTCATTCGCCGTGCATTTTCCCTCAGCGTCCCCTCCCATCCGCGCCCGTCCCCTCACTCGTCCCCGCCTTCCTCTCCCGTCCCCCTCGACTCTCCTTCCTGACCTTTCAAGTTCGATCTCGCACTGCTGCATTCTGCGTTTCCTCTCAACTTGCACACCAGTCGGCATGCTCTGCTTACCTTGCTCCCCTTCCTCATCGCGTCTTCTCTCTTCCCTCTCTTACCTCCCCTCCCTGTCCTCTCGCTCTTCCCTCCCCTCCTTTCGTGCTGTCTCTCTTCCCTCTCGCCCGTTCTGGCCCCTCTCTCGCCCGTTCTGGCCCCTCTCTCGCCCTGCTTCTCAGTCGAGCGGCAGTGGCAGCGGCAGCGGCAGCGGCACCAATGGCAAGGTGCTCATGGGACTCGCCAATCAGCGCTCGCCCAACGCCGCGTACGCCGCGGGGGACGCCGCCACTGCCGCCGCCGCTGCTGCTGACGGCGGCGGCGGCGGTGGGGTTGTCCGCGGTGGGGGCGGAGGGGAAGGGGAAGGGGAAGGGGAGGGGGAAGGGGAAGGAGAAGATGTGTATATGGAGAGGGATGGCGATGGGAACGTTGATGCGAATGGTGGGAGCGACAACGGCAGCGGCACTCAAGTTGCCACCCAGGTGAGGCGTGGGTTTGTCAGGCTCTCTGGCGGGTAAGGAACAGGCCACTTTCCTTGTCTCCCCTTCCCCTTATTCCATCCTCCGCCTGAGTTTCTTTCTTTCCCTTGTAAACCCCCCTTGTCGTCTTTCAAGCATATGCCGCCGTCCCTTCATACCTGTTTCTATCCCCTCCAAACCTGCCGTCGTCACTCCGCCCGCTCTTCCTTCACCCCTCTCTCCTTCCCCTCGCTGTCCCACGGCGTCACTCACCCTCCCCTCTCTCCCTCCTCTCCGCGCGCCCCTCTTTTGAGGCGCCTCAAAAGCCCCCCCCCCCCCGTCTCACGGTGTCACTCACTCTCCCTTCTCTCCCACTCCCGCGCGCCCGTCTGATCCCGCCAGGTGGACAACCAGCACGCGCAAGCCGCCAAGGCGCAGCAGGCGCGGGGGGTAAAGGGGGAGGAGGTGGGGACGAGAGGAGAAGGCGCAGGTGCTGCGAGGGTGGGGCAAGATCCGGCCGGGTTGAGAGAGAGCCGTCCGCCGCCGCAGCAGCAGGGCAGGGGCGGCAGGGGCGGCAGGGGGGGCAGGGGGGGCAGGGGGGGCTGGGGGTGGAGTGGTGTCAATGGGGGCGGGGCAGAAGGGGTTGTGGCGGGGGAGGCAGTGCGCGCAGCGGAGGCGGTGGTGGAAAGCGCGCAGGCTTCGGGGGAAGGTTCGACCAAGAAGGAGGAGTGTGAGGGGCCGGCGCGAGGGGAAGGGAATGGGGAAGCGGAGGATGAAGCGGAGGAAATGGCGGGGGAAGCGGCGGAGGAGGAGGCAGAGGTGGATGGAAACCAGCAGGAGGGGGAGGAGGAAGTTGTGAAAGGGAGAATGCATCGTGCTGCAGGTGATTGTGACACTGCTGCTGGTGCTGCTGGTGACACTGATGCTGTTCCTGCTGTTGCTGCCGAAAGGGAATCCGGAATGGATGTTGGCGGAGCAATCGCGAAGGATTCAGTGACAGGGGCACCGGCAGTCGAACCTGAAACTGCTGCTGATGCTGCTGCTGCTGCTGCTGCTCCTGCTGCTCCTGCTGCTCCTGCTGGTGCTGGTGCGAATGCTGCAGTGGTGGTAACACCCGTGGTAACGCAAATGGTTACCTCAGTGGTCGGCTGCTTACACAACGGATCGCTCTCCCAGGGGGCTGTTCCTGCTCTTGTCGAGATGGCTTGTAAGGCGGACAGAGATGGGAAGAAGGTTCGGTGGAGCCTCAGCACAAAGGAGGAAGCTGCAACGGAAGGTGCCGAGGAGGAAGCTGCAGAGGAAGATGCAGAGGAAGGTGCAGACGAAGGTTCTTCCCCAGCCAAGAGTTTGGGAGGCGTGCAAGTGGAGAGGCCTCTTGAAAAGAACGTGACTGTAAGGGGCGACGACGCAGAGAAGGACTTTACCATGAGGGAACGCGGTGAAGAGATGCTGGTGGAAGGCGGGCGTGGGGAGGGGGCGGTGGAGCAAGAGGCGGAAGGGAGGTCTGAGGGGGATGGATGGAGAGAGAGGGGCCACGCTGGTGCTGATGCTGATGTGAGGAAGAGAGGGCGGGATGACGGGGATGAAGGGGGAGAAGGAGCAGAAGGAGCAGAAGGAGCAGAAGGAGCAGAAGGAGCGACGGGAGCGGCAGGGACATTGAAAACTGCAGGAGCAGCAGAAGCATCGGAGGGAGGAGGGGAGGAGGACGGTAGGAGAGTGAGGAGGCGAGTGGAAGCAGACGAGGGTGGGAAGATAGGGAGAGGGAATGTAGCAATGCAAATGGAAGAGGAGGAGAGGGAGAAAGAGAGGGAGAGTCCGCGGCAGCAGGGCAACTGGAGGCAGGATCAAAGCTACTACCACCAGCATCACACCCAGAATCACCATCAGAACCAGCACCAGCATCAGAACCAGCACCAGCACCAGCATCAGCATCAACCGCACATGCACGTTCAGCACCATGCTTCCCATCAACATGCATCGCAGCACCATGCAGCAGCATGGCAGCAAGCGGCGTGGCAGCAGACCCCCTGGCAGCACTCGGGTCTCTCTGCCTTCACGCGCTACACCACCAACCCCACTGCAGCAATCCCTCTTCCTCCTCCTGCTGCTGGGCCCGTTCCTGTGGCTGCTGCCGCTAGTCCTGTTATTGTTCCTGGTGCTGCCCCTGCTCCTGCTCCTGCTGCTGCTCCTGCTCCTGCTCCTGCTGCTGCTGCTGCTGCGGCTGCTGCTGCTGCTGCTCCTGCAACCGTTATTCCTCTCGCTGCCTCTGCTCCAGGCCCCAGCCGTTCGCTCACGCCTCACGTTACAAGCACACCCGATACAGGCGCTTCTGGTACCATCACTCCTGGTTCATCCATAGCCGTCACAGGAGCTGGGGGGCATCAACAATCGCACCACCTGCATCACCACCACCACCATCACAACCAACGAAACCAGCACAACCAGCAACACCAGCAACACCAGCAACACCAGCAACACCAACAACACCAGCAGCAGCAGGAGTGCCAGCAGCTATTTCCCCAGAGCCCAGCTCACCAGGTGTCGAGCCAACCGCCCAAGTCCGTGGTTGGTTCGGGCGGTCTGGTTGCAGGTTCGGGTGGTGCGGGAGGTTCGGGTGGAGGCTCGGGAGAGAAGATGGACGGCAGCAGCGGGCTGACAAGCGTGCGTGATGGCGGTGGGAACAGTGGTAGTGGGGGGAGTGGGGGGGAGAAGGGTAGTGCGAATGTGGAGGGTGGGAGGAGAGGAGGAAATGAGGGAGAGAGTCGGACGGCAGTGTCACAGAGAATACCAGAAGCAGACGCAACACCAACTGCCAATGCAGCTGCAACACCAGCAGCACCAGCACCAGCAGCAGCACCACCGGCAGCACCACCGGCAGCGGCAGAAGCAGAAGCACCAGCAGCTCCGCGAGAAGCAGCAGCTGCTGCCCTGCTTGGGCTTGGAACAATCAACCCAGCAGCACCGACGTCTCTCTCCCCCGCTACAGCATCAGGGCAGCATGAGGAGCCCTCTTCCCTCCGCACTCTCCCCACCCCTTTCGCCCACCCTTTCACTGACACCTACCCCACTTCCCCCCCTCCACCTGCTACTGCTGCCGCCGCTGCTGCCGCCATGTTCCATCCCTTCAATCCGTTCACCCTGCTGCCCGGGCCCAACGGTTTTCCAGGCCTGGGCAGGTCCACGCCAATCCGGGGAGTTTCACCTGCCCAGGGGGAGGATCTGGATGGGTGTGGAGCGGCAGGGAGCAGTGGGGAGGGGCAGGCGGGGAGGGATGGACGAACAGCAGCGCTGGGTGGCAGTGGTGCTTCTGCTACCGGAAATCTCAATGCCGCCGCTGTTGCTGCTGCGGCTGCTGCTGCTGCTGCGGCTGCGGCTGCGGCTGCTGCTGCTGACCCTGCTGGGAATCTTATTCCTGCTCCAGCTGCCTCTATCACCCCTCCAGGGCTTCCGCCTCTGTCTGGGTTTCCCCTTGACGCTTCCTCTGGAATGTACCTGCCTCCTGCGTACTATGCTGCTGCGGCTGCTGCGACGGCAGCCGCAGGGGTGCCTCCGCCATGGCTGTATACTCCGCAGATGATGCCACAGCTGGCGCAGCAGGCCTTGCAGCAAGCCATAATGCAACAGATGCAGGCACAGCAGAACCTGCACCTGCAGCATCAGCGTGGGCAGATTCAGCTTCCCCAAGCGCTGGCACCAGCAGCAGCACCTCCACCACCAGCAACAGGGGCTCCAGCAGCAGCGGCACCAGCGGCGGTGGCTGCAGCGGCAGCAGCAACAGCAGCAGCAGCAGCGCAGCAACTGAATCTCCTTTCAAGCCTGGCTCCTCCCAGCTTCTCACCGTCGCCTTTCTTCCCCTCCCGCCCGCCCCTCTCCCACCTGAATCCACACGTCCCCCACGCCTCCCATGCGTCCTCCCTTCCCTCGCCTCTCTCGCGCCCGTCGTCCCTCTCCTTCCTTTCAGCTCCCTCACTCCACCCCAGCCCCACGCCTATCCCTCGTGAGCACCTGAGCAGGCCCCATTCAGAGATTCACCTAGGCACAACCCCTGCTGCTGCTGCTGCCACTGGACCCTCTGCTGCTGCTGCTGTTCCTGCAGCCGCTGCTGCTGCTGCCTCCGCCACCGCCGCCGCCGCCGCCGCCGCTGCCGCCGCCGCCGCTGTCGCTGCTGGTGCTGGTGCGGCTACAGGCAGCACCGCATGTGCCAGCCGGCTTCCCCCTGCCCCTGTGCTCAAGCTTCCTCTCCCCCCATGGACAGCGGGAGGAGCTGGCAGGCAGCAGCATGGGCAGGAGGAGCGAGGGAGGGATTTGGGGAAGGAGCAAGGGAGGCAGCAAGGGAAGGAGCATAAGAGGGAGCAAGGGAAGGAGAAGGAGCATGGTGAGTTAGTGCCGAAGCGTGAAGCGAGCGCTCGTGGCAGTGGGAATAGAGACGGTGGAACCAGTGATGCTGCATGCGAGAATAGACAGCAGCAGCGCCATCATTGCCACCACCAACAGCACCACCACTACCATAATCAGCAGCAGAATCCGCCTCAGCAGCGCCATCTGGTCCGTGAAAGTAGCTTCAGTGCCGTATCCCCTGCCGCCCACGGCTGCTGCTGCTGCTGCTTCTGCTGCTGCCGCTGCTGCTGGGCCCTCAGCAGCAGCTGGAGGAGCAGCGGTGGCAGTAGGCAGAGGAGCCACGAATGGGGATGGGGATGGGCGTGGGGATCGGGAGGGTGCGAGTGGGAGTGGGAGTGGGAATGGGGGTGGGAGTGGGAGTGGGAGTGGGAATGGGGGTGGGAGTGGGATGCAGAGTGGTCAGGGTAGTGGAGGCGGGGGCAGTGGTGGTGTGGGCAGCGCGCAAGACAGCAGGGATGCAGCTACTGCCAGGGCTGTTGGCAGTGCTGCTGGCAATGCGAGTCATGCCGGTGGTGGCCACATTGGTGGTTGCGCTGCCACAGTGGGTGATGGTGGTGCTGAGGGTGATCCGCGTATTGTTGGCACAGCAGGGGGTGGGAGTGGCAACACCAACGGCCAACCCTTGCAAAAGCCACCAGAGCTCACAAGCGGCACAGCGGGGCATGGTTGGAGAGGAAGCGAGGAGGCACGGGGCAGGGAGGGTATGACTGGGTGCAGTAGGGCTGGCAGTGGTACTGGGAGCGTGCACGTGCCTGTAGAGGCGAGCCGAGGGGGCAGTGGGGTGAAAATGGTGAGCCTGATGGGGCATGCTGTGGCATTCCCCCCCTGCGCTGCTGATGCATCTGCCACACCTGCCACCACGACAGGTGAAGTGGTGGATGGGGAGGAGGAAGGCCAGGAGGAAGCGATGGTGGAGGGGGAAAGGGGCGCGTGTGGAGCAGCAGCAGCAGGATTAGGAGTCGACACGGCAGCACGGCAGTGTCAAGCCATGGACGTTTTCGGCTCAGGAGCGGGGAGTTCCCAGCCTCAAGATACTCCTGCAGCAGAAGCTGCTGCGTGTGCTGCATGTGCGTGTGGTGGGCCTGGCTGTGAGCTGTCGCAAGGCTCTGGGCAGTGCCAGGCTGCACTGGGGACTGCAGGAGGAGGGTGTGTGGCTGGGGCTGCTGTTACTACTGTGATGAGCCGGCAGGCAGTGCGAGAGGCGGCCCTGAATAAATTCAGGCAGAAGCGCAAGGACCGATGCTTTGAGAAAAAGGTATGCAACCTTTCATTTGTTAATATTTTCCAAGGGGGTTGCTTCTTTGGAGTGTCTTGTTGCAAAGTATGCCGAATTCATGGAGAAATCAGATGTATACATTCAGCTGCCCCTTCTGCTCTTTCTTTCCCCTTATCAGGTTCGTTATCAAAGTAGGAAGCGCCTTGCAGAGCAAAGACCAAGATTTCGGGGTCAGTTCATTAAACAAGCCCCTGCTGGTGTAGGCGTTGGAACACCAGGTGATTTGGTACCGGGCTCTCAGCCTCATGTCTACAAGGAATGGAACAGCCAATACTAATAATACTGACTAGCGTGTGCATAGATTGATATTGTGATGTGCTGGTGGAGCGTATAGGAATGGCAAATCTTTGTTGATCTACGATACAATGATTTGATATAGTGAAAAATTGAAATGATACATGCTCATACGGATTTTTTATTGAACCAGTGAGCGGCTTGGGAACCATTGCCCTAAACACATGGCAAGGTAAGGACCTTCTATGATCCTGTAACGTATACCCATTTCAAGTGTAATAACGAGAGGTCCTGCTTTGTCCGCGAAGAAGTTGAACGAAACCCTGACAACCCTTCTGGTAACACAGTCAGGAGCTGCGCTTCGCCGAAGTTGGCAGGATCTGGAAGAAGCTTTCCGAAACTCCCATTTCAAACGAAAACTGTTCGCAGAATCGCACGATCTACTCTCACCAGCATCCAGCAACGCGTCTCCGTCGCAGGCACGACGGAGTGACCCCAAGACCCCCCAGTTCAGGCACCCATGCGACACTCAGACCACCTCCATACAACCACCCCAGCCACTCCAGACTTCGTTCCTCCTCCCCAGATTCATCCAACCAGCTCACCTCCGAAGAGAACACAGTAGAAGGCTGAGTTAGGGCACTGATCAGGATCTGTCGTCGTCCTAAGTAGGCCTAGCTCGTTCAGAGATTAGGCTAGGCCCTTCCGTACCTTCGAAAATGTCCGCCTTCACTGGGACGACTACAAAATGCAAGTCTTGTGCGAAGACCGTGTACTTGATGGAGCAGTTGATAGCTGATGGGGTCATTTACCACAAGCATTGCTTCCGGTGAGTTTCTCTAGAGTGCATATCTGTCCCGCCTGTCCATGACAACCGCTGACCTAGATTGTCCATGTTATGTGTGCTGAGCAGGTGCTTTCATTGCAAGGGCACTCTTAAGGTAAATATCTGGTAGGCACCTTGTTCTCCACTTAAATCACGATTCATAACGTTGTCTAAAGATCCCTGTTTCCTCTCCCAACAGCTGAATAATTTCGCTTCGCTTGAAGGTGTTCTGTACTGTAAGCCCCACTTCGATCAGCTCTTTAAGAAAACTGGGTGCTACAACAAGAGCTTTGAGGAGGCCATCAAGTCGGAGAAGGAAAAAACGGTGGCACCTGGAAGTGAGTATGATATTTTTATTCCTCGGAATTTCGTGACCACTTCGAGTGCGAGTATCTCAGTGTTCTTTCATTGCCTCAGGTGTCACATCTACCACTGGCGCATCGAGATACGGAGGAGACAACAAGGTAGGCCAGGGCTGATTCTCATCGTCGCTTTTGCCTCTTAAACGAGCCAACGTTGTCCATGATCGTAATCAGTTAATTTTGATACCTGCAGAGGGTCGTCAATCCTTTGGCAGCGAGGTTCGGCGGAACACAGGAGAAGTGCGTAGTTTGCAGCAAGACTGTTTACCCCTTGGAAAAGGTATTGCCGTTGCCGACTTTTCTACTGCTTTTGTTGATAGATGCGTGTGCACTCGCGCTCACATGGGTTTTCATGTTATTTCAGGTCAGTGTCGAGAACTCGACATACCACAACCAGTGTTTCAAATGCGTCCACAGTGGATGCAAACTTACGACCTCGACATACCAAGCACTGGGGGGAAAGCTGTACTGTAAGGCGCATTTCCAACAGCTGTTCTTGAAGAAGGGCAATTTCACAGAGCTGCAGCGTGAAACAGGCGATGGGGCCGATGCTGGATCACAAGCCGCAGCTGCGGTGACATCTGTGTCCATATCCAAGCCCTCGTCTGCCTCGCCTGCAAAGTCAGCTTCTGCTGCTTCTGAACCTCTTTCTAGTTCAGTCGTGAAAGAAGAGGATTCTCCACCCCCCAAGCCTGTTGCTGCCTCCTCTTCTTCAGCACCCCCCCCTGCTGCTGCAACCTCAACGCCAGCCAAGCCAGTTGAAGAGAAGAAACCGCCACCTCCAGCCGCAAAGGACGATACCGACTCTGATGATGACAGCGACGATGATAGCGACGACGACTCAGATGATAGCGATGACTCCGATTCTGATTGAGAAGGGCAGAACTGGTGAGCTATCGAGCACTCGCACATGGCATTATGAACATGTATCTGATCCTTTAGGTTCGAGTATTTACATATCCAGTTCACCTTGACATGTAGGGCGCACACATCGAGCTATGGCTAGACTTCTTGAATTTGGTGCCTTTCAGAGTCCTTAGAGGAGGGCGTCTATTTTGATCGGTGTGGCGGATGTTGGAGGTGCTTGTACCGAATGCAGCTCAAGCCCTAGAGATTCCATGCAGATTTGTGTAATGATAGTTCTTCATGCCTTCCATTCCTGGCTGTGAAACTGTAGTTGATGTAGGCTCAAGCTCATCAGGCTTTTGCATTTCTGTGTAAGGTATTGATATTTTTCTGTGTTGTATTCTCAACTTAGCAGAAACTATAGTTCAACATAATACCTTGTCAGTTTTGTGGTGAGAATAGGAGTTGTTAGAGGTACTGCTTTCGAGTGTGCTTCAATTCATTGTTTGTCGCAGTTTTTGTTCGCTAAGCCTTGAACTAGCGTTTCGCCAACTATCTGTCACCCCACAAACACGAGGCGCCAGAATCGCTCACTCCCAAGAAGGGACCGACGCGAGCCAACCAATACGCGTGATCACAGATGGTTCTTCAATACGATTGGTCACTTGAGATCTGTTAGCGAGTTTTGGATATTGGCTATTGTCAAATCCTGCACGCTTGTGTCGGCGACGCCCAATTCTCTACAGGCGCGGAACCTTGTTGCTGCTGCCTGAAGTAGGCCTGAATGACACAACTTGGTTGCTGTTCGTCAAGGAGCTCCGTTGTTGCACCAACATAGACTACTGAAAGCCATGGCGTCCGTCACGATGCAGGCTGCGTCTACCGCCGTTGTGGCCAAGTCCGCCTTCCTTGGCGCTGGCCAATCGCGCCTTGCTAAGTCGACCCGTGCTGCTGCGCAGCCCGCTTCCGTGTCGGCCCTTAAAATTGAGGCCAAGGGTAACTGGCTCCCAGGTTCTACCTCTCCGGCCTGGCTTGATGGCAGGTACTTCGCGGTTCTGCGTCGTGTATGCTGTAGTGTGCTCGATAGGCACCGAAGGAAACGATAATGCTGAACCACGCTCAGCACTCAAATATCTAAATGCGCTCATCTTGTTTTCCTGATGCAGCCTTCCCGGCGACAACGGCTTCGATCCCCTTGCCCTGGCTGAGGATCCCGAGAACCTCAAGTGGTACGTCCAGGCCGAGCTCCAGAACGGCCGCTGGGCCATGCTCGGTGTTGCCGGCATGATCATCCCCGAGGCTCTGACCTCCGCTGGGATCCTGAATGTGCCGGTGTGGTACGACACTGGTGTCGCTGAGTACTGGTGCCCGACTCCAACCCTGTTCGCGATTGAGTTCATCCTGTTCAACTTCGTGGAGCTGTTGAGGTGGCAAGACATCAAGAAGCCCGGCAGCGTGAGCACGGACCCGTTCTTCAAGAACAACAAGCTCCCCCCTGGTGATGTGGGTTATCCCGGCTTCAACCCCCTGGGTCTCGGAACCGACTTCCGCACGAAGGAGAGCGAGCTGGCCAATGGTGAGTATCTAGTAGATGAGTGTGCTTGGTGTCTGGTTCGTTTTCCTCAGTGGACTAATCCTCTATCTTGCTCATCCATTTACAGGCCGTACCGCCATGATCGCTTTCTTGGGCTTCATCATCCAATCGCACGTCACTGGTGCTGGTCCTTTCGCCAACCTCGTCGCCCACATTTCTGACCCATGGAACACCACCGTATTCCAGAGCCTGGATGCTTTCTATGCGTCCCACTAAGCTAAAATATGTACATTTTGAAATATAATGCTTAGTTAAACTCCAATTTAGTGAAATTCGAGGTAGCAGCCAAAAGGGTTACCTGTTGCGTTTGTGATCGTACAGAACAGACCAATAGTGGAAAACCATTTTTGCCGAAGGCGATGGCGGTGCAAGCATGCTGGATTACCTTGAAGTGCGACGGACCACGTTGTACGTGCGACATATTGGCTCCCTCCTCCCCTCACCCGTAGGGAACTATTGTGCTGTGTTTTTCCTGAGAATGTTTATACGTAGGTTAGTCCCAGCAAAACAGTCCCTTACAGTATTTGCCAATTGAGATACCGTATTCCTCTATCTGATGATGTAATTCGTTTCTTCCGAAGTCTAAATTATTGTTTTTCTATGACAGTGCTGTTTACTTTGCTGTGAATCGCACACATAAGACATAGGTGATAAAAGGCACAGCATGGGAAGTTGTACCTGCCTCACAGTTGATCAAGTACTCTGGTTTTAAAACGGGGGGCTGTGATTTTTTGTTTTACTGAAATACTGAAATGCAGCACTGGATCTGGGTCAATCAATCAGCGATATTTTGCTTAGTTTCCCTTCATACGTATTTTCTGCTCCCTGGAGAAGATCCTTACTCCACAATCGCTTGACCCTATCGCACATCACGAATGCACTGTTAAAATTACATACGGTATTATTGTTTGAATTGCATATTCTTGCAGTAAGGGGATATTATTGTATGTCTACACCTCTATGGTATCTGATTCCCCTGGTTACCATGACTTACGAATTTGAGGGGCCTATCACCCAGTGAACAATCCGACTTCGCGACAGAAATCAATGAGGGCGTTGCGCTGAAGTTGACAGCCAACCAGTTTGCTGCGAGAACGATGGGTCTTGTCTGCGATTGGCTGATTCAGATACGCCTTGAGTTTTGGATATCGCTCTTTCGCCAGTCGCTGGTTCCCCCCACCTCTCCTGTGCGAATTGCGTCTCTCAGCCAAGCGCGGGGAACACAGGTGGAGCATCCTGGCGGAGGGGGTGGAGGAGCTGAAGTACCATCCCAGCAATCGTTAGACTGCTGACTGCAGAGGGAACCTCTTTCCAAGCCACCTCCTTCAGTTCGCCAACCAAAGACGTAGCCATGGCTTCCGTCACCATGCAGGCTGCCTCCGTCGTGGCTAGGTCCACTTTCCTTGGCGCGGGTTCCTCGCGCCTTGCCAGGTCGACCCGTGCTAACGCACAGCCGACCTCCATCTCCGCCCTGAAGATTGAGGCTAAGGGCAACTGGCTCCCTGGGTCCACCTCCCCGGCCTGGCTCGATGGCAGGTAAATGCTGTTCGTTACGCTAATTAGCAATGATCCTCTCAGGCGCACTCTTCCGTTCGACATCGGCAATGTTTCTTCGTAAACCACTAATACCTTCGCTTCAACCCTTTCTTATTATTCCAGCCTCCCCGGCGACAATGGCTTCGATCCCCTTGCCCTGGCTGAGGATCCCGAGAACCTCAAGTGGTACGTCCAGGCCGAGCTCCAGAACGGCCGCTGGGCCATGCTCGGTGTTGCCGGCATGATCATCCCCGAGGCTCTGACCTCGGCTGGGCTCCTGAACGTGCCGGTGTGGTACGACACTGGTGTCGCTGAGTACTGGATCCCCACCCCCACCCTGTTCGCGATTGAGTTCATCCTGTTCAACTTTGTCGAGCTTCTGAGGTGGCAAGACATCAAGAAGCCCGGCAGCGTGAGCAAGGACCCGTTCGGCAACACGCTCCCCCCTGGTGAAGTGGGTTACCCCGGCTTCAACCCCATGGGTCTGGGAACTGACTTCCGCACCAAGGAGAGCGAGATCGCTAACGGTGAGCATCACTACGACGCTTCAGTTTTTTGCGTGAATAGTAAGCGACCCTCTTGGGATCAATGCACCATGTACCTCCAACTTATTTACTCGTGGATTTATGCTTTCAGGCCGTACCGCCATGATCGCGTTCTTGGGCTTCATCATCCAGTCCCACGTCACTGGTGCCGGTCCCTTCGCCAACCTGGTTGACCACCTTGCCGACCCATGGAACACGACGGTCTTCCAGAGCCTGGACAAGTTCTTTGCTTCTTGAGCTGTATTTCTTGATAACGAATTGAATTTTTGATCAACAAACATAAATATATGAATCCTTGCTCAAGCATGGTACTTGTACATGAGGCTATCCTCTTCGGATTCCTTGGCTGAGAGCAGTTATAACCGCACGTTAGAAAGGACTACATGCTTAACAAATACTAGCTGAGTGCAGAGTGAAACTCACCAGTCGCTCTGGGTACGGTACCATTGTAAATACTCATAATCGATGTGAACGCAGCGTTTGTTGGCTGAATGTAGCATGAGCCCGTTACTACCGACCTTACCCATCCAGTGGAGCATTCAGAGCAATCGTCACCAACATGACCTGGTTAAGGTGTCACACATAGCATGAATCGCATTGCGTTAGCGGATTTCAAGCTCCAGGAACATGTGACATGCAAAGCACATAGAAGATAATCAACAACCCAGGTGGAGACAGTCTTGGACCATTATCATTTCAAGATGAGGGTTGTACATTTCCATACGTACCCCAGAAGCAGTCACATGTGCCTGTGAAGTCACGGCACCGCCCAAACCCAGAGCATGCAATGTTCCTCCCACGGCCATCGTCAGGAGCTGGACACGCCAGCGAAATGAATGGACAGTCTTCTGGGCAGCAAGAGGACTCTTCGCTGCTTTGCGTTGTCCCATTTGCAGAATGGGAAGTGCTCGGTAAAGCAGAAGGCATACTGGGTTGGGAGCACCGCTCGCCAGTCTCACAGATGTTGTTCCCACAGATGCCAAGGCGGGTTGATGAGAGCAGCGACATGAAGGAAGCACCAGGGATGCCCTGATGGGAACAACATGAAGACGCACCATGAGTGTTGCTGTGTGGCACAAGACTCAACCATGCAGGGAATTGATAGCTCAGGACGCGGTTTCTTAATAGCTCACGCCCATTCAGCACCATGAAGAGGCAAACATGTGTGCTGTGATATTACGATGAGAGCAGCAGGTGGGGCGGAATGGCTGGGGAGGGGGGGCATCACCAGGAATGGCTTGGTTGGGGGTTGCATGCTGTCCTGAGCATACTGCACCAGGGCCTCTCGGAAGCTGGTCTCTGCCATGCGTGGAGTTGTTGACCCCACCTGCCACCCAGCACTCATTCACGCCCATAGCAGGTGAAGGAAGGCAGTCATGGTGCATGCAGACAGGAAGGCAACCTATTTCTTTTTTGCTTGAACCCGAGCCTTGCAAGAATGACAGCAACAGCAGCAGCAGCAGCAGCAGCGACAGCGACAGCGGCACGTACCGCTAGGGGCTGAGCAACAAACTGCACTGAAACTCCTCTGCGGCTGTCCGTGTCATCCAGCTGCCCTTTGAGACGTCTCAAATGGCAGCAGCAGCAGCGACAGCAGAAGCAACAGCAGCGACAACTACAGTAGCAGCACATACCGCTAGGGGATGAGCAACAAACTGCACTGAAACTCCTCTGGGGCTGTCCATGTCATCCAGGTGGCCACACCGCCCCTCCGACTCCCACTCCTGGTCTGATTGCTCCACCCCAGACCTCTGCTGCCCAGCCTGAGAGCTAGGTTCGGTGGCTGAGGAGAGCTGGTTTGGAACCGAAGCTTCTGGGAGGTCCGGCAGGCATGGCGCTGGAGTGATTGAGAGGAAGGAGATGGCTTGTGGTAGCACGTCCAGGATCTCAGCCATCTAGTTGAGTGAGTGAGAGAGTGGGAGAATGTGTGTGTGAGAGAGAGAGAGAGAGAGAGAGAGGAAGGTGGGTGGGAAGAGAAGAGGATGTGTGTCATAACGAGTATGTGCATAAAAGCAAATGAAGCATTCGTGTAGAGATGTGTGACCGTCAGCATGGCAGGTATGCTTTCGCACTAGAGCACGCTGTGAGATTCGTACCCCACTGATGAAGGCAGAAGCAAAGGCGCTCAAGTGATGGTTGCTGCTGTTGCCTGCATCGCCATCTGTGCTGGTGTCGAGAGAGCTGGAATCAGGCAAGCTGGAATTCACAGTGCTGGAGGCAAGCTCGAGAGCATGCGAGGCCACTGACTGCGAAAATGGTACCTGCGAATGGAGAAGGCAAGGACAGGAAAACAGGAACCGAGGGAGACAGGTGGGAATGAATTTAGAGGCACCTAAACAATGGTCTCAATACATGCGAGGTTAGTGATTGCGAAAACGGTACCTGCGAATGGAGAAGGTAAGGACAGGAAAACAGGAACCGAGGGAGGACAGGAAAACAGGAACTGAGGGAGACAGGTGGGGAGAGGGATTGGACGGGAAAGGGCACATGAATGTGGATACACATGCCACACCATGCGGCATGATGCAACGTGGTGCGAGCTGATGCATCTCAGACGCTAGAGGGATTCCAACCAAGTTGAATGGCACCCTGCATGCATGTGTTCAGTGTGTGCACGTACAATACCCGATAACAATGGTGGCAAGGGAACTGCAGGGGGGTGCCATTCCCATTGCATCGTTTCTATCTAAGTGGATTATGGGAACCCATTGCGCCTTGGATGGAAGCACACGTACCCGCATGGCAACGGTGGCAAGGAGAGAGCAGGAGGTGCCATCCCCATCGCATTGCCCACATGCATCGAGGCGGGCGGAGGGGCAGCACACGCCCATCTCGTCCCTCAGGCCCGACGTGCAGCAGTCTCCCCTTATATCCACGGCGCTGGGTGCGAGGGAGGTGGACGGTGGAACAAGGAGGGGGGATGGATGGGGGAATGGGACGGGCAAAAAGCGAGCAGGGCTAGCGGTGGTGGTGGGGGGGGCCCGCATGCCCCAATGTCGTCCCTCAGGCCCGATGTGCAGCACACTCCCCATCAGAGAGCGATAATACATCTTCTTTGAGATGTCTCAAGTTGCCTCTAACGAAACAGCAACTACCGGGTATGTCACATGTCCTCTCTCTCCCACTCTTTCTCGCCCGTACCTGCCGTCACCATTGCAGACTCCGCAGGCGTCCACTCGGCCACTCTCACAGCATGCACCGTTCTGCACCCAGTCGCACCGCACACAGGCACACAGGCACACAGGGACACAGGCAGACAGGTACATGATACACAGGCGCACAGGCAGACAGGTACCGAGGAAGGCAGTCATTCACACAAGAAGGAAGGGCACTCAAGCACGGCAGGGAGAGTAAGAAAGGAAAGTAGCATGACATAAGGTGCATGTGTGCAGGGTGTCCCCGGCTGGACCAAGAGGAAATCCAGACACACTGAGGGCTGCTGCAGTGTTGAGACGCCTCAAAACTCAATGTGCTGCCACAATCACAGTGGGGCAGGAGCAGGGGCAGGGGCAGGGGCAGGGGCAGGAGCAGGAGCAGGGGCAGGGGCAGGGGCAGGAGCAGGAGCAGGAGCAGGGGCAGGGGCAGGGGCAGGGGCAGCAGCAGGGGCAGCAGCAGGGGCAGCAGCAGGGGCAGCAGCAGGGGCAGCAGCAGGGGCAGCAGCAGGGGCAGCAGGGGCAGGGGCAGGGGCAGGGCAGGGGCAGGGGCAGGGCAGGGGCAGACCTGGTCAAGGCGGGCAGAGGCAGAGAGGCAGCACCAGCCCCAGCGATCCACTAGGTAAGCCGGACAGCAGGAGACGTGCACTGAGACTGCCATAGTCACACTGCTGCTGCCGCTGAGGGTAAGGTTGCTGCTGCTATTGATGGGGGTGCTTAAGCTGTTGCGACCACTACTGGCTGATCCTAGCGCACTTGGCCGGTCAACAGTTGCTGCTGCAGCCGCAGCATCAGCGGCGGCATCCGCATCATCATCATCAGGTGACTTTTGAGTCGACTCAAAGGTGAGGGTGCTGCTGCTATGGATGGGGGAGCTTAAGCTGTTGCGACCACTACTGCTTGATCCTAGCCCACTTGGCCGGTCAACAGTTTCTGCTGCAGCAGCAGCATCAGCGGCGGCATCAGCATCATCATCATCAGCAGCAGCAGAAGCAGCAGTTTGAGCGTGGACAGGCGTGGGAGAGAGCATGAGTCCCACGGGCCTGCCTCCACAGTTGCGAAGCTCACTGCACTGAGGGCCTGTCCATCCCTCCCTGCACACACATGCTCCCAGCTATATGCATGGAGGGTGGTGGTGGGCGGGTGAGGGAGAGGGAACGGGGGGGTGTTATGTTATGAGGGGCGAGGCTCGCTGCACTGAACGCCCGTCCATCCCTCCCTGCACACACATGCTCTCAGCTGAATGCATGGAGGGTGGTGGGCGGGTGAGGGAAAGGAAACAGGGGAGTGCTATAAGATATGAGACATTTGATATGGGCTGCTAGCAGTGCAGTGAAGACAAACAGCCCATCTCAGGTCACCTGAACGCGAGAGCACAAGACACGACATGGCACACGTTGCAAGTGTCTGATGCTTTTTAGGCGCCCAAGAAACAGATTGCAAGTGCCGTGCTCACCTCACAAGTGCTGTGCTCACCTCACAAGTGCCGTGTGCGCATGAGAGGCTGGAGCAGACGAGAGAAGAGGTGCTGCTGCTGCTGCTGCTGCTGTTGCTGTTGCTGCTGCTGCTGCTGTTGCTGTTGCTGCTGCTGTTGCTGTTGCTGCTGCTGCTGCTGTTGCTGTTGCTGCTGCTGCTGCTGTTGCTGTTGCTGCTGCTGCTGTTGCTGTTGCTGCTGCTGTTGCTGTTGCTGTTGCTGTTGCTGTTGCTGTTGCTGCTGCTGTTGCTGTTGCGGCTTCTGTGGCTGTGCTTACTGTGCCTGCTGTGCTTGCTATGCCTGCTGTGCGTACTATGCTTTCTGTTTCTGCTGTTCATGCTGTGGCTGTTGCTGCTACTGTGGCTGTTTCGGCTGCTGTGGCTGTTTCGGCTGCTGTGCCTGTTGCGGCTGCTGTGACTGCTGCTGCGTCTGGATGGTTTGGTGGTGGCGGTAGCAGTTGCATTACTGGGGGCGTTGCCAGTGGTAGTATTGAGAGCAATGGAGGAGGAGGAGGAGGAGGAGGAGGAGGAGGAGGAGGAGGAGGGGAGGAGGAGGAGGAGGAGGAGGAGGAGGAGGAGGAGGAGGAGGATGAGGAGGAGAGGAGGGTGAAACGGAGGGGAGGAGGGTGAAACGGAGGGGAGGAGGGTGAAACGGAGGGGGAGGAGGCAGCATCAGAGGTGGTGGAGGGGAGTGGGAGAGGCGGGAGGCAGGGAGAGAGGGTTGCGGGTTTGACTGAGGTGGAGCAGAACGAGTCTTGGACTGACTGGCCCCTTATGCTCACACACTGAGAGATGAAGAGAGTACAGGGGAGAACAAAGGGAGGGAAGGAGGAGGGAGTGAGAAAGGAGGGAGCGAGAAAGGAGGGAGCGAGAAAGGAGGGAGCGAGAAAGGAGGGAGCGAGAAAGGAGGGAGCGAGCGAAAAGGTAGAACGGTAAACGGAAAAACAGGAGTGGCAAGGGAAACAGAAAGGTTGGTTGGGGAGGGAGGGAATGGGACGAGTGAGAAGCAATATCTTGAAGCAGCTTTGCAGGTGGTTTTGCTGAGCGTGAAATGGAAACGAACTGGGCATGCATGCATGCAGTGCAATTGAAACACGATGAACAGCGGCATGGCTTACTGCAAAGGGCGGCTTAACTCACCTCAATCTCCCTTCTTCTCCACCCGTACACTCGCATCACCTCCTCCTCCACCACACTCCACCCCACTCCACCGCTGCTGCCTTGATTGCTGCTGCTACCAGTGCTGCTGCTGCTGCTGCTGTTGCTGCTGGTGCTAGCGTGGTGTGGCATCTCAGAATGTGCACTTGACAAGAGGGTCAAGGAGTGCTGGCAGGGAGACCAGCTGCGAGGCCTCCAGGTGTAGATGGAGCATGGCTGAGGGCCGCAGGGGAGGAGCAGAGAGTGAGAGAGATTTGAGGCAAGGTGGGTTCGGAATGGGAGCGTACAGGTAGGGAGAGCAGCCTGGATGGTGTGAGGCTGTGAGCTCCGAGAGTGTGAGGGTGTGAGGGTGTGAGGGTGTGAGGGTGTGAGGGTAGGGTTCTAAGGGTGTGAGGGTGTGAGAGTGGGTTCTGAGGGTGTGAGGCTCTTGTGAGTAATGACCATGGTTGAAACTCATGTCTGTCATGGGTAAAGCGCATGTCTGTCATGGGTAAAGCGCATGTCTGTCATGGGTAAAGCGCATGCCTGTCATGGGTAAAGCGCATGCCTGTCATGGGTAAAGCGCATGTCTGTCATGGGTAAAGCGCATGTCTGTCATGGGTAAAGCGCATGCCTGTCATGGGTAAAGCACAAGCCTGTCATGGGTAAAGCACAAGCCTGTCATGGGTAAAGCGCATGCCTGTCATGGGTAAAGCGCATGTCTGTCATGGGTAAAGCGCATGTCTGTCATGGGTAAAGCGCATGTCTGTCATGGGTAAAGCGCATGCCTGTCATGGGTAAAGCGCATGCCTGTGAAAGAGGTCGCACCTGTGTGTTGCAGGTCTGGTTGGTGGGCGGGGGAGTGGAGGAACAGCGGGAGTCGTCGAGCATGTTGCCCTGCACAGCGTCTCGGCACACCACTGACCGCACATTCACGCCCCCTCCGCATGGCACATTGCAGCCCTGGCGAGAGGAAGAAGGGTGAAAGGGTTGAACAGGGTGAGGGTGTAAGGTTGAGTGAGTGAGTCTCGGCACACCACTGACCGCACGTTGATGCCTCCACCACACGGCACATTGCAGCCCTGGTGAGCGGAAGAAGGGATGAGGGGAGAGGGGAGTATGGGTGGAGGAGCAGTGGGAGTCGTCCAGCATGTTGCCCTGCACAGCTCCTTCCGCTTTTTTCCATGGAGTTTGTTTCGTTGTCCTAAACAACACGAGTTGATGGAAGTAAGGCCTCCGCAGCCCACCTGTCCTCTTTTGACAGCTCTTGCCCTGCACAGCGTCTCGACACACCACTGACTGCACGTTCACGCCCCCTCCACATGGCACATTGCAGCCCTAGCAAGGGGAGGGACGAGGAGGTTGACGAGGGTGAGGACTGTGAGAAGGGCGAGAGTGTATCAGCACACCACGGACTGCAAGAAAGAAAGAAAGAAAGAAAGAAAGAAAGAAAGAAAGAAAGAAAGAAAGAAAGAAAGAAAGAAAGAAAGAAAGAAAGAAAGAAAGAAAGAAAGAAAGAACTCTTGGCACTCCTGCCGATTTGGACGCACCTGCCACTGCGTGACGTCCCAGTAACCACGTGTGCAGGGTGCCAGCTGGCATGGCCGGGTGGTGGGCACAGCAGGGAGCAGCGGACAGCTGGCGAGAGGTGATTGGGCCGTCATTCCCTGGGCGTCCACGCACCATGCCATTCTATTTGGAAGAGACAGGAGTTGCAAGAGAGAAGGAGGGTGATCAGCGGGGAGGTGGGAAAGCAGGGGGGAGCAGAGGGGGGAGTAGGAGCGTGATAGAGGAGGGGTGCGGGGGGAGCAGAGAATGCTGATAGAGGAGCGTGGAGAGAGGTGGTGGAGAGAGTCGCTATAGGGAGAGTCTCACAAAGGGAGAGAGGTGATGGGAGATGGGTGTGCAAGTCGTGAGCACAGAACTGTGAGGGCAGGTGAAGGTTGAATTGTGGTGGATGATGCACGGGAGGAGGTTGAGTGCTCCATTCACAGAAGCAGGAATGGTACTTGTGTGCTCTGCTGTGGTGCGGACGAGAAACAAGCTGTTCAATGCAATCCCATGCACAACACCCCATGCACAACACCCCATGCACAACACCCCATGCCACCCCATGCCATGCTCCCATGCCATGCTCCCATGCCTTGCTCCCATGCCATGCTCCCATGCCTTGCTCCCATGCCATGCTCCCATGCCATGCTCCCATGCCATGCTCCCATGCCATGCTCCCATGCCTTGCTCCCATGCCATGCTCCCATGCCATGCTCCCATGCCATGCTCCCATGCCATGCTCCCATGCCATGCTCCCATGCCTTGCTCCCATGCCATGCTCCCATGCCTTGCTCCCATGCCTTGCTCCCATGCCATGCTCCCATGCCATGCTCCCATGCCATGCTCCCATGCCTTGCTCCCATGCCATGCTCCCATGCCTTGCTCCCATGCCTTGCTCCCATGCCTTGCTCCCATGCCATGCTCCCATGCCTTGCTCCCATGCCTTGCCGTACCATGCTATCTCACACCAGTCTCTACCTCTGCTGCTGCCCCACACCGCACGGCACAGAGCACTCTCGCCAGGGCCCTGCCAGCATGCGGTGTGCTGCACTGCACGCACACCCTCTTGCTCATCACGCTCCACCACACACCATGCCACGTAACCCCATGCTATGCCATCCCAACCGCACCCCACCCCCACGCTTACCTCTGCTGCTGCCCCACACCGCACGACACGGAGCACTCTCCCCAGGGCCCTGTCAGAACACTGTATGCTGCACTCACGCCCTCCCCTGGCACCACCACACCAGGGCCTCCTGCTGGGCCAAATGGCAGGGGGGTGCTGCCACTCATATAGATGAATCGGGGTGGGTGTGAGAGGTGGTGCGGTGAAGCGAAGGAGAAAGCGGGAGCCCTAGACCCGGAAGAAGTAGGGTGGGAGGAGGGCGGGTGGGACGAGGTGGGGTTGGTGGGCAGCTGGAGGAGAGGGTGGGGCTGCAGTCCATGCGTGTGATTTGGTGTCTGCACAGGCGTGGACTGCAGGGTGTCCAGGGGTGCAGACCGCAGGGAGGCGAGCACCTTTGTGCTGCTCACTGCCTTGGAGCGGATTGGCTGGAATGCCTTGGCACGAATTGCCTTAAGGTCGAGTGCCTTGAGCACCTTGGTGACCACCATGTTGATTGCAAACTTGCCCCCTGCGCCTCCCCACCCGTCCACCATCTGCCAGGTGTGAGAGCAGAGAGAGATGCGAACACACACAACGAGGAAATGAGCTTGAAAAAAGAGTCAAGGAAGGTGAACAAATAATTACCATCAGACCACCAGCTGCACAAAAAGCATCCAGACGCATACATATATATACGCACATGTAATATACACATATAATATATACAGTGCAGTGCTGTGTTCTCCAAAGGGTTGTACTTGGTGCCGTTGGTGAGGCCTGACAGCAAAGGCTTGGACTTGGTGCCGCACGCACGAGCAGGCAGTGGCAGCTTGAGCCGAGCCGAACCAAGAGTCGCTACAGGGAGAGTCTCACAAAGAAGTAGGTGGTGCCTTTAGCGAGGATGAGGCCTGAGAGCTTGGACTTGGTGCCACAGGAGTCATCGTTGCATGCGATGGACACAGGCTTAGCTCCTGGCTTGGTGCGCTGATATGCGCTGAGCACCGAGTCAAACTCCGTGAGGCTGCACAGGTCCACCGACACCACCTGGTGGGGTGGGTGGGGGGAAAGAGGGAACAGGGAAGGACGAGGAAGAGTGAGTGTTTAGCTACAGTCTTGGTGCGCTGATATGCACTGAGTCTTCTTTTGAGGCGCCTCAAAAGTATGCACTCAGCACTGAGTCAAACTGAGTGAGGCTGCACAGGTCCACTGACACCACCTGGTGGGTGGGGGGAGGGGGCGGAAGGGAAGAGAGAAGGATAGTGTGTGCCAAGGAGAGTGTGTGTTTAGCTGGCATTAGTGGCACGTGTTACAAGTGACCTTGACTGGCGTTCATGGTTATATGCATGCCGCGATGCTGTCAGGCCTGTGCAGGACTCTCGCACTCACCATGTTCTGCGAAGGGGCATGCTGAAATACAACGTCGGGCCCGTGTCATGGCACTTGTCGAGCTTGGCGTTGCACAGTACAGTTCGCTCTAGTGCATGCTGTCATCCCCGAAGTAGAAGAGCAGCAATGGCACTCGCTCACCGTGTGGTGTGGTGTGGTAGGGCGTTGTGTAGTCATTCTTCACTGAACTAGAAAATCAGCTAAGGCATTTGCAGGCCTCCCCCACTCACCATGCTCTGGGGAGGAGTGTACTGGCAGACCACATCAGGGCCAGTGTCGTGGCACTTGTCCAGCTTCGTTGTACAGGTTGCAGCTCTTGAGACGTCTCAATTGTCAAGTGACTGCACGCCCCACTCACCAGGTGGCAAGGCAGGCCGCACTCACCATGTTGTGGGGCGGGGTGTACTGGAAGACAACATCGGGCCCAGTGTCGTGGCACTTGTCAAGCTTGGCATTATACAGGTCACGGTAGTGAGTGCTGTCATCCTCATAGTAGAAGGGCAGCGCCGGCACCACTTTAGGCTGCTCCACACTCTGCCCACACGGCGCCTTGCACACATCTGCACGGGTATCATCAGGGTTCGGAGAGTGGGTGTGGGGGAGTGGGTGTGGGGGAGTGGGTGTTGGGTAGTGTGAGTGAGGGAGTGGGTGTGGGGGAGTGGGTGTGGGGGAGTGTGAGTGAGGGAGTGGGTGTGGGGGAGTGGGTGTGGGGGAGTGTGAGTGAGGGAGTGGGTGTGGGGGAGTGGGTGTGGGGGAGTGGGTGTTGGGTAGTGTGAGTGAGGGAGTGGGTGTGGGGGAGTGGGTGTGGGGGAGTGTGAGTGAGGGAGTGGGTGTGGGGGAGTGGGTGTGGGGGAGTGGGTGTTGGGTAGTGTGAGTGAGGGAGTGGGTGTGGGGGAGTGGGTGTGGGGGAGTGTGAGTGAGGGAGTGGGTGTGGGGGAGTGGGTGTGGGGGAGTGTGAGTGAGGGAGTGGGTGTGGGGGAGTGGGTGTGGGGGAGTGTGAGTGAGGGAGTGGGTGTGGGGGAGTGGGTGTGGGGGAGTGGGTGTGGGGGAGTGGGTGTGGGGGAGTGGGTGTGGGGGAGTGGGTGTGGGGGAGTGGGTGTGGGGGAGTGGGTGTGGGGGAGTGGGTGTGGGGGAGTGGGTGTGGGGGAGTGGGTGTGGGGGAGTGGGTGTTGGGGGAGTGGGTGTTGGGGAGTGGGTGTGGGGGAGTGGGTGTTGGGGAGTGGGTGTTGGGGAGTGGGTGTTGGGGAGTGGGTGTTGGGGAGTGGGTGTTGGGGAGTGGGTGTTGGGGAGTGGGTGTTGGGGAGTGGGTGTTGGGGAGTGGGTGTTGGGGAGTGGGTGTTGGGGAGTGGGTGTTGGGGAGTGGGTGTTGGGGAGTGGGTGTTGGGGAGTGGGTGTTGGGGAGTGGGTGTTGGGGAGTGGGTGTTGGGGAGTGGGTGTTGGGGAGTGGGTGTTGGGGAGTGGTGTTGGGGAGTGGGTGTTGGGGAGTGGGTGTTGGGGAGTGGGTGTTGGGGAGTGGGTGTTGGGGAGTGGGTGTTGGGGAGTGGGTGTTGGGGAGTGGGTGTTGGGGAGTGGGTGTTGGGGAGTGGGGTGTTGGGGAGTGGGTGTTGGGGAGTGGGTGTTGGGGAGTGGGTGTTGGGGAGTGGGTGTTGGGGAGTGGGTGTTGGGGAGTGGGTGTTGGGGAGTGGGTGTTGGGGAGTGGGTGTTGGGGAGTGGGTGTTGGGGAGTGGGTGTTGGGGAGTGGGTGTTGGGGAGTGGGTGTTGGGGAGTGGGTGTTGGGGAGTGGGTGTTGGGGAGTGGGTGTTGGGGAGTGGGTGTTGGGGAGTGGGTGTTGGGGAGTGTGAGTGAGCCGTCTCTGGCATGCAGGTTGTGGCTGCTGCTGTCATCCTCGTAATAGAAAGGCAGCTGCACCGGCCGGCACCACCTTGGGCTGCTCCACGCTCTGCACACACCACACGGCGCCTTGCACACATCTGCAAGGAGTAGTAGACATGACTCACGGAAGGCATTGGGAGTGAACAAAGAGACCTCTACTGTGAGTCACATTATGTGACTCAGTGGCTGATAGGTTGGCAAAAGGGAAGTTCGCATTGCAGGAGTGGTGCAGCCCCCAAAGGTAAAGTTTCCCCCCTCACCTTTGTCGTACGCCACAGCATAACCCTCCAGGTTTGCCCCAAAGGCGTTTTCTCAGGCGTTCTTACCTCCTCCCGCCCATCCCCCCTGCCCCCCCCCCTTTACCCTCCTTCTCACGATCCCTGGGCTCCCCTCCTTAGAACGCACCTTTGTCGTATGCCACAGCATATCCCTCCAAGGATGCCCCAAAGGCGGAGTCCTTGCTGGTGAAGGTGAAGGCCAGCAGCGTGGCTCGATCCAGGTACTCTGCAGGGCGGAGTTGGTTGAAGGGAGGGAAGCAAGCTACGCAGGCTTAGGAGTTAAGAAGGGTTTGGAGTTAAGCAAGGCTAGGAGCAGGGTTAGGAAGGGAGAAAGGTGAAGGCCAGTAGCGTGGCTCGATCCAGGTAACTCACTGGTTCTAGTCAGTCGGTTGATTGATCTACCTAAGAGTGGGTCTTACTGGGCGAGTAGGCGAGTTGGATGGTGATGTACTGTGGTGCTGGCGTGCGGCGCGCAGGGAAGGTGAGGCGCGATGGCGAGAAGGACGCTGATGGGGAAAGCAGATGTGGGAAGGGAGGAAAGGGAGAAAAGGGAGAAAGGGGAGAAAAGGGTGAAAAGGGAGAAAAGGGAGAAAAGGGAGAAAAGGGAGAAAGGGGAGTCAAGGGAGAAAAGGGAGAAACGGGAGAAAAGGGAGAAAAGGGTGAGAGACGTTGAGAATGTATCACACACACAAAAATCACCCATTGATCAATGGGCGATTGCCCACAGGTGTTTATTTCCATCACACACACAGACGTAAGGAAGCAGAGTCCATTATGAGGAGTGGCAGGTCGCCACAGCACTCTGACTCACCAACACTGGGATCGGTGGCAGTGGCAGTGAAGACCACATCAGCAGCAGGCGCCTTGAGCAACAGCACTCTAATGCGCGCACTTGCCCCTTCAAGCATGGAGAGGAAGGAGCGCGGGGCCACATCCACGAGCAGGGGGCGGAAGTTGACGGAGAGCAGGCGCGGCACTGTGCTGGGCTTCACTGCCTGCACCGCTTTTTGGTATGCCGTGTCGTACAGGGCCTTGCGCACGTCCCTTGGGCGCGCTGCTGGCTGCATGGCGAGGTATAGCGCTGCTGCTCCCGACTGGTGGGGTAGAGAAAGAGGTTCAAGGAGAGGGGGCAGAAGGGAGGGAGAGACATGGAGGACCATGCTGGGCTTGACTGCCTCCACCGCTTTTTGGTATGCTGTGTCGTACAGGGCCTTGCGCACGTCCCTTGGGCGCGCTGCTGGCTGCATGGCGAGGTATAGCGCTGCTGCTGGGATGGGGGTGGGGGCAGGGATGGGGGACAGGCATGGGGGACAGGGATGGGGGACAGGGATGGGGGACAGGGATGGAGGGCAGACGAGGACATGGAGGGTACGAAGTCGGTGCGCTGAAGGAATTCTGCCCTGAAGGAATGGTATGCTTCTATACAGGGGGCCTTGCTCACGCTCGATGTGCACATGCTGACATGGTATGCCATACCATGGCATGCGATCAACATGTAACTCTGATCTGAAGCCTGAAAAGGTTACGCACATACATACCACGTGTGGGCATGCCATGCCATGCAGGGTCACATACCACGTGTGGGCATGCCATGCCATGCAGGGTCACATACCACGTGTGGGCATGCCATGCCATGCAGGGTCACATACCACGTGTGGGCATGCCATGCCATGCAGGGTCACATACCACGTGTGGGCATGCCATGGAAGTCCCTGACATGGTTGCCATGGCAGTGTCTGATGCCGACCCCGCACTCACTATCTCATCGCCCTGACAGGACACACGCATAGCGAGGCACAAACACACATACACACTTATAAAGACATCAGAACAGAATTCCACCTAGCAGGGGAAAAATGTCGTAGTTGGAGAACCAGGTCATGGTATCAGAGCTAACATGGGAGGACTCACAAGGGTGCAGCGCAGACACTGGTTCGCAGAGTTGGAAAGAAAAAAAGCTCACTGGAGCGAAGATGTCGGTGCAGGAGCCGTAGTTGGAGAACCAGGTCATGGTATCAGAGCTAACATGGGAGGACTCACAAGGGTGCAGCGCAGACACTGGTTCGCAGAGTTGGAAAGAAAAAAAGCTCACTGGAGCGAAGATGTCGGTGCAGGAGCCGTAGTTGGAGAACCAGGTCATGGTATCAGAGCTAACATGGGAGGACTCACAAGGGTGCAGCGCAGACACTGGTTCGCAGAGTTGGAAAGAAAAAAAGCTCACCGGAGCGAAGATGTCGGTGCAGGAGCCGTAGTTGGAGAACCAGGTCATGGTATCAGAGGTGATACAGCGGACTCACCAGGGTGCAGACACAGGATTACGGAGTAAGAAGAAAGCACTCACCGGAGCGAAGATGTCGGTGCAGGAGCCGTAGTTGGAGAACCAGGTCATGGTATCAGAGGTGATACAGCGGACTCACCAGGGTGCAGACACAGGATTACGGAGTAAGAAGAAAGCACTCACCGGAGCGAAGATGTCGGTGCAGGAGCCGTAATTTGAGAACCAGCTCATGGTATCAGAGCTGGTGCTGGATGCCACTGCTATGACGTCATCACTGTCTGCTGGCGAGTAGTTGCACGCGAGCGAGAAGAAGTTTCCTGCTGCTGCCACCTGGGGAGCGAGAAGGAGAGAGAGAGAGCAGGACGAGACTCAAATTGGAAGCACAGCACTGGGTTACTCTTGCTTGAAGTAACACAGAACCCTTCAAATCAGTGGCACGACAACCAGAGTGATCCCCCCCAAATACCCCACCAATCACCACACCAGCAATCCCCCACCCACCACCACAATCACCAGCCATTCCCGTTTCCCCACTCACCACAGTAATTCCCGTTTTCTCCACGAGCTCTTTCAACGCAGCGTCAAGGCTAGCACTCGTGGCCATGGTGATGGACATGGACACGACAGCAGGCGCCTGGTAGTGGCGGGCGATCCAGTCCAGCCCCTCCAGGATGTCCCCGAAGGCCCCGTTGCCCGCACAGTCCATGGTGCGCACTGGATGGATGAAGGCGCTCTTTGCCACGCCGCTTATTAGTCCAGCTACAGTGCCTGGGGTTGGGGGAGAGGGCGGGAAAAGACGACCAGCAAAGAGAGAGGGAGTGAGATGTCCCCAAACGTACTCTTTGCCGCCCCGCTTCCTAGTCCAGCCACGGTGCCTGTGAGTGAGAACAATTCAAGGGGGTCGATAACGAGCGAGCATTCAGGGAACGGGATGTTGCAAAGCAAGTGAAGTGGCGGGTGTGGGATCCTGGGCAGGCATGTAGCATGGGGCAAGCATGACAAGACGTCCCCTTACGGCCTACCAGCGCAGTGGGTGCCGTGGCCATTGCAGTCCGCCATGCCGTCCCCGCGCCCATCCCCCACCGTGTCCACTCCAGGCAGGCAGCGCGAGGCGGGGCGGCGTGTGGCGGGGTTGAGCCGGCCGTCTGAGAAATAAAAGTCGCTGTGGGAGCATCGCACGCCCTGCAGGAAGGGAGGGATAGGTGGGGGTTGCATGAACGGGGGTTGACAAAAGGGAAAGGGGGAAAGCAAGAGGAGAGATAGATGCACAGCGGAAGTTTGAAAACTCCAGTCCAAACCCCACTGATCCCGACCCTACCACCCCAGACCCCGCGAATCCCAACCCCACCACTTTGAATTGAAACCCACTGCCCGGACCACGGACTAGGCCTGTCTGCCAACCCACCGTGTCCACCACATAGACGTGCACGCCTGCGCCAGCAGAGGCTGGGTAGGAGTAGGCGCCATCCAGGGGAGGCGCGCCTGGCCGCTGGTCTATGCGGTCCAACCCCCACGAGAGGGGCTTGCGCTGCAGGGATGGGCGGGCGGAGAGCAAGGAGGTAGACGTGAGAAGACTCACTTCTGAGTCGGCTCAAGAGTAGGCGCCTTCCAGGGGAGGCCTGCCTGCGTGCTAGTCTATGCGGTCCAGCCCCCACGAGAGGGGCTTGCGCTGCAGGTTTGGGTCGGAGAGGGGAGCAAGGAGGTTTGGGGCAGGAGATTGGAAGGAGGAAGAGGGCGAGAGACAGTGGCAGGAGAGAAGAGAGGCTGTACGTATGGACAATACAAAGAAATGTGATCCGCTTCGACTAGTGAGAGTGGAGGAGGCAACAGATGGTCTACTCATACTCATTCCCTCGTTCTGTTCGGACCTGTGTGCGTGTGACCAGAGAAGCAGACGCCAGCACAGCGGAACTGTTAGAAGTCGATGCATCAGAAGCATCAGCCACGACTGCAGCATCATCTGCAGTGGTGACGGCAGCAGCGGCGGCGGCAGCGGCAGCAGAAACACGAGTAGCAACAAGAGCAGCAGCAGGGTTGGAGGCGATGAGGGCGTGGCCCTCGACCTCTACGAACTGCACGAGGGCGGACTCTGCGTCCAGAAGAGCGAGCAGCGACTGGCCTGATATGCTCATCAACATTCCGTTGAACAGCGCCTTGAACCTGATGGAAGGGGAAAGGGGAAGTGGAGGGAAGACGCCGCGTGACGAGAAGCGCACTGGGACAGACGAGCATGTCAATGAGCACGAACAAGAGCATGGGCATGCGCACGCTGCACCTGGGGCGTGCATGCAACAACGTGTTGCTACGGAGCACCGGGATGATAAGGCGGCAGTAGGATAAGGAAACGAAGGAGTAGAGCCACTGTCTCCAGTAGAAAAAAAGGTACTGGCGCGCACCGTTTGAGGCATGTGCCTGTGTAAAGCGTGCTGTTGCTGCTCTCTGCCAAGTCGCATATCTCGTCCACCCGGCTTGCTGGCACGTCCGGCCGAAGCTTCACCAAGTAGCTGGCGCGGGAGCGACAGGTATGGGGAGAGGAGATGGCATGGCACGCAGGACATAGGAGTGGACACGAGATGACAGTGGACAGCAAATGAGATAACACGGAATAGAGGAGCTTGACAATATCGTGGATTTTGTAGGGAAATCAAACTAGTGATATCATCGATATGGTAACATTTTCCAGCGACAGGAGTGTCAGGCGGGTGTCAGAGGAATGGTATGTGCTTGAGTATTGTCATGGCAGGCAGACATCCCCCTTCCTCCAAGGGACAACAGCAGAGGAGAGGTGTCAGCAGCATTGTACTATCACGTCGATTTTTACTCGACTCACCACATCATCCAAGGTACGACAGCAAAGAGGACCTGTTCGCAGCGTACTGTCACGGTTTGGTAGCGGAGCATTCACTTCCGCATCCATGGAAGGACGCGTCTCAGCTCCCATGTATGGACGCGCGTCTGCACTCATGAATAGACTCGAGAACTCACTTCTGCGCGGACGGCACGTCATGCAGCGACGCGATCCCGGCCGTCGAGTTGCCGACTTGCAGCCCGCAGTTGTACAGCACCGCGCGGCCCTTACCTGTGTTGCACGCCGCGTACCGAGCCTGTCCCGGACCTCGGATTGCGGTTCGGAGAGGAGGCGGGAGGCTCCATGCCGAACGTGCCAGCAGCACGGAAAGGAACACGATCAGCCACGGCAGGACAAGGGGGATCCGTGGGGGAACCATCGCTGCCTTGGCCTCAGAATGCTCGATCTCGTCACGTAGTGATCCAAGTTTGCCAGTTTTGTTCCGCTAGGTGACGCTGTAGCGAGAATCGATGAAACCGATACGCTCTGTGTTGCAAAATGGAAACTACGGGTGTTCGTTCGAGAATAATAAGCACCGCACGGCTTGCGTTGTAGCAAGGGAAGTGTGCTGATGCTTATCAGCTGGGTCCTACGAAGAAAGCTAGAATTTTTACGGTGGTGACGGTCAGGTAAGATCGGCTCGCCGACGAGAACACATCGAAGACCCGACGCGCTTCGAAAAAGACGAAGCGCCATCGCGCGTTCCTGAATGACCGTTCCCTTCTGGTACAGACTCAGGCTAGTGGCGAGTGATGCTACTGGCATAGTATCTGGTAAGCGACGACGGCAGCCCGAGCGACGCTAGACTTAATGACGGTATCCCGAGCGACGGTATCCCGAGCGATGGTAGCCGAGCAATAATAGCACGGTCTAGCGCAGCGAAGTGGGACATCGAATAAACTCGGTTAGTGGAGCTTCGAAATGGAAGGAAATTGGGTTGTGGCGGCAATTGAGCTCGGTTCGGCTTGCCTCGAGCAGTGCAGAGCGCGTGGCTCTGGGAACTCCCGATAGGGTCTGGAAAAGTTGCATAAATACACTGGGGTAATGTACAGTAGGAATATGCGTTGGGGTTGAGGACTGCATAAGCGTAATCAAATCGCAAAGTTTGAAAATGTAATAACGGCTCCTTCAACAAAAGCACAAACACTGGCACGTGGCGAACATGGCTGGTGGCTGGTGGTTTGCTGGGGAAACGTGACAGAAGAAAGAACCCCACCCGAAGCCCAACGGATCAAGTCCCCTCGAAGTTATCGAAATGCCTCTCAAACGAATTGGATACCCAATTGACGATCGTCGTAGAACTGTCGCTCGACTTCGCAGGCCCAGTGGTGTCCACGCCCTGAGCAAGTCTGATCTGATTCTTGTTATCAAGGACCAAACACATACTAGTCTTGGAATCATTTGCCTTCTTGGCAAGGCCAGGAGGTCTAGCTAGTCACACTAAAGCCTCAGCTGCTCAAGCCGTAGTGGCTAGATGTTAGGCGTCCAGATGGTTCGTAAGAACTACCATTAGTCTAGACGTTTTTAATTGCAAAGCGCGTGATCGAGTTTTGTCGCTATTCAATTTACTCGGTAACAATTGTCCGAGTTCACGCAATTCGGATCAGAGCAGACGCGAGGCTCGCGTCACTCCAGATCACCTCGCAGATCGTCTGACACGAAGAGAGATCACCACTTTTCACGAAAAGACAGAACCATTTTACGCTAGGAGAGGGTGCCAATTTACGCGAGGAAAGATCATCGTATACATCGTATACGCCGTCAGTTGGGATTTTCGCGTGCCGGAATGAATTCCTATGGCATGCCGCCGGGAGGCGGCCCTGCCGGTGGTTCTGGTGGTGGTAACTCGCTGGGTAACATGCCCGGCGGGAGGCGACGAGAAGTCTGGCGAATTGTTAGCGATCCGAACATTCACATCGGTAGAGTCACAAATCCCGACTTATATTCGCAAACCAAGGGAATTCAGGACGGCATGCCGAATTACCCCGGAGGACCCATGGCTTCAGGTGGCGGTTCTGGGATTCCCGGGATGGCGATGCGCGGACTAGGAGGTCCGCCTCAGGAGCAGATCCCGCCTGGATATTACCGGCCCGGCGGCGGCGGCGGCGGCGGCGGAGGAGGAGGAGGAGGGGGAGCATATGGACGGATGAACAGTGCTTACGGCCGCGGGGATGGGGGAGGAAAAGGGAGCAACAGCGGAGGAGGGGGAGGCGGAGGCGGAAGCGGGGGAGGGGATCCTCCGCGTCAGGTGTACCAGCTTCCGCAGTACAGAGGGCGCGGCCGGAACAGCAGACCGTACGGACAGGCGGCGCAAAACCTGGATGGTTCCGCGTCAGGGCCAGGATTAGGGTCCGGGCCGTCTGGGGGTTTAGAGAACGGCGAAGCGACGGGCGTGCGGCAGTCGCACGCGAGCGGCAGCAGCACGTCGTCGAGTCTGTCGCAGGAGGTGCGTTCCGTCGGTCGTGGCGCGTGCGAATTCCGAGGCGCGTTTGCAAGTTGAGTCGGAAGTTCCGTCGGTCGTGGCACGTCCGGCGCCACTGCACCATCGTGTTCATAACGCGATGAATTTCCAGCAGGAGTATCCGTTATTCTTGCCCTGTAATGATCTTGCAGGGCACATACATGCATGTAACAGGAGGGGGGGAGCATGACGCATACCAAACATACCAACGTCCTTACGGTTTGTGTCTTTGCTGTCTATTTGTGTGAGCAGGAGGATAACCAAGCACGAAGGCAGCAGCAGCAACAGATGCAGGAGCAACCACACGATTATAATGGTCAGCTGCAGCAGCAGCAACAGCAGCAGCAACAGCAGCAGCAACAGCAGCAGCAGGAGGAGCAAGAAGCGGATGTTGCAAGTCAGCAGCACACGCAGCACGAGCAGCAACCCCATTCCTCGAGCAACGGACAGGGCGAAGATGTTTCTTCTGCAGTGGATTGCCAAGAGAACGACAATTTCAACAGCCAGCAGCCGCAGCAACAGTTCGAACAGCAGCACCAACAGGAGCAGGAGCAGGAGCAGCAGTTGCAACAGGAGCAGCAGGAGCAAGCGGAACAGTCAGAGGAGGAGAAAGAGGTACAAGTAGACGGAGGGGAGGCAGACAGGCAGGTGGATATAGCCACCGTCGCCACGCCTAGCACGGGAGTCTCACCAGCCAGAGGAGCTAATCACAAGGACGTGCGCCACGTGGAAGACGAGGGGCGCGCGCTGCTGGGGTTGGGGGAGGCGGAGCTGCGCGCGCTGCTGGCGGAAGCGGAAGCCGCGCGCGAGGCCGCGATCCGCGCGGAGGTGGCGCGCGCGGCGGCGCTTGTGGCGCGCGTGGAGGTTGGGAGGGCGCGCGCGGAGTTTGACGCGGAAAGGCAGCAGCTGCTGGCGGCGGAGGCGTCCCTCAAGGTGGGCGCAGAGGCCTTGCTGGTCCTTGTTCTTCCTTCCCCCCAGCCTCGCGCTAGCCCCCTGCCACCGCCCTTGCCTACCTCTCTTTTCCCCTGGTGGCGCTTTCATGTCGAACACAACACACAATTCGCAAATCGGATGTGCGTGTTCTGCGCATGGATGGTAGTGATGGTCAAACCACGTCCCTCCCTCCTCCTTTCTCCCTCTCCCTTCCTCCCCCCACCCCCCCCTTGCGGCCCCATCCTCCCTTCTCGCTCCGCTCCTTCACGGAGTCAACTGGCGGGCGCGTTGGTGGCAGTGAGGAGCAAAGAGGAGGAGATGCAGCGAGTGAAGGAGAGGGCGGGCGGAGGAGGCACTAGGCGCCGTGATCACCTTTTCCTCCCCCTCTCTTCCGCCCTTCTTCCCCCGCTTCCCACCTCCCTGCTCGCCCCATTTCACAGAGTCAACTGGCGGGCGCGCTGGAGGCAGTGCGGGGCAAGGAGGAGGAGATGCAGCGAGTGAAGGAGAGGGCAGAGGAGGCGGAGCAGCAGGTGGCGGCTCACCAGAACGAGATGAAGGAACGGGTGAGGGAGGGGCTCTTTTTGAGACGTCTCACTCACTGCAGCACCTGGTTTCCAATTCAGGACAGCCGAGCAGCAATTATAGGTTCAGTGGAAGGTCGACCAATTTTGACGCCTCAAGGGCAGTCTCACTTTCCGCGCTGTAACGGATGGACCGAGTAAGGGTTTATTCCGCTCATGCCTTTTCTGCTGTTTGGTGTGGTGTCTGTCCGGACTTGGCAGGTGTGGCAGAAGGAAGGTCTCATTCGAGAGAAGAACTCCGAAGTGGCAGCGTTGAGGTGAGTGAGAGTGGCAGCGTTGAGGTGAGTGAGAGTGGCAGCGCTGTGGTGAGTGAGAGTGGCAGCGCTGTGGTGAGTGAGAGTGGGAACAGTGTGCTTGCGACCTTGCAGTGGAAGGGGAACAGCGATGAGATATTCATCTCACAAATTCCTCCCTTGCTTGCTTTCGTCCTCAACATTCCTTCTTCCATTTGCTCTCCTGGCTTCCACCGCTGCTATAGGCGGGAGCGGGACGGGGCAGTGGCAGAGAGCAAGGCGCAGGCGAGTCAGAGGGAGGCGGAGAGGGCGGAGATGGGCGCGCAGATGGAAAGGCTGCAGAGCCAGGTGGCTGACGCGGAGCAACGGCTGAGAGACACTCAGAACCAGGCAAGGGGGGGGGGGGGGGGTGGGAGGGGCAGGGGAGTGGGGTACGGGGGAGGGGCAGGGGGGTGGGGTACGGGGGAGGGGCAGGGGGGTGGGGTACGGGGGAGGGGCAGGGGGGTGGGGTACGGGGGAGGGGCAGGGGGGTGGGGTACGGGGGAGGGCATGGAGAGGGGGATGAAGCAGAAGCAGAAGGAGGATAGTGTGAAAGAGGCGCTGGGGTTGTGAGTGGGGCACACACAGCATGATTTACTCCTCTCTTCATCACTTCATTACTCCCCCATTTTCTCTAGCTGCGGCTGCTGAAGGAGGAGCTGTGGCAGAAGGAGGACGCGGTGAAGGAGGCGCAGGGGTGTGTGTGTGCTTCACACACAGCTTGAGTTATCCACTCAAATCGCGCCGCTGCTGTTCCCGCCCTCCCCTTTCCCCCTCAGCTGCGGCTGGTACAAGAGGAGCTGTGGCAGAAGGAGGACGCAGTGAAGGAGGCGCAGGGGTGGGCGGCGCACGGACAGGACATGGAGGCCCACGTGGCAGCCATCACAGCAGCCAATCAGAGCCTGCATGGGGAACTCAGGGAACGCACGGACCAGTGCCACCACCTGTTTGCCGTCACGCACCAGCTCAGGCAGCAGGTGGGTGGGAGGGTATATGGGTGGGTGGTTGGGTGGGTGGGTGCATGGGTGCCTGCCTGGGGTGATGTGATGACCTTCGTGCATTTTGTCTGTGGTGATGCTCTTGTGGCCCACAAGACACAATGCAAACCACTTGTTCATCTCATGCCCCACCTTACGCCTGCCTTCCCACCCCCGGCCCTCTCGCACCCTGCTGGCCCCACACCAGCTGGCAGAGAGTGAGTGGTACCACGTGCAGCTGATGGTGCAAAATTTTGTTGTGAAACCTTCTCTTGTAACAACTCATGTTTTCATCTCATTCTCTCGTGCCCCGCTAAATGGTCTTCCGATACCTCTCTGCTCCATGCTTTCCTCCTTCCTCCCTCTCTGCTCCATGCTTTCCTCCTTCCTCCCTTCTGAAACACCAGCTAGCAGAGAGCGAGCGCTACCACATGCAGCTGATGCAGCGTGTTTTCGGTGGTGCTCATGTAGCATGCAAATTGCTTTATTAACTCCCTCCCACCTTCCCCTTGATGTTTCCACCCCTTCTTCCCCACCAGTTGGCGGAGAGTGAGCGCTACCACATGCAGCTGATGCAGCGCCTGCACATGGAGAACACGGACCTGCGCTCCAGGCTCGGCGCCCTCCCTGCTGCCGCTCCGGGCACCACTGGTTCGGCAGTGCCAGGCTCGGCAGCAGGCGCAGGCGCAGGAGCAGGAGCAGCTGGTGTTGGTCCAGCAGGAGGCGCTGTGAGTGCTGGAGGCAATGCGATTGCAGGGGGGCAGGTAGCTGCAGCAGCAGGAGGCACGCTGGGGACATCTGGAGGGGGCATTGGAGGGGGCGTAGGATCAGGGAGAGAAGCAGGAGGGGTTGTGCAAGGAGCTGGGGTAGCTATGGGTGGCGCTGGTGGTGTTGGCAGCAAGGACGGGAAGGTGAGCTTCTTTGCTCCTGTGTCCGTGTTCCTCGTTTGTCTCCCTCTCTCCCTCCACTCGTCCATCTCTCTGCATTATCCTCTCCCTTGTGCATCTTGCTCTTTCTTTTCCCCCCTCCTTTCCTGACCCATTCCTGTCTCTCTCTTTGTCTGTCTCTGTCTCTCTCTCCCCTCTTCTCCCATGCTTCCCCCCGCAGAGCGAAGCAGCAGCAGCACAGCCAGGGCAGGCCCACCCCCCTATGGCACCACACGCCTACCTCATCCGCCCACACTTGCCCCACCCCTTCTACGCTGCACCCATGCAAACCGTTCCCACACCTATTCAACCTGGCCCCACACCCATGCAACCCGTGCCTATGCTTGTTCCGCACTCCGCCTCTCCCCCAGCCCTGCACCCTCTGCATCCTCACCCCTCCGCCCTCCCGCCTGCCACCTACCCCCCTGCTGGTATGCAAGGGCCAGGGGCACCGGCAGCAGGGGTGCAGACGGGGATTGCGGTTACAGGGTTACCAGGGCAGAACCAGCAGCACATGCAGAATCAGGGGCACGGGCAGGGGCAGATGCAGACTCAGGGGCAGGGGCAGGGACAGGGGCAGACACATGCGCAGGCACCAAAACCGCAGGGGCAACAGCCAAGCAGCAGCAGCAGCAGCAGCAGCAAGCGGTTGTGATGCATCACATCACCCACCCCATGAGCAACCAGCCTCTCCCCCTTCACCCCACCACGTCCCAGCAGCAACAGCAGCAGCAGCAGCATGCGAGCAGCCTTAGCTTTGGTTCTGGTCCCAGCAATGGGCCAAGTAGCAGCAGCACCACTGGAGGCACAGGGGAGAAAAGCCGGGAGAACGGTGGCAGCAGCAGCACAGGTCATCAAGCCCCAGTAGGCGAGCAGTCCAATGGGCACATGGGCAACGCTACTGCTGATGTTACTCCGAGAGACAGCTTTTCCAGTAATGGCTCTTCCAGTACTAGCAACAGCAATGCTGTCGCCAGCACCAGCATGAGCAACAGCAACAGCAATTCTGGCCAGAGTCTCCCAACCAGTGCTGCTGCTGCCTCCTCTGCCACTCATACCCCTGCTTCTGATACCCCTGCTGCTGACACCCCTGCTGCTGATAACCCTGCCACTAAACCTGCTGTTGTGCCTCGGAAGCTCGCTGCCAGTCCCATCACGCAGCGATCGCCGCCACGAGGGGTGGATGTTGGGCTGGGAGGCGTGGCATACGTGCCTGAACGCCCTAGCGGGGAGGCCTCAGGTGCAGCAGAATCAGATGCAGGTGCTGAAGGGAAAGGGGTGATGGAAGAGAATGTGGGGATGGACTCCCTGCCTGCGTCGGCTATGCTGGGTGCAGGAAGCACTGGAGAAGAGAGAACGGAGGGTGCAGCAGCAGCAACAGCACCAGCACCACTGCCAGCAGCAGCAGCAGCAGCAGCAGCAGAAGAAGAAGCAGCACCCACACCCCTCACAGCACCAACCCCACCTCGCCCCAAGCCCATGATGCCCCCGCTGCCCCCGGGGGCTCAGTTGAAGGACGACAGGGCGCTGCTAACGTGCATTGTGCGCACGCTCTCCGCTGACAGAGGCGCCAAGGCCCTCATCTCTACCACTGTTGCGCCCCGCCTCGCCCGCCTGCTTGCTCCGCTGACTTGGGCGCATTATGAGCCTCTGTACGGGTCGCTGCACCAACTCATTGCGTCCAAGCCCGAGGTACGTGTCTGTCTGAGACTGTTGTTTGTGAGGCCTTGTCTTACCAGGTTCGTGTTTGCCTTGGCTTCGTCTGTCCTCCTTTGCCTCCTCGCCCTCCTCACGTGTGCGTCCAGATTCGAGGTTTGCCATTGCCATTCAATCTGGTGAGAACTCTCAAAGGTTCACCATTTTCCTGTGTGCCAACGTTAATGCCCACATTTCTCCGAATCTCTAGAACGCTGACACTACACGCATCCCTGCCGTCTCTCCCTTGGCCTTCATGTGAGCAACTGTTTGGCATGGAGGGCCCAGACCATCCTGAGTGCAAGTAGACAACTGTTGGGACATATGTGTTTCTCAAACATTTTCTGCACCATCACACGCGTCTGTTCTAATGCAGTGCCTTGCCGTCTCTCCCGTTCCCTTCACATGAGCAGCTGTTTGGCATGGAGGGACCAGACCATGTGTTCCTGAGAAGCAACGCCCATGCCATCATCGCCACACTCCCTCTCCACCCCACCATGCCTCTCCCCCATCCCTCCTCCTCCATCCCCTCCCCCGCCACCTCCCTCCCCCTCGCCCTCACCCCCGCCGCCCCTCGCCCCCTTGCGCCGCGCTCACCCCCACCTGATGCGTCCATACCTGCTGGTGCTCTAACCAATCCTGGTGTCAGTTCTAACCCTGTTTCTTCAGCTGCTGCCACCGCCGCCACTGCTGCTGCGGGTGGTGGTGGGGGTGGAGGGGGCAGTGAGGAGGGTGTGTTGAGGCGTGAGGTTGTAGGGCCGGGGGTGGAAGGGGCGGGGCGAGGCAGCCGTCTGTGGTTTGCCAATGCTGCTCGGTGACCTAGTGGGGCTTGAAAGGTGAAGGGGTTAGGGAAGAGAGCGAAGCAAACTATTTGCAGGGAGAGTGAGAAGGGGGGGATAAAGATAAGGTGAGGCATGGTGGTGGTAACCTTGGGATTGGTGGGAGAGGCAGGGCTGGGCTGTGTTGTGTTGTGGACCTGTGGGGCTGGAAGGGAGTAAGAGAAGGACGAGGCAGTTGTTGGGACAAGGCGAATTTCAGGACGAGACAAGAGTAGGGGGAACCCATTTCTGGGGCAGGGCTTTTGCTGGTTATACCCTGTGCTTTCCGGTGCTGCCCGGTGATTAGTGAGCTTGAAGTGTAATTACTTGCAATAGAATTGCACATTTCCACCAGGTACCGTACCTGTATATTCTGATAAGATGACTGGATCTGAAATAGCAAATATGGAATCAGTGTGGTTGCACGACCCACGATAAGCACAAATTGAATTGCACAATTGGAATATCATTCTGCATGTCTCAGTACACCACGGTAGTATGGCAATGCACATAACAGCCAGCTGTGGCTTTATCATGTGTTTTTACCATAGCCGCATCACTACCTAACAGCAGCATACATGCCAAATTCCACTGTATTGAACTCCATGGGTACTCCCACTGCTCTCACCACGTTCCTGCCATAGACAGACAAGTGGCCACATGTGTGGTAGGAATGGGTCAATGGGTGGCCATAGGCCGTGAGAGGGGCAATGGGTCATCGGCCGTGAGGGGGGCAATGGGTCATCGGCCGTGAGGGGGGCAATGGGTCATCGGCCGTGAGGGGGGCAATGGGTCATCGGCCGTGAGGGGGGCAATGGGTCATCGGGCATGGCGGGGACCGTGGACGTTGACTTGGGTGATAAAAAGGATCAACTATGCAGGTCCGTGGATACTTTGAGCAATGGGTGGCAGTGACTCACTGGCGCGGACCGTACATGTTGATCTGCCTGATGTGCGTGTCACGGCCGTTCTGGTGGTTGGAGATGACAGGGTGTCTGTGGTGGTTGGTACGTATACACTGAAGGTGGGAATTCAGTCAGCAGTGACTCACTGGCGGGGCCCGTATATGTTGATCTGGCGGATGTGTGTGTCACGGCCGTTCTGGTGGTTCGAGATCACTGCCAGCTGCAGGTAGAACGCCCGCAGGTACTCCCTGGGGGGGAACGGGGTGTTGGGGGTGGGGGGCTTGTTGAAGATGCAGTGCGTGGTTTACTCTGAGGCATGGCAGAATGTGGGTACATTGACTCTGGTGGTTGGAGCTGACCGCCAGCTGCAGGTAGAATGCGCGCATGTACTCCCTGGGGTGGCACAGACGGGCACGGGAGGGGCGCATGCACGATGGGAATAAGAAGCAAGGAGGGTGACCGTGGTTCAGAAGGGGCAGTCGCAAGCATGCGGCACTTGCTGGTAAGATCCCTCCAAAGCACCTAGGTTGTGATCCACCAGTGAGTTGCTGCGGGAAAAGCAGCCAGCCCAACCATTTCCCCCATGGTGACTCACTTGTCATCGCTGGGTCGCAGCGGTATGTGCACCCACCCAGATGGCTCGTTCATCTCCACTAGCTTCACCTCCTGCCACAGTGGCATGCACCACAAGTGATGTGAGAAACAAATGCCATTGGTGAGATGTGCACCAGAAATGCTACTACAGGGAGCATCATCGTGAGCATGACATCATGCAGACGCCATAATGATGTCACGGGAAGCATCGTTGTGAGTGTGAACAGCATGTCCATTTGAGATGCTACAGTGAGCGCCATGAGCATTGCGCTGCAGGCACCATCAGCAGCATGCCCGCCCTGAGAATTGCCCGCCCTGAGAATTGCCCGCCCTGAGAATTGCCCGCCCTGAGAATTGCCCGCCCTGAGAATTGCCCGCACCTTGACGTCGTGGAAGGAGTTGCCGGCTCGAATAGACACCTTGTTGGGCGTGTAGCTCTCGTCCAACTTGAAATCCACGTGCAGTGACACGTGCTGGTGGAGAATGGGGACGAGGCAGGGCCGTTGGGGGGGTGGGATGGTGAAGCAACACAGAAACAGAGCAACAGGCGCGTCCTGCTTCAATTCGAATACACTGGCACAACCAGAGAAAGCAGTGAGTCGTAGTGAGCCATAAATAATGAAGCAAAGTGGCTCCATGCAATGCTTTCAAAGTTGGAATAGTAAGCATGCTATTGCAAGAGCCGGTCGCTTACCTGCAACCGAACCTTCTTTTGAAACTGAATATTAACCAGGTGTGGTTGTGACCCATCTGACCTGCACACGAGAATATATTGTTGGCACTTAGCCAAGAGTTACATAACGAAGGTTTTTAACTGCCAGAACGTGAAAGATCAATTAAAAAAAAAAATGTACATCCGGTTCTTAACTGCCAGAACGTGTCCGCCTTGCCGTCCCGCAGCAGCTCGACGCCATTGCCGGGTTTCGCGGAGCTGACACTCCACACCGCCAGATGCCCTATCTCCCGCCGGTCCTCCCCATCGTCTGGTAGACTCCCCACGCTGACGTCAGCCACCTCTGCTCTGCGCGGGAAACGCGAAATCGAGGGAACGAGAGGGGAAAGCGTAAGGGAGAGAGATAACTATCACTGATGGTTTGTTTAGCGACTAAGGATAGTTGTGATTCCGGGAATTGGGAATAGCTAAACGAAGCGTGTAGCTGCAGCTATAGGTAAAGGACGAGCAGGACAGCTGCACGAACAGCCGACGAAAGTGTTTCACCTGCTGCAGCCATTCTCCGACTCCGGAGACGACGGCGATGGACGATGGACGACCCAACCGCGATGATGTGCGATGCTAGGCGACGGTTCAAGTCAGGTCTCCCTTCGCCACTGTCGCTTCAACGGGGGTATGATGTGGATGACTTGATGATAATCAGTAGTGGTGTGAGCTGAGACGGGACAGATTCTGCTCTTTCGGGGAATCAACGATGCCGACGCGATGCGAGTGGTGTGTGCTTGAGAATAAATCCACTTTAACTGCTGAGAAAGGAATTTGAGTTTCCGGACTGTTGGAGAAGTGAATGCAGACCGTGAGCAGAATCTTCAGAACATTCACCGCACTGTACCCATCTCCAACCCCGTCAAAAACACGACACCATCGAAACATTCGCGAAAGTACAAATACAAATAATTAAAGAAATTCTGGTCACGTTCCAGTTCACTGGAGCACACTCAAGCGGGTTTCAAATGCCACCAAGCAGCCCCACATTTTTGGCGTTCCTGCGCATAGCACAGCTCCTGCTCACATACAATGCAGGAGGCGCTGCGATATCCGTGGCGCGTCGCGAATCGCATTTCCGTAGGCCGTGGCGTCGACGTAAGATTCGGTGGCCAAAGGCGTTGCGCTGTGCGCTTTACGCGAGCGCGATCGGCGACGATCGCAAGGGCCGCCATGAGGGTGTTCACTGCGGAGCAAGTCCACCGCGCGCTGCCGTACGACGGTGAGCGATAGGCGCGCGGAGTGTTGGGTGGGCGGATTGATGAGCGATGGGAGATAGGGCGTGACAGCCGTGAGTGAGTGAGGGTTCGATTCGAGGCCGCTTGAGCATCTCCGCGAGGCTTCCCCCCTGTCCCCTCTTGCCCCGCCTGTTCCCTCTTTCCCCGCCCCCAGCACTCATTGAGCATCTCCGCGAGGCCTTCCGCGCCTCCAGTGGCGGCGCTGGCATCGCCGCCCCGCCACGTCAGCACTACACCATTGGTCAGCGCCATAAGGATGAGGTTGGCGATGGTAATAACGAGACGGATGCTGGTTCTGGTGCAGCAGGGGACCCGGAAGTGAGGGGGTCAATAGGAGGAGAAGCAGGAGGAGGAGCAGGAGGAGAAAGAGGAGGGGAGAGTGGAAGTGGAGGAAGGAACACAGCAGAGGGGAAGAAGCAGGCAGCAGGGACGCTGCTGGTGATGCCAGCTTGGGACTCACATTGCAGCACACAAGGTGAGGCTCTTGCTTCAATGAAGGGAGTAAGACCGCCGCAAGTGCAATGGATGGAGTCCAGTTATGTTGCATGGCTTGATTTGCTGAGAGAGAACATGAAGTCACAGCACATGTGAAGCTAGGCGAGTGCTGGATTACACCTGTGCAGGCCCTGTTGGAATTGCCAGGGGCGATCCTTCCTTCCGTCCAGTGCTGCATGGCAGAGTCACTTTTGTTGTTGAGTTGACACAACTCAAACCACTTTCTCGCTCATGCAACTCACACCCACCCATTTGCTATTCCACCCTCGCAGAGCCCTTCCTGGGTGTGAAGCTGGCGACAGTGTTCCCCGGCAACGCTCGTCACGGCCTGCCATCAGTGGCAGCGAGCTACCTGCTCTCCTCTGCTGCCACCGGCGTGCCCCTCGCCCTCATGGACGGCACCGCCATCACGCTGCGCCGCACCGCTGCCGCCTCTGCTCTCGCTGCACACTACCTCGCATGGTAAATGAAACATCACTGTTTCCGCCAGCCACCTCTCTTTATTCCCCCCTTCACCAATTCCCTCCCCCCTCCCCTTTTCAGTCGCAATGCTCCATGTCTCCCCCCGGTGCCCCCATCTGTAGCTCCACCCTGCAGCAGTTTCCATCCCCCTCACTCTGCCACTTGCTCCCCTTCCTGCAGCCCGGACTCCAAGGTGCTTCTCATGGTGGGCACGGGCAACCTTGCTCCCCATCTCATCCTCGCTCATCTATCTGCCACCCCCTCCCTCCGCTCCGTGCTTCTGTGGGGCCGTACCCTCGCCAAGGCTCAGCAGACAGCTGAGAATCTGGTCTCCTCTGACCCAAGGTTTCGTCTCATTGAGTCGGAGGGGGGTTCCTTGTCAGACTTTCTGGAAGGGCAAGAAATGGGTGGGGTGAGTGTTAGTGTTGTGAGCGATTTAGAGCGTGCTGTGCGCATGGCGGATATTGTTTCATGTGCTACGCTTGCAACGGAACCACTTGTGTGCGGACGGTGGTTGAAGCGTGGAGCCCATGTAGATTTGGTTGGTGGTTTTCGTCCGGATATGCGCGAAGCGGATGATGATGTCATGATTGCAGCCAAAGGGTCAATATTTGTGGATTCCAAGGATGGTGACGCCATCACAGGATCTGGGGACCTTATCAAGCCTATTGCTAGTGGTGCTATTTTGGAGAAGGACATTGGAGGAGACCTCTTTGAGTTATGTCCTGGACGTGTGCATGGGAGGAGAGCTAATGAGGACATTACTGTGTTCAAGTCGGTAGGATTGGCCCTAGAAGACCTTGTAGCTGCCAAGATTGTGTGGAAGGATATGGAATTGTAAGGAGCTTTTGCTTTAATGCTACTACCTTTGCATGGTCTCACATTTTACCCCAGGATGTTGAAAGCAGTTAGATTAAACTTGGCAACTGATCCTGTAGAACGAGCCAACTTCAAATATTGTGGATGGTTTCACAGTTCCCCCCCACCCCAAGTCAATGCAATGTTTTCGCCAATGAGTGATTGTTATTAGAAAATGTATACAGAACATCGCATAATCTGTCATGTATTTCCCGTGATGTTTTCAAATTCCTTTGAAATTGGCGCTCCACAGCTAATAATCCCAAGGGGATCAAGCGGCTCGAGAACTCCAATCTCGTCGAAACTAGTGCAATCCCAAGGCCCAGCGCTGTCCCCGCCGGTGATTCCGGGACAGCCCCCAAGAGTCGCGCTTCGACTTGTGATGGGCCATTGCTAGTCTGTGCCAAGTACAAACCGATCAGCCAGTCGCTCTCGCAATCACCAATTTCAGCTCTCATCAGCTCACTTGCCTGCCAAGAATCTGTGCGTAGCACTACATTTTCGTAAAGCGACCATGGCCGGCTCCAACAATGAAGTTAACGATCAGGCTGTTGCACAGCAGGTCGAGGACCAGAAGGTTGATGCTGTTGAGATCACTGAGAAGCCTTCAGAGGTACTACTTTAAATCTCAGTGCAACTTCGAGTTTTTTAATCTCTCACCTTGAGAATTATATTAACGACTTCCACTCCCTGCAGGAAACAACAAACTCAGTAGAGGGAAAATCGTCGACTGATGTTAAGCCCTCTGCAAACGTGGACAGCGAGCCAGCGACCGAGGACAAGGAGAAGAAGGATGACGAGACGACACCTGACAGTGACGTTGTTGAAGTTGAGCCCGAAAAGGTCCCTGAAGTGGCTGCTTCTGCGGATGTGGTCCCTTCCACTATCGAAACGACTACCATCTCGACCAAAAGGAAGGCTGAGGCGTCAGAGGACGAGACAGGCGCCAAGAAGGTCTGCTTAGAAGCTGAGGCTTAGGTGGATTCCCGTGAAGCGAAGATACCCATGAGATCCTTGAAAGGCTCAATGATTTCTGACAATTCTGACTTGTAAAAGTAAAAGTATCATTGCTCCAAGTATCTTTGATTATTCAACTTGCTGACCTGTACCAGTACTTACAGAATTATTAATAACCAGCGCCAACTTAAAAAAGACAACGCTTCTAATGCATGTCATTACGAAAATGCTCTATCCTTCGAATAGACTCCTGGAGTTGACGAATCTGATCAGAGAGCAACCGCATGCTGGGTTCATCTTGTGCAGTGTCCCTTGCCTGAACGCCTTGAACAAGCGATAGACACTGCTTGACAGTGTTCAGTAACTCCTCTTCCCCTTGGAGGCTGATTTCATGGTGATCAGCTCCAGTTTCTGGACAGCCTGCTTCATGAAGCTTTGGCTCGTTGGTGATTCCCTCATTTGGAGGAGGAACTAATTGGGAAGAATGGTCTCCATGACCTCTCCTGAAGGAAGCAGCCTCACTTCTCCTGCTCTTTCTGCGCTCCAGCACATCATGCTCTAGCTTTGCAGCCTTGGCAGCTGCTTGCTGCACAACGCTCTCAGGCACCTGCACACACATAACCAAGGCAATGAGAAAGGGTCGAGGAATTAAAGGACAATTACGCAGCAGAAACCCATGTATGAACCTGCTTGAGTGTCTGCAATAATCACCTGAGCAAGGCGGGCTACATTCAGGCCAAAACTGCGACTGGCAACCCCACGGACGAGCTTGTATAAGAAGGTGACCTGCTGGTCTGGCTTCGCCTCTCCTTGCTCATCTGAGCCAGATGTCACAGGATCTGACAATTGTTTTTGTCCGCATGCAGAAATTGGTGGAGCTGCTGATGGAGGGGGAACTGGTGGAGTGGAGGCGAGGAAGGACATGTGGAAGCTTCCCATCGCTCCAGGGAGCTCCTTTTCCAGCTGAGCGATTTCGGGGTAGTGCGTGACAAAGAGTGTCAGACAGCGCACTGTGGATAGAAGGTACTGTGCATGAGGCAGGGGGAATGGAGGGGAGGGAGCCACGGAGGAAGGGAGGAGGGGAGGTAAAACGTCAGGCTTCAAACAGCATGGGATTGAGGCAAGTACACACCAGGTAAGCTCAAATGCAGGGTGGCAGTAGTTCACATGCAGCATGGCATATCCCTACGATTTCTGAATTGAATCGATTGCTTACATGCAGGGTGGCATACGCGATGGCGACACCATCATGGGTGCTGGTCCCTCGACCCAGCTCATCCACTATCACCAGCGACCGACCCGTTGCCCGACGCAGGATCCCAGAAGCTTCCGCTAGCTCCTCCAGAAACGTGGACGTGCGGCGAGCCAGGCTGTCATTAGCCGCTCCCATGCGCGTCAGAACCGCGTCCAATACATGGAGGCGCGCTGAATCAGCAGGCACGTAACACCCAATCTGAGCCATGATGCATATCAGCGCCACCTGGCGGATGTAACAGCTCTTTCCACCCATGTTGGGACCAGTGATGACGTGGCACCTTTCCCCTTCACCCATCAGCATAGTGTCATTCGGCACAAACTCGCTCCCCATAGTCACGTCCAGCACAGGGTGCCTCCCATTCTTTATAAGCACATTCTGCGGCCCATCTTCCTTGAAAAACTCTGGCCGAACATACCCCTTAGAAGCTGAAACTGCAGCAAGCGCACACAAACAGTCCAGCTCAGCTAGTGCCTTAACAGCTTGCCTTAGCTCCACATGCCCCCCTCCCGCTCCCCTAAACCCTTCTAACAACTCCTGCCACGCCCTTCCTGCTGCCGCAGCTGCAGCTTCCTTTGCCAGCGCCAGCCTGTCCAATCCCGCGAGGACAGCTGTTGGGTGGTAACGCGTAACGCCTCCGGCCTTGCCAGCCTTGACGGCGCTGTGCTTGAGCCAATCAGAGGGGACTCGGAGGGCCGAGGGGACCTCGATGAGATGAGTGACACCGGAAACGGAGAAGAAGGAGAGGGAGGGGAGACGCAGTTGGGACCGGATAGCCGGAAGGAGTGAGTTGAGTTGCCCCTCTGCCTCCCGCACTGCTTCCCTGCAGGCCCACAGCTCTGGAAACTGCAGAGAAGGTTCCGCTGCTTCTTCTCCTTCGTCATCCAGGACGCCTCGAATGTGGTGATTGCTGTCATATTGCTTACGCTCTTGCTGTTGCTGACTATGGTGGGATGGGGCCGCGCACACAACGAGGTTCACCTTGTCGCCACGGGCTGCAGCATCAGCGTCCACGGCACTCAGCATGCGCCGGGCGTGGCGCACCACGGCTGGCGATGCTGCTGCGCGCAGCAGCCTCTGCAGCAGCGCCGACTTCACCTTAGGAGTATCGTTGCTGCTGTCAGGGTCAGTGTCAGTATCAGCAGCAGAGGTGGCGGTGGTGGTGGTGGTGGCATGAGAGGGGTCGGGAAGGAGGGAGCGCAGCTGCTGTGCTGCAGACACCAGGGCTGAGAGCACTCGGACGAACTGAGGGGGATGTGCAGGGGGGAAGATAAGGGGGGTGCGTGATGGAGACCCCCTTGTGCAGAGCAGACACTGAAATTAGGATGCTTCGCTTCCTGCTCCAAACTGCCTTGTTTAATAAACTTGTCAGCTGCTTCAACTGTAACGAACCAGCTGAACCCACACACCTCACGGCTCGACACACCCCTCACTCTCACCTCGTTGGGAGTGACGGTCTTGTGCAGTATCCGCGTGACTCCCCTCTCCACATCCCCCATCCGCGCCAGTAATCCCAGCACTCCCCGCACTACCTCCCCCACTCCCCCTTCCCCCTCCCCCGCCCCCCTGCTCGCCGCCCCTACCGCTCCCCCTCCCCGCCCACTCCCAGGAAACGTCCGAGACACGCCAGTTAACGGAGAGGAGAGAGAGGGGGAGGAGGAGAGGAGCTCTGCGATGGCCTCTTGGCGGAGGGTGATGTGGGGGAGGCGAGTGAGGGGGTGGGTGACCCAGTGGCGCATGAGGCGCCCCCCCATGGCTGTGAGCGTGTGGTTGAGCAGCCAGAGGAGGGATCCGCGAGTGCTGCCGTCTGCACTGTTGTGCATGATCTGTGACGTCCAGGGGGGAAAACGGGGAGGGAGGTGGGGAGGGGGGAAGGAGTCTTCAATAGGGGGGCGCGACTTGGTCCACGCGCGTGACTTGGTCCACGCGCGCGCCTTGGTCTGCGCGCACGTCGTGGTCTGCGCGCACGCCGTGGTCCGCGATTGCGCCTTGGTCCGCGCGCGCGCCCTGGTCCGCGCGCGCGCCCTGGTCCGCGCCTTGGTCCAAGTGGGTGAGTGTTTCTGAGAATATCTAAACTTGGGCTTTAAGGCTCACCTCGAGCTGCTCGAGAGCATTTGAGGAAAGAGTCATCTGGTGGCCGGTGCAGAGAGGACGAAAGCCGCCGCCCAGAGCGAGCACGTGGTGCAGGTTGAACTCCTTCAGATAGTCCACAGCAGCAGCGAGCGCCCTGAGCAGCACCGGTGGCATGGAGAGCACTGCCTCTACTGCTGGGTCTACCTCCTTCTGCTCATCCTGCTGACGCTCGGGCTCCTGCTGCTCCTCCCTCTCCTTCATTCTCCCTCCATTCCCTTCCGCATGCCCCTTGCCTGCGACCTCAGTACAAGCAGCCCCGTTTGGCCTTGCAGCAAAAAACTCAGCAAGAGCTGCACGCACCCCACACATGCTGCCGCTGCCACCAGCCTTGCCAGCCCCCCCAGAACCTCCCCCACCCACGGCAGCACCAGCGATCCCATCGGGTGCTGCTGCCGTGGTGATTCTTGGGGCGGGGTCCCGAAACGAGAGGTATGACAGGAGCTGATGATGGCGGGGGTTGGGAGGGGCAGGCAGGGGGGGAGCATGGGGCGAAGTTGGAGAGAGGAACCGGAGGAGGCGGGGGGGAAATGGGAGAAGGAAATAGGGAAAAGGGAGAGGGCACACTTCAGATGCAGTGTGGGCAATGTGGATGGAAGGAGAGAGCACATTCCAAGTTACTCAGGGTACTCAAAGCTCACCTTGTGAGTGGCTGGCGAGATGGATCCAGTAAGCACAACTTCAGTGGGGGCGAAGTGGGCGAGGTGGGTTTCCAGCTCCCCCCCCCCAGCACGCCGTCTGTTGATGTCTCCACTACTACCACCGCCAGCAGAGCGCACTTCAGAGGCAGTGAGGGCAGAGAGAACTCACCTTGTGAGTGGCTGGTGTAATGGGTCCAGTAAGCACAATCTCAGTGGGGCTGAAGTGAGCGAGGTGCGTCTCCAGTTCTCCTCGTAGCACGCCATCAGTGAAGAACCCCTGTGCCACATCGCCAGTTGACGTCTCCACTGCCACCAGCCCTATCCGCACGTCGCCCTCCGAGCCTGCTTGCATGCCTGCTGCTGAGTCTGTTTCCCAGCCATGAGACGAGTCCAGATCCGTGGTTGGTGGGGATGGGCCAGGAGAGAAAGCAGCAGCAGCAGTGCTACCACCAGCACCTCCCTTTCCTCCTTCCCTCTTCCCCTTCCCTTCCTCCCCAACACTCTCCTCTGCTATACAGACCAGGTAACTACTCAGCCTTCCCCCCATCCCCCCTCCCCCTCCCCCACTCCCGGCCCCTTCACCCACTCCCCCTTCCCCTCCCTCCCCTCCTTCCCCTCCCAGATCCTCCCCCGCTTCCAACGTTGCTCGCGTGTATAAAGCCGACAAATGCCGCCCGAACGGGCCGGCCTTGTTGCTCCCATGGGCTTTAATCGCTGCTGTCTCGCTTTGCCGCACCACGCCCACCTTAAAGCCCGCCTCCACCAGCCGCCTCACGTGCACGTGCAGGCGGAACGTGGGGATGGACGCCGTCAGAAACGCCCTGTCCACGTGGCAGTAGATGCAGAGGACCCGCGCCGCCACGTCAGCATCGGCCCCGAAAAAACGGTACTTGTAGCCGACCTCCACCAATAGGAGGACGTCCGGGTGGCGGCGTTTGAGCGCCACGACCTGCTCTTCTAATGGGGTGAGCTTTGTGCCTGGAAGGGGCAGGCTTATACCGGGGATGAAATTGCTGCCGTCTTTGCTGGTGGTGGCGGGTGTGGGGTGAGGAGCGGAAGGATGAGAAACAACTCTGTCAGAAGGATGGGAGTCAAGTCCCTTGAGGAATCTGGCTCGAATGGCAGAGAGTGGGGCGGCAGAGGTGGTTGTGGGAGCAGCTGCAGCAGCAGAGGCAGCAGCAGCGGCAGGGGCAGCAGGGGCAGCTACAAGGCCCTTGCCTGCTTCTCCTTCCGCCAATTCCACTCTCCCCTCTTCATTACCATCATCCCCTGCCCCTCCCTCTGCCCCCTTTTCCCTCTTCCACGGCCTCTCACGTTCCCCCAACTCGTCCTCCCCAAATCGTCCCCCGACCTCTTCTTCTTCTCCTCCATCCCCCCCATCTGCCCCCCCATCCGCAGCTCCATCCGTCAGTACTCTCCGCACTGCCCTCCTCTTCCCCGCCCGCTTCCGCTTGAACACCACTCCTCCGCCCTCCCCCTCCGCTTCTACCTCATCCCCCGTCCCCTCCGCCTTCCCCTCCGCCACCCCCTCCTTTCCGTCCCCACTTCCGCGCTCTCCCCTGGTTCCTGTTCTCCGCCACCCCTGCCGCTCCCCAGGCAGCCTCGCAACTTCCCCATTCGCCGATCCAATCCCTTTCACGGATTCGCTGCCACCGCCGCCACTACCACGACTATCATCGCGACAGCCAGCGCTGGCGGCGGCGGTGGGGGCGGCGCGTGGTGGACGGAGGAGGGAGGGTGGAGTGGTGACGCGGACGGCGCCTGACGGCTGCGCGGGGGAGGGGGAGGGAGGGAGCGGGGGTGGTTGCCCTGGGGATGGCTTGCGCGCGAAGAAGCGAGAGATGGTTGCCTGCTGGCGCTTCATCGCTTGCAATCTTTCATTCCCAGCATCATCACAGCCCAAAGGATGAGGTAAATGTGTTTATATTTAACAATATTTTATTGGTCTGTTGACGAATGTGGGTGCTTGGTCTAGTGGTATGATTCTCGCTTCGGGTGCGAGAGGTCCCGAGTTCGATTCTCGGAGCACCCCTGATTTTCTTGCCCTTTCTCTTTTGTCCACCTGTGGGACCTTTAATATGCAGGAGGAGCTTTCCCAAAAGGGTCACGCGCCAGGGCGAAATGCGCAATTCGCCGCAACTCGCACGATTCTGACTTATTTTGCTCCACGCTCCCAATATTGGCCAATCTCAGCCTCCTGCTGAAAACCCGCTCTTACGTACGACGCATTGCCCTCCTGTGCGCGGACACAGACTCCCATTGCCCTCACGCACTTTCCCCCGCTCTTCCCGCTGCACTTCCCGCCGCACTTGCGCTCGAGCGCACAGGGGGAGCTCTCTGCGCACTCACCTCCACGCGCCTCGAAACCAAGCCATCAGCGCGCAGCCATGGATTTGACGTCGCCCATCCGCCTCGCCAGTGGCACCTCCATTCCCCGCCTTGCCTGTGCGCCCTTTCCGCCCTCTCCGCCCTTTCGGCCCCTTCCGCCCTTTCCGCCCCTTCCGCCCTTTCCGCCCCTTCCACCCTTTCCGCCCTTTCCGCCCCTTCCGCCCTTTCCGCCCCTTCCGCCCTTCCCGCCCGTTCCGTCCCCTATCCAATCCCGCTGTTGGCGCCGTGCCCTCTTCCATCCTCCCCCTTCCGCCTTCCCCCTGTTCCATGCCCCTACCTCCACCTTTCCTTCCTCCGTGTTGCCAGCGCCTTCCCCTCTCCTCGCCCTTCCGTTCGTTCCCCTCTTCTGTCCTTGTACTTTCCCATTTCCCCCACGCTTCTTCTCTTTTCTTCTCCCATTTTCCCTCTGGGCTAGGCTCTAACCCCCCTGGGCTAGGCTCTAACCCCTCCTCCCCGCCTCTCTCCCTCTCCCACACTTCCAATCCAACCTTCCCTCGCGCCGTCAACCTCCCGCCTTGCCTCTCCTCGCCCCCTCTCTCATTGCGTGTGTAGACTCTTGTCCCAACTCTCCCCATGTGTGTGCATCTATGCATGCCTGCATATGTGCGTGTGTGTGCATGTGTGTGCATGTGTGTGCATGTGTGTGCATGTGTGTGCAGTGGGCACATTCAAGGCCAAAGGTGGGGAGGTGAAGGAGGCAGTTAAAGCAGCACTTGCAGCTGGATACAGGCACATCGGTGAGCTTGCACTGTTTCACAGAAATCACTCGCCCCCTTTGTTTCATCTAAGGGCTGTTATGTATCCTTTCAATGCAGATACTGCGTCGGTGTACAAGAATGAAGTGGAAATTGGGGAGGCTATTAGGGAGTATGGCATAGCAAGGGAGGAGGTTTTTATCACGTCCAAGGCCTCTCCCTACGAGCACGGGTGAGAAGGGGCATGCTGTGTAAGGGTGAGCATGGCTGTGTGTGTGTTGTGTACGGGTGTGCGTGTCAGTGTGTGCATGTGTGCATGGACCGAATATTTTGATGCGTGTTTTTTGAAGCGCCTCCGGTACAGCCTGCACTCATTCACTCATTCGCTCACTCACTCACTCTCCCTCGCTGCCCCTTACTCTCCCTCGCACATACTCCAGATTCCAGCAGGCTCTAGCAGCATGTGCGGCATGTTGACTTTTGAGTCGACTCAAAAGTAAACTCAAAAGTCAACTCACTCACTCACTTTCCCTCGCTGCCCCTCACTCCCCCTCGCTGCCCCTCACTCCCCCTCGCTGCCCCTTACTCCAGGTTCCAGCAGGCTCTAGCAGCATGTGCGGCATCCTTGGATCGTCTGCAAACAGACTACATGGTGAGTGAGAGTGAGCTAGAGTGTGTGAGAAAGTGAGGGAGTGTGTGTGAGTGAGTGAGAGGTCAAGTGTGATTCTGTAAGTGCGTGTGTGAGATGCTTACAGTGCCCACCTCCTTTCCCTTGCTCCACCGCTCGTACTCTCCCCATACAGGGACAATGAACCCCTCCCACTCCTGCTCCCATGACTCTCCTCTCCTCTCCTCTCCTCCCACCCTCACACTCACTCACCCTCCCTCCATGTGCATTGACAACTCTCCCGCCCCTCGCCCCCTCTCAGGACCTCTACCTGCTGCACTGGTGCGTGCCCATCGTCCCCCCTCAACCCTCCTTCCTTGCCCTCCCCCTTTTCCCTGACCCTCGTCCATTCCTTGTGCTGCACTCGTGTATACCCCTCCCTCGCCATTGCCCGCACCCCCTTGGTCTTACTGTCGTCCGTTCTCCTGCCATCCCTTGTGCCGCCATTCACTTGCTCCGTTCCTCTTGCCGTGTGTGAAGCATGGCTCTCTCGGGCACAAACATATCGCCCCTCCCTCTCCACCGTGTATTCACTGCCATTCATCTCCTCTCCTCTCCTCTCCCTCTTCTCTCCTATCTTCTCCCTTTCTCCCCTCTGACCCCTCCCGCATTCCCAGGCCTGGAGTGGCAAAGCTAGATAGGTGAGTGATTCAGCCCTTCCTGTCCTGCCTTCTGCCTTTCCTCTCAATGCTGCCCTGCTGCCCTTTGTTTCCGCTCGTACCCCTTAATCTTCCTGCATTGAGGCGTCTCAGAGCTCTGTTACTGCCCCCTAATCTTCCTTCATCCCTGCTCCCCTCCTCCTGTCTTTCTAGAGCGTCTGAGAAGAATGCAGAGATTCGCTTGGAGTCTTGGCAAGCCCTGGAGCAGCTTCAGAGAGGAGGGGGGGGAGAGGGAGGAGTAGAGGAGGGTGGTGGGGAGGGGAATAGAGGGGAGGGGAGGGGAGTAGTGGGGATGGGGGCAGAAGGGGATAGAGAGGGGTGCAGAGGGGTGGAGAAAGGCAAGAAGTGGCTAGGAGAAGAAACACAGAGAGTTTTGTTTGCTTTTTATACGCTATGGCTTCTACCACCATTATTATGGCATGCACCTTCCCTCCCCTCCCCAGGTAAATGCCGCGCCATTGGAGTCAGCAACTTCACTGCCGCCCATCTCGATCACTTGATGACAAACTCTGCCACCCCGCCAGCTGTCAACCAGGTGGAGGTGCACCCGCTGCTGACTCAGCAGCCCCTGCGAGCCTATTGTGCAGAGCGTGGCATCTGTGTGGCAGCATACTCCCCCCTGGGGTGTGGCCAGGTGAGCCTCTGCTGGTATCAGGTGGGCCTCTGTTGGTACCAGGTGGATCTCTGCTGGTATCAGGTGGGTCTCTGTTGGTACCAGGTGGATCTCTGTTGGTGCCAGGTGGATCTCTGTTGGTATTAGGTGATTCTCTGTAGCTAGGTGGGTGGCCTCAGAGGCGCCTTAACTGGGGGCGTACTGTGCTGAACGTGACACCAGGCTGGCATATTCCGCACCAGACTGGTGTGGCGACACGCTTGGAAATTGGTGCGGTCTCTCAGTGCTGGTATGAACCATGCAAAAGCAGATTGCTTACGTGTAGCTCTCAGTTGTCCAAGGAACGTACTCAGAGATGCTGAATGCTTCAATGAAGCGACCACGCCTCTCTTCCAACCAGCAGAAACACTTTTTTTTTGTTTCCAGCATCTTTTCTGCGGTGAATACTTTGTTTGCTATCTTCATGCAGCTGTTGCAGCATTCAACTGTGCAACAAGTGGCTAAGCAAGTCGAGCGGTCAGCTGCTCAAGTGCTGCTCAGATGGAGCCTGCAGCATGGGATGGGTAAGTTGTCCTTCTCAATGTGTTTCATCGTGTATGGTACTGCTGCTACGGTATTTACCGGAATTTGCCCAAAAATATGCCCATGTCCCCACTTCCCTCTTATTCCCCCCCCTACCCCCCTCCTCCCCCTCCCCCCTATTGCCAGTTACAATACCCAAGTCTGTAAGCCCAAGCCGGATTTCGGAGAATGGCGAGATATTCAATTTCTCGTTGGACAAGGAAAAGATGGATGCCTTGGATTCATTAGACAAAGATCATCATTATTGCTGGTCACCCATTGGAATTGCATAGAATGATAGAACCGTTTCCATACTCGCTGTGACACCTGCTGGATTTGTTTCAAACGCGTAACGCAAATCAATCTCTAGGGAAAGGGAGGGACCACTTTAGCCGGCGCATGTGGCCCATGCCACGCCAGCGCCCCCACGTTCATGAGCTGGCTAACTTCAAGGTTTCGTCTGCCTGGGTCCACGCACTGTCCTGCTTGGCCCATTGTTCCCCCTGTTTCTTCTTCAACATCTCAGCCAATCAGCGTACCTGCTTTCTCATTGCTGAATTGTTCCCACTTTCCTTACGTCTGGGGGGTACCAATTATTCTCAGCCTCCATTTCCGTCGGCCAGTAATTGGTTCTGCACGAAGCAGTTGTGTCGTCGAACCGTCTCGCGTTTCGTATTCCGTCGCTACTTGCCGATTCTACGTTGAGGCCGACTTCTTGAGGGAGGAATCATGCAGGCCCCTACGGTTGACACGGATTATTTGAAGGAGATTGAGGCGGTCAGGCGTGATTTACGAGCGTTAATCGCGGAGAAGAGCTGCGCTCCGCTTATGCTTCGCTTGGCGTAAGACACTGAACCTCGTCGCATCTGTTTCAAACGATCTATCGATATTACGAGAGATAGCAATGCGATTGTGTTGTGGTCTTGTTCATGTGACTTGAATTTAGATTCCATGACGCTGGTACTTACGACGCGAAGACGAGAAGCGGCGGACCAAATGCTTCGATTCGAAGCGAGCTGGAGTACACTCATGGCGGAAACGCAGGGATGAAGATAGGCATCGACCTGCTTGGTGAGCTTACAACGTCATCTTCACGGTTCACACGGCATGTGACGGATTAGTACTCATTGCTGTGTTTCCTGTCTGCAGAGCCGGTTAAGGCGAAACATCCTCGAGTAACATACGCTGACATCTACCAGGTACGATCCTGGTTGTGTTTTGTGGGCATTTGCCATAATTTTTCTTTTGCCTCATAAACTCGCCGCTGTTTCAACTGAGCAGCTAGCTGGCGTGGTAGCTGTTGAAGTAACCGGAGGCCCTACCATCTCTTTTAAGCCCGGCCGAAAGGTGAGCTCACACACACGGAGCTATAGTGTCTTCACTCAATGCTTTCATTGTACATAACTCGTTCTTTGGCTGTTTGGGCGCTGGTTGTGCAGGACTCCCTGGCCGTTACTCCTGACGGCAGGCTGCCAGATGCTCATAAAGGTGTGTGAAAACAGGCGAATCACCTCGTATTCGTGAACTTCTCTTCATGGTATAGTTTTCGTGATTGTTTGTGTGAGCATGTGCGTCCTCATTTCTGATGCCGCCCTTCTGTTCCAGGATCTGATCACCTGCGAGATGTATTTTACCGCATGGGGTTCAATGATCAAGACATTGTTGCTTTGAGTGGATCGCACACTCTGGTAAGCCACTGGTCAGATTCTCATCCTTGCAAGCGCATGAGGTATTTTGTCATTTAACTTTGAGTCTTCATGCAGGGGCGTGCACATAAGGATCGTTCGGGCTTTGAGGGTGCGTGGACGCAGCAACCGTTGAAATTTGACAACACCTACTATATGTGAGACAGGCATTGAGCTTTTTTTTGTTGTGTCGGAAATATGTGTTCCATTCAGGCAATCTATGTTATTATAACCTTCTGATGCCTATTGGTTTTGCCATGGCAGTGAGCTTTTGAAAGGAGACGCTGCAGGACTGCTCAAGCTTCCCACAGACAAGTGCCTTGTAGAGGACCCCAAGCTTCGTCCATTTGTTGAGTTGTATGCAAAGGTAAGCAGTAAAGGAGCTGGCAGCTATGATTGTTAGTGTGAGGGGGTTGTCTAATGTATTGTATGATTTTATTTTGGGTGCATGTTGCTTTCTTTTGCTATTTGCAGGATGAAGAGGCGTTTTTCAGGGACTACGCATCTGCACACAAGAAAATGTCTGAGCTTGGGTGCAAGGATACCTCTCCAGCATTCTGGGAAGCTGATGCTGCAGCCAAGGAGACTGTTAGTGCGTCCACCATCTTGGCCCAAAGTGCTTTTGGTGCTGTTGTCACTGCTGGAGTTCTAGTGCTCGGATACCTTTATGAGCTCCGCCGGAAAGCCAAGTGATTGTGGCATTTCATGGCCCTCATGATGCCATGAGAATTTTTTCAAAAACACCAACATTTGCTTGCAAATGTATATGTATCTTGGATTGGAATAATAAATAAATGCCAGATAGACGGTTTCGTATACATTTTTGGTGTTTACTAAGCCTTCGAGATTTTCCAATGGTGCCTTCGATAAACAAGTAGATGGTTTCACAAGGCTAGTAAGGCTAGTAGATAGTTTTGTAAAGGCATCGCGTGCAAAACCGTACCGAAACACGTTACAGCGAGTCACTGCCGAAAGCTTTCAAATTGGGAGGCTTTGGCGCCAAACTTCGCCCCAATCAGCCCACGAGCATGTCAGAAAGCTTCCGCGCCAACAAAGCCGCCGAACCCTCCTCACCATGCCATTCCATGCCATCCCCTTGTAGACAGGGACGACTGCTGCTTTGCTCTCTTTGAGCCACGGAAGCCCCAAGGCATTCCCAAGGCTTTCCTCCCTGGTCATCCATGAATGCGAATCACTAGACCTGGTAGTTCTCTTAGGTAGATTAGTCCTCTCTGTTGCCGAATTCGTCTCTCAGCTTATGCAACAGTACGGCTAAGGCGGTTCGAATCAATTAGACTGATGAGTTAGTATTGAATAGTAGCCGAGTACTTCAACTTGTCTATAGCCTGCGGTTCCTGTCCTGGTTCAATCTGGTACTAGTCCACGGCTCAGCTTCGCATTAATCAGCTGCCTGGCGGTGCTGGATTCCGACAATGTCATACATTGAGCTCCTTAGGACAAAGCTCCTATTGTCATCTTCGTTTCGTTTAGCGAGGGGTAACTTCCAGAAGAATCCGCTGCTCGTGCTAATGTACATTCAGCTAGGCTCAACTGATGCACCGTCGCACGTTGCGGCTCTTAGCGAAAGTCTTTGCGACGGCGGCGTCTCACAGCAGCGAACCGCTACTCAGGTTCCTGACTGTCTCTGCTTGCCCTCCAGCGACCCGAGAAACTCTAGAGTGAAGTGACGCGGTGACAAGGCCACATGACGCAACAGCCGACATGTGTATTATCCGCAGATGGTCTTTCGAATCATGAGAATCTCGTGCGACGGAAGCGGTTGCTCCAGCGAGTCTTGGCTTGGTGCCGAGAGCAGCATCCTTCAGTCCGAGTGACGGAATATCAGCCGTCGAAACTGGCAGTCTGAAACAAACGATTCCCGAGATTGCCGGCCGGGAACAACACAGCGTTCTTCGGAGTACGAATAAGCGGCGGAAAGCAGCTGTTCGCAAATGGCAGCAATAGTTTCCGCCGACCGGGGTCGCAAGCGTCAAGAAGTGGACGTTTCGATGCCGCGGCGTCGAAACGGTCAACAGGACGTCGACGAAACAGCACGAAACGTCGATGCGTCGAACACCACGGACGCGGCCGTCAGAAGCAGCGTGACGCAGCTCTCGGGAGTTACGCAGCTCGCAGATGAGGATCGCATGCTTTCGCATCGACTTACCCGTCGTTCCTTGGATACCTTGAATGATCAACGGTACGTAACAGCGAAAGCTGGTGGGGGGGATCATGTAGGCGTCTAGAATAGGAACACCTAGAGAGTCTCGTCGCTCTCCTCCTTCGCGTCGTTCGTGAAACTATCTTCCCACTAACTCTTGTCCCCTCCTTCTCCCCCTGTCCTCCTCTTTCCCCTCTCTGCATGTGCGCGACTAACTCTGAGGAACGAATTTCGGGTCGTCGCCGTCGCTGTAGTCGCCAAGCACTTCAAGAATCGTCAGGCGTCGTTCGGAGTTTGCAGGCTGCAAGCGTTCATTCAAAGCTCACAACCGATTGCTTGGAGATCGTTGACAATCAGGGGAAGATCAACGGTACGTAACAACGAGACGGCTGTGGGGGGAGTGTAGTGAGTCGTAGAGCGTCGCCGCGCAGAGGCAAGAGTCGTGTCTCTTGCTTTTGAATCCTCCACTCCCCTCCTGCTGTTTCTAACCCTCCCTTGGTGGTCCCTCTTATGTGTGCGTGTCTCTCTCCCCATGCGTGTGTGTGTGTGCCTCCCGGCCTGCGAGCATGGGCAGGCGGAGCAACCTGGAGCAACTTGGAGCAGCAGGCGTGAAGGGAAGGCGTGGTGCAGGAGTGGCAGAGCAGCGGACACAGTGTGGTACGCGCCAGGGGGTGCTTGCAGGGGGGAGTGTAGTGAGTCGTAGAGCGTCGCCGCGCAGAGGCAAGAGTCGTGTCTCTTGCTTGCAGGTCCATCACTCGCCACCCGCTGCTTCTAACCCTCCTTTATTGCACTGCTTCTGTGTGTCTCTCTCACCCCATGTGTATGTGTGCCTTGTGGCCTGCGAGTCGAAGAGCAATGGCAGCACGTGGACGTGTGAAGTGAAAGCGTGGCGCCGGAGTGGGAGAGCAGCGGACGGAGCGTGGTACGTGCCAGGGGGTGCTTGCAGGGGCAGTGAAGGGAGTCGTAGGGTGTCGCCGCGCAGAGGCAAGAGTCGTGTCTGTTGCTTGTGGGTCCATCACTCGCCTCCCGCTGCTTCTAACCCTCCCTTACTGCATCGCTTCTGTGTGGCTGTGTATCTCTCCCCTCTCCCCATGCGTGTGTGCGCCTCACGGCCTGCGAGGCGGAGGGAAATTGCAGTGAGTGGAGGGGAATGGACGGAGCTTTCATTGCCGGCTCGCACCAAAGACAACCGTCCTGCAAGGAGAAGGGGCAGCAACAAGGCTGCTTTCTTTTCCAGTGCAAGAGGTACCTGGGAGTGAAGATGCAGCAGCAGGGAGATTGTCAGCCTCTCATAAACTCGCTTCTCCTCTCCTTGCTCAGGCCTCTTGTCCTCTTCCTTGCCGTCTTTCCCCCCCTCTCTCCAGCAGTCAAGGGGACAGTGGCTGCAGCAACTCAGGGATCACCAGTGGCTACAGCAGCTGCAGGGTGATGGCGAGCACACGAGGAGTTGTGAGTTGCTGAGACCATCTAGTATACCACTTCTCCATTCGCCCATGTCTTGCTTTCTCGTGTGCACTTCTGTCGTGTCTACCATCTTTCCACGGTGCCCACATCTCTTTGCTGGTGTCTTGCCAGATTTTCATGCCACTCTTCTCAGCTCCCAAACCTCTCCACTCCTGCCGTCTGCGTTTCTCAACTCTCCGCCCGTTCACCACCAGAATAGCAGCAGCTTTTATCCTGAGCAAGCGCCGTGGGCAGCCGCATTGGCAGCAGCAGCACTGGTGCCAGCAGCAGTGGAGGAGTGAGACATAGCCAAGTGCCACACCTTTTGTCCACAACCAACAGCATGGGCAGCGGCAGTGGTGGCTTCAGCAGAATTAGAGCTGCGAGTACAGCTTGTACTATTGCAACGTCAATGTCAGCGTCATTGCACTGCACGGCACCGCACAGCACCGCAGCGCACTGCAAGGCATTGCACGGCACTGCAGCCCACCGCACAGTACCGCAGCGCACCGCAATGAACCGCACCCAACCGCATGGCACCGCACTGCACCGAGCCGCACAGCACTACACAGAACTCCAGTGGCACAGAGGGAGTTGTGGATCAGATCTAGAAGTATGCCACTAGTCACCATCTTCCTGCTTTCTGTGTTCTGTGATCTCTTGTCTACCATTTTTCCACGGCGCCACGAGTGCAGCTGTGCTGCCATGTGTTTGTGCCACTCTTCTCAACTCCCAATCCCCTCCTCTCCTCTTCTCTGCAGCAACGTGGTGGTAGTCGCGATGAGAGCAACAACTGCAGCAGCAGCAGACAAGGAGCAAACTGGAGCACGGGCAGCAGCAGGGCGGTGCTTGGGGCAAAGGCTTTGCGCTGGAGTAATGGAGCAACATGGAGCAGCACACAGGCGTGGTGCAGGAGGCAGAGCGGCTCAGCGCCAAAGCGTCAGATGGAGTGTGGTACGTACTCGGAGGTGCTTGCAGGGGGGTAGTGCGGTGAGTCGTAGGGCGTCGCCGCGCAGAGGCAAGAGTCGTGTCTCTTGCTTTTAAATCCTCCACTCGCCTCCTGCTGTTTCTAACCCTCCCTTGTTGGTGCCGCTTCTGTGTGCGTGTCTCTCTCCCCATGCGTGCTTGTGCCTCACGGCCTGCAGGCACGGGCAACGGCACCAATCGAGCAACACGCCCGTGTGTGTGTGCCTCACGGGCTGTGCAAGCATGGGCAGCAGGAGCAACTGAGCAACCTGGCTGGAGCAGCACGCATGAAATAAATACACGGCACAGGAGCGGCAGAGCAGCGGACAGAGCATGGTACGTACTAGGAGGTGCTTGCAGGGGGGAGTGTAGTGAGTCGTAGAGCGTCGCCGCGCAGAGGCAAGAGTCGTGTCTCTTGCTTTTGAATCCTCCACTCGCCTCCTGCTGTTTCTAACCCTCCCTTGTTGGTGCCGCTTCTGTGTGTGTATCTCTCCCCCCATGCGTGTGTGTGTGTGCCTCACGGCCTGCGAGCATGGGCAGGCGGAGCAACGGAGCAACCTGGAGCAACTTGGAGCAGCAGGCGTGAAGGGAAGACGTGGTGCATTAGTGGCAGAGCAGCGGACACAGTGTGGTACGCGCCAGGGGGTGCTATCAGGGGGGAGTGTAGTGAGTCGTAGAGCGTCGCCGCGCAGAGGCAAGAGTCGTGTCTCTTGCTTTTGAATCCTCCACTCGCCTCCTGCTCCTTCTAACCCTCCTTTGTTGGTTGGTGCCGCATCTGTCTGTGTTTATTTCTACCTGCGTGTGTGTGTGCCTCACGGCCTGCGAGTCGAAGAGGAATGGCATGGAGAGGACGGGGAATGGGTGGGAGAACAGGCAGCAACCGGGCTTTAATTTTACTAAGTGAGTATCATCTCCCCCGTCCTCTTTGTCATTTGTGTTGCGTAGCGCTCATCACTCTGCGGCACTTTACTGCACGTGCTTCACTCTACAGCTTAAGCTATGCTTCCATCAGATGGTGTTTGGTTAAATAGTGCTTGCCTCCTTCTCATTTTGCTCGTTCTCCCCACTTTCTTTGTCCTGTTATTTTGGTGCCATGGTCTCCCCCCCTCTTCATGTCCCATTGCTATCGTTCCAGCAACTGCGGGGGAAGCAGTGGCAGCAACACCAGTGTTGTGCATTCCTTTATGGTTGGTGTGATGGGAGATTCTTTTTTCCACAGTGTTACGTGTCTTAGCTGCTTTGTTGCCGGATATTAATGCCAATCTGCTCACCTCTCGAACTCCTCCTTTCCTGTCCTCTCGTCTTCTCTGCTCGCGTCTCATCCTTGCCCCTCCTCTTCTCCTAGCTCTTGCTAACGCACATTTCTCACTTAAGTGCTTTCTTCATTACTATTTTTTTCTTCTTCTAATCTGCTCCGCTTGTGTGCTGGTGTGTGCTTTTGCAGCTTGTAAGTGTCTCCCCGCTCACAAGGTCTCCCTGCTCACGTGGCAGTGGAACTCCAAGGTCTCAAGATGCCACATTTCTGTGCTTGGCCATGCTTGGCTGTCCTTAGCTGTGCTTAGGTGTGCTTATCTTTGCTTAGCTGTGGTTAGGTGTGCCTATCTTTGCTCAGGTGTGGTTAGGTGTGCCTATCTTTGCTTAGGTGTGGTTAGGTGTGCCTATCTTTGCTTAGGTGTGGTTAGGTGTGCCTATCTTTGCTTAGGTGTGGTTAGGTGTGCCTATCTTTGCTTAGGTGTGGTTAGGTGTGCCTATCTATGCTTAGGTGTGGTTAGGTGTGCCTATCTTTGCTTAGGTGTGGTTAGGTGTGCCTATCTTTGCTTAGGTGTGGTTAGGTGTGCCTACGGTATCTTTGCTTTGGTGTGTTATGTTGCAGTTGAATAGGTGGGTGGGGTGGGCACTGGGCAGCCTCGATGGCGCCTGCCTGGGCACAAACAAGCACGCAAGCAATATGGAGTGTCCTCCTGCAGGTGCTGTGCCGTTCATGGTGTACAGTGGCATAATGCCCTGTCCTGCCCTGGCTCGGGTATGCCTTGCTATAGCGTGAGGACAGGGTGAGCGCAAACACCCAAGCAGGACAGTGTCCCTTCTTGTAGTGCAGGACGAGACGACTGGCGGGCCCATGGTGTGCCATGTGACCGTGTGTGTCGCGAGGACAATGTGGCTGCTACGTGTCAAGCCCTCGTTCACGGTGATAAGTGGAAGTGAGGTTGAGCTAACATGAGAGGCATACGCACAGTGATGGGGAGAAAGTGGAAGCGCAGGACGCCTTCCAACTCAATGGTAGATCAAGCATGTGACACAATCAAGGTAGTACGGTTCACTACACTTCACCCAAAGACGACAACAACGTGCTGATGTAAGCAACACAGAAGACAACACTCACCAAGTGCTCCTTTTGCTGCCGCAGAGTGACACGGAACACCAGTGTAAGAAATTCGCAGCTCACCACAATAACAAATACACACTGGCATACCGTAGCAGAGCTCTTACATTTACGTACTGCATAGCCAACCACACAATTACCCCCCCTGCCATCGACGTGAGGTGAATGTTGATTCAAAATGCTTGTTAACACAATCATAGTGTGATGGAGCAACCACTAGCCATATTCGCATAATCAACCATTGTAACCTCCATGCTTTCCCTCCTTCACTGCTCGAGTCAGGCTCACCCAACCCTCCCGCCGGTCCTCCTCGCTCTCCCTTGCCTCCTCCTTCGCCACGCCCTTTGCGCCACCCACAAACTTCTCCTCACCCACCACCACCCCTCCCTCCCCCACAGTAAACTTCCCCAACCCCACTCTCCCTCCCTTCTTCCCTCCTCCACTCCCACCCCCCCCAACAGGATTCAATTCTTCCTTAACTTCTTCTAAAACGAATGGCTCCATGAATTTCCACAGAAATTGGGCTGATGGTCCCGAGAATCTCACAGCCCGCTGCCCCTTGCTGCCCTTCCCCCTCTTGCTCTGGGCACAGTCAATTGTCCTCGCTTTAAGCGCCTTCACTATAAGCGCCACCTCCTTCGCCTGATACATCCCTGCATCCAGAATAATAGACCCTCCGGGCTGACCGCTTTTCCCCCGTTGACTGGGTTGACCGCGTTGACCAGCATACATGTACCAGTAGGCGAGGGCGCGCGGGGTGAGCCACTTGTGCACGAGGCGGGGCACCACAGCCCGCCCGTCCTGCTTCTCAGGGCGGTACTGGTGCAGGTAGAACACCAACGAGGGGTGTGGCACTGTGCTGAAAGTCAGCACTCTGCCCCTGCTGCCTGTGCTGCCCCTGCTGGCCCTGTCATCGCCCTCCCCCTCCCCGTTCTCCCCCTCCTCCCCCTCTTCCCCTTCCTCTCTCTCCCCCATCCTCACCTCCTCACTCCCCTCCTGACTCCCTTCCCCACCCACCCCTTCACTCACCTCCCCACCCCCGTCAACACTCACCTCCTCCTCCACAATAGGCCCAGCAGCCCACTCCCTAAACATCTCATATAAATGTTCAATCACCCGCTCCCTCCTCTCCTCCCCCGACACCACTGAAAACCGCACCGCCGCCGTCGCGGCCCCGTCATCGCTCGCCACGTCAGCGCCAGCGAGGATCAGCCCGGATAAGATCTGCCGCTGCTCCTGCGAGAGTTTCAGCCCTGCGGACTCGTCCGCTAGCAGACGCCGCCTGCCAACCGCTCGCAGGGCGGCTTGCCTCGCCGGACCGAGAAGTCGGGCTTTAAGCTTTGCAGGCGCGCTTCGCACCATTGCCCCCCCTGCTTCTCCCTCTGCTTCTCCCTCTGCTTCTCCCTCTTGCTCTGAGTCCCCTTCCTCGAAAGCAGCAGCTGAAGCAGCAGCAGGAGCACGGGCAGCAAGAGGAACGCCGCCTCTCAGATCGGTGTAGACAGATCGAACCGTGTCAACATCACCAGCTGCACCAGCAGCAGCAATCACCAGGTTGTACGTCTCCTGGTTCGGCCCAAACCTGACCGCCAAACCTCCTTCCAAGCCCGAACCAACCACCGTGACCCTCCCTGCTTCATGCTCTTCAATCATCCCTGTACCCGTCCCCACCTCCTTCCCCTTCTTCTTCCCACCACCTTTTCTGTTCCTCTCCTTTTTCTTCTTTGTCGCCTCTTCAACGCTCTGCATCGCTCTGTACACCTTCAAAGCTTCTCCCATCTCCCCAGCCTGGATCAACGCCCAGATGTACAGGTTCCAAGCCTCCTGGTTCGGCTCGCACCGAGCCTGGACCATGGTTCGGAAACACCCACCAATCGCATTCAACGCCTTCTGTGCTTCTTCCCTACTCTCCCCTCCCTTCCATTCCCCTTCCCTACCTTCTCCCATCTCCCCTCGCTGCTTTATCCCCTCCTCTACTCCCCCTCCCTCTCCCCCTCCCAATTCCGATTCCCCTCCAAATTCTCCTTCCCCTCCCCTTCCCTCTACCCCACTCCCTCCCATCCGCACATACCCCCTCAGCAGGGACAGATAAGCCTCCCTCAGGTGCAACCCAGGGATCCCCTCAGCTGCCATCTCCCCCACCACCTCCTCCGCCCTCCCCATCTCACCCGCACCTACCAACCCCTCCACATACGCGTTATAAGCTCTCACCATGACCGCTTTGCCATCTGCTGCTCTATCTCGTGGGCCTTCCCCTCCTCCGTCCAATTCCTCTTCCCCCCCCTCCCCTTCCTCTTCTCTTTCCCCTTCCCCATCTCCCCCTTCCCCCATGTCAGCATCTTTCCTCACCTGCTTTGAAAACTTGCTACCAGCCTCCACCACTCTCGGCCACACCTGCAAAACTTTTTCGTGCTGCCCTGCATGGTTGTAAGTTTCCATCAGCGCCGTCAGCACCACCTGCCCGGGCAGAAAACCTTCCGACTCAAGCTCCTCAATTCCCCTCTCTGCTTTTTCCACCAAACTCAACAGCCTTTCTCCTCCCCCTCCCCCATTCATCCCCTCACTTCCCTTTCCCCCACCCACTCCCCCTCCCTCCCAATCCTTCCTCCTCTTCCCGGCCAATGCGCATGCGACAACTGGCGCCTCCAGGGCGGCGGAATTCGGCGTTATTCCGGCCGCCCGCATCCGCGAGAGCAGATTCTCAGTGCGTGCCACGTCACCTGCAAGGCCGGCATGGCGCAACAGTAGTGCGTACCGGGCGGCACGAACACGGAAATCAGGCGGTAAACGCACCCCTTCCTTTTCCTTCTCCCCCTCTTCTCCCCCCTCCCCTTCCCCCTCCCGTCCCCCCTCCGCTTCCCCCTCCCCTTCCCCCTCGCCTCCCCCCATCCCCTCCCCAGCCTCCATGTCTCTCAGCAGCTCTTCAGCCTTCACAAAGTGCCGCCCAGAGCTGCACCTGACAGCGAGCACAGCCCACAGCTCCTCCTGCACGGCCCTGCTGGGAGTCAGCTCAGCAAACTGCTTCATCTGCCGGTACACCTCCCAACCCCTCTCCACCTCTGCTGCAGCTTTCTCTTCCCTCTTCATCTCCTTAAACCCCTTGAACCCCCCGGGCCCTCTCGCAGCCTCTCCGCCACTCTCCACCGCTCTGCTCCCCTCTCGACCTTCAAGTACCCCTCCAGACCCATCTTCATCCTCCCCATCCCCACTCGGGGCCTTCCCCTCCTGCAACCGCCGGCTTTCTCTTAAGAACATTCTAATCAGCCCCTCGTAGTTCCTCCTAGGAGGCACCAGCCCGTGGGCCAGCATCATATCGAAAAGCTCCTGCGCGCGTGGCACGTGCTGATTGGCCGTTGCTGCGTCCAGCAGGTCGGCGTAGAGGGAGGGGATGGGCGCGTAGAAGGCGGCTTGCCGAGCCCACTTGAGCGCCTGGTGGGAGGAGGGGTGGGGATTGGAGGGAGTGGGTGGGGGGAGCAGGGGGAGTGGGTGGGGGGAGCAGGGGGAGTGGGTGGGGGGAGCAGGGGGAGTGGGTGGGGGGAGCAGGGGGAGTGGGTGGGGGGAGCAGGGGGAGTGGGTGGGGGGAGCAGGGGGACAGGGAGTGGGTCGAGAGCAGGTCGGCGTCGAGGGAGGGGATTGGTGCATCGAAGGCCGTTTGGCACGCCCACTGGAGTGGACGGGCTGTCACAGCAGGGGGACAGGGGGGCAGGAAGGCAAGGCAAATTGCGTATGATAGACCTAAAACCCTGAACCCGAAATCCGAGAGGCTTCATGCCCAAGACATACCCCGATGGCCGGCAAAGTTCCTCCTCGTTCCAGCACCCCCCTAACCACCCCCTCCACATGCTCCATGCCTATCCACGCCCATTCATGCCCTTGCACCCAAAAACCCCAGAGGCTTCACACAACACATACCCGGATGGCTCGCAGAGTCTCCCCTCGTTCCAGCAAGCCTCTCACCACCCCTTCCACATGCTCCATGCCTATCCACGCCCGCTGCACGTTCAGCAGCTTCACGATCGCTGCCGGCCGCAGCACCGCCAGCTCATCGATCAGCCATGCCACCTTTAACTTTGCCATGTCAGCAGCACCCTCCTGGTCCCTCTCCCCTAAACCCCCGCTTAAACCCCGCTCCGCCTGCCTGTCCCTCTCCCACTCCCTGCCCCGCTCCCAGTCCCTGTCGCTCTCAGCGTCTCTCCTCGCTCGTTTCTCCACCATTTTCCTTTGCCATTTCACCGCGTCCTCACGCACGTGGGGCACTGCTGGTCTCTCTAGGAGGGTCTGCCAGGGCGCCCTGTCAGCATCTTGGGGGAGGTCTGCCAAGAGATTTGATTCTCTCCAGATCTGCTTCTTCTCCTCGGCAGAAAGACCCTGGGAAAACTCCTGGCGCTTAAAACCCTGAACCCCGTCGACCTTCATCCCAGCCTCTTTCCTTTTCCATCCTCTCTCCTCTACCTCCTCCTTCCCCCCTTCCTCTTCATCCTCCTCATATTCTCCCTCTTCCTCCTCTTCCTCCTCCTCCTCCTCCTCCTCCTCCTCCTCCTCCTCTTCCTCCTCTTCCTCTTCCTCCTCCCCCTCATCCCCCTCCCCCCTCCACCTCTCCCCATCCCCACTGCTACCCAGAGCACCACTCACATCGCGCCGTCGATCCCTCCCTGTGCCCTTATAACCGCTGCCACTCACCCAGAACACCCCCTTGTACCCCTCCTCCCCCTCCGCCTTCTCTGCCCCTACTCCCCCTTCTGCCCCTTTCACCCCTTCCGCACCCACCTTCCGCCCTCCTTCCGCAACCCCCTTTTCCACTGTTCCAATCTCCCCCCATCCCTCACTCTCCGCAGCTAACATTGCCCCGGTTTCCCCCTCCCCCCATCCATTCCTCCGCGCGCCTGCCATTCCGCCATTCCCCCTGCTGATCTCCACAATATTCTCCCCGTTCTCCATGTTCCCTCTGCCCCTTACGCGCCCCCTCCCCCCACCGCTGCCGCTGCCCTCCCTTCCCCCCTTGCTCCCCCTGCCCTCCCAGCTGCTCCTCCCCCCACTGCTCCCCCCTCCCCCCCTTCCGCCCCTGCTCCCCCTGTCCCCCCAGCTCCCTCTGCCGCCGCTCTCGCTACTTGCGCCATCCCCCTGTCCGCGACCCCCCTGCCCCATCCGCTCCCGCTTCCCCATCCGCCCCCCCTGCTCCATCCTCTCCCGCTTCTCCATCTCGTGCTGTCGGCTGCTCCTCGATCCGCGCTGCTCCCACTCTCTCGCGCCGCCCCTCTTCCCCCACTCCCCGCCACCCCCCTTCTGTTCCCCCACTCCCCGCCACCCGCGTGTCTGTTCCCCCACTCTCCCCCACCCCCGCTTCTGTTCTCCTCTCTCCCGTTCCCCCAATCCCGCGCAATTCCCCTTTTTTCCCACGCCCTCTCACCGCCACCCCTACTCTCCCATCCTCTTCCCTCTCCCCTCCCCCTCTGTAACTCCCTCTCGCCCCCACCTCTACCCTCCCACTCTCTCCTCCTTGCCCCACCCTCCCTACCTCCTTCCGTCCTGCCCTCCCAATCTCTCCTCCTCCCCCCAAACTCCCTATCTTCTTCTTTCCTGCTCTCCCACTCCCTGCCTCCCTCATTCCGCCTTTCCGACTCCCTCCCACCACCCATCCTGCCCGTCCCACCCCCGTCGCTCCGTCTGCGACCCCCCTCCGCCGTCCGATCCCCCGATGAACGCACCCCAGCCGTTAGAGCTTTCGCATCTGAGACAGCCCAGCTGCTTCCAGCCGTCCGATCCCAGGGATCTCGGCCAAGCCGTTGAAATCCAGCCTTTGGATTGCGAGTGCGGAAGCTCTTTGCCCGCGGCTCATCCAGCTTCGTCTCGCCTCCCTTGTCTGCAACTGATGGGGCAGCGGATGCGCTAAATTCGCGCAAAAGCGGAAGCCCCGCGCAAAGCGGCGGTGGAGACATCGCCAGCCGTTGGATCTGCTGCCGAGGCAATGTGGACGGCACGGATCCGCCGGTGCTGGAACCCCATACCCCACTGGTCCTCAGCATCCTCACCCCTCCTGCTAAAGCCCCCCGCGATATGAATCCAGACCGTTGATCTCGCGCCAACAGCGCGCTTAGCGGCTGCGACGGACATGGACCGTACGATCCGCATCCAGAAACGCTAACTGGTGTGGATCCGTGCGAATGCAAGGATCTAGCAACAACGGGAGTTCTCGCTGTTCTGCTCGCCGTGATCCCCGCCATTGTTCCTGCCGTGATGGCCGCTGCCATTGCATCAGCCGTTGGTTCGACGGGTACCATAGGAGACAAAATCAACGGCTGTCGTTCGTGGACCAGTGTGAGCGCGCGACGCGCAGACGCGCGAAGAGGGGCCATTTTGGGCCCAGCTAATTCTGGGGCTCAGGTGAACTGATGGAAAACATCGAGACTTTCCTTTCTGGGCCTGATGTACGCGTTAGGGTATGGAACATTTTTCCAACAGCACGAAGCTTGGGTATGGTGGTGCACCCACATACATTCCGTCATCTGCTCCGACAAAAGGTTTTTTGTGCGATCAATCACTGTATGCATATATTTTAAATAAGCCTTTCCGAAACATCCATTTCCGAGTCCTCCATTGTGGAATTCCCAACAACCTTGGGAACCGAGTCTTGTCATTCTGACGGCAGCCCAGCGAATATCCAGTCCCAGCCCTCGTGGCGCGAAAAGCCACGTCAATCACGTGAGCATTTTCCAGCTCAGCCAAACTTGCAGCCAATGCTTGGTGTCAGGTCAGCCAATCGCTGTCGCGCTGGCGTTCTTCTGCGGCTCCCATCTGGAACCACGGCAGGGCCATGCTTGACGAACGCAAAACGTCACTGCATGCATCGGTTCGCTCTTTGCCTCCCAGCCATGTTGAATTTCCATTTCCTGATCTTTGTTCAGGCAGCCATGCCTACTCTGACCATCTGATTTCCTCCTCCAGCTCGATTTCCGTAGCCTAGTTTCTTCTCACCCTCTTTCTGCTCATGCTTTTGGTTCCTACATGTCGATGCTTCTGTTGTTGCACTCGCCTCAATATCCTAAGTCCATTATCTGGTGAAGCTATAACATACGGATTTTTAAACTAAGTTTAGGGTCGTTTACCAAGACCAGCTTCCTAAGTCTCGTTTACCATAAGACCAGCTTCCCGATTTTTATAAGGTCGCTCAAGCCGCTTTCCTCAGGTCCCCCGAAGACAGCATTCTCTGAACCAGGCTTTACAAAGAATAAAAAGCGGCTCGTACGATTGTAATAGGAGCAATGAGTGGATCTACCTGTCACACGTAGGGACCCCAACGGAATAGACATCTCCCACGGCTGCTACCACCAACGTATTTCTCAACCTCGAACACACAACACCCACATTTCAGCAACAATGGCAGCGTCGATCAACGTAATGTCGTCGTCGTCACGCCATGCTCTCCACGCAGCTTCACGATTCCACCACCACCTTTACCTCGCAGCCGCTCCAGCAACGGCCCTCCTCCAGCACTCCCTGGCCGCTCTTTCCAGGCTCGCTCCAGCCCCGACTTCTGTTCCCTCCGCCTCTGCACCGCCCTTGGGAACGCCTCCTGCTCATGGAACCGCTACAGTCGCTACATCTGCCACAGCCGAAGGTCCAACGAGCAGTTCTCCTATCCCCTTCAGCTCGCCCTCAGGCGCCAGGCGCTTTCTATCATACCCGGCCTCCTCCTTTCACTCTCACCTCTCCCCTCTCGGCCGACCCGCGGGCTCGTTCCCCTCGCCAGCCGTCCTCTCCCGCCACTCTCTCCGCTCGCCTCCACGTCATCTGTCCCCCTCATTCGCTGCGAGCGCCGCAAATCCAGTCCTCGACCAGCTCCTCTCCGCGCGTCCCTTCTCCTCCTCTCGCGGTAGCAGCGGCGGCGGTGCGGAGAAGGTTGACGTGGCGTCGTCCACGCTGGCAGATGCCGCGCGAAAGGCGGCGGGAGGATCGGCGGGAGGATCGGCGGGAGACGCGGCGGCCGCGGCGGAGTCGCTCAATGTGGAGAACGTGCAGAAGCTGTTTCAACAGCTGTCCACGTCAGAGGTGGCAAACGCGATCCTGAACCTCGAAATGGCGGCGCGGGAGATGGTGGTGGACGCCAGCTCAGCGCTGCTGACGTCACCTGTGATGCGGATTCCGCTGGTGGCGGCGCCGGTGCTGTGGGGGGTGCGGAAGACGGCGCATAAGCACTTCTGCGCGGGGGAGACGCTCGAGGAGGCGGTTGCGACGCTCGACCGCATGCAGCAACTCGGGCTCAAAGGCATTCTGGACTTCAGGTACTGTACGTTTTTCATTTAAGTATTTTATACGAATAAACGCACCCATGTACAGTACAGTGGGGTTCACCGTGTAGCTGAAAACGACTTTATCGAAGCGAAGCGTACAGAGAGCGGGTGAAGCAAGCGAGAGTCTGACGAACTCAGAAGAACAGCTGTTACTTGTAAGAGCGTTCCCGCTTGCGGTTCTACTGTCCGCCTGAGCCGCCGAAATGCTCCGCGAAGAAAGGTGCATATGATTTCTGTTACGCGCGTTTATTCGAGCAAAGCGCTTATAGAAACAACTGAAAGTACAGCTAATACATGGGATCAGCTAGAGGGGAAACAGCTACAGGTGTAGAGCTACAGTCAGATGCCACAGCGAATGGGGAGAATGGAGATTACTAATTGATACTCGAATTACGTTTTCCTCTAACAATGCCGAGAAGCGAGGCTTGTAGACACTTATAGCAAGTGGATGCTAGCAATACCGAGCAAAGCTTGTTGGAGCAGAGCTGTTCTACGAATCAGAATTCACTGCATCGTGAACAGAAATTGCCAGGGCAGCTGATCGCTGACCTCAATAACCGGTGCCTGGACAGCCATACGAATTCGTGTACTCCCGGCGGTTCGTGTATCGGGTACTGGAGGGGGGGGAGCGTGGCATACGTAGCGAGATCTCCCCCAGTCTCCGCGTCCCCTCCTCTATCCGCGCCCCCTCATCCTCGCCGCTGATTCCGCGCGTCGCTCGTTCACCGCCGCGCTCAGCATCAGCCGGTCCGCCAGCACACTCGACGCGTGCGCGCCCGCGCTCGCGACGCTCGCGGTCGCCGTGGCCGTCACCGCCACCACCACTGCGCTGGTCGTAGCCGCGATCGCGCGCGCAAGCGCGCGGAAAGTCTCCTTGCGCGGAGACTCCGCGGCGTCCCCGCTGGTCCACGCGATGGCGGCGGTCGCGCCGAGAGCGGCGATCACGGCGACGCAGGCCGTGCAGGTCGAGTAGGATGCGGTGAGAGACGAGACGGCCGCCCATGACGATGCCGCCTCGGCCGCCTCTTTCAGCTGCCGCTGTTGATCGTCCGAACGCGATTCGTGATCCGCGACCCCGTTCGCGTTCGGGTTGGCGTTGGGGGTGGCGTTTACGTCGACGTTGCCATTAGTGTTGGCAGTGGCGTTGGCACTGACGTTGTCGCTGGGGTTGGCGTTGGCGCTTGAGTTTCCGTTTACGTTGGCATTCGCGTTTCCGATAGCGCTCGCAACCGCGGTCGTAGCCGAACTCGACGAGAGAGCAGCGGGATTCGCCCGTTGGATGCCTTCAGGTCCCGCCGGACTGAGAGGACCGATTACCAGTACGGGTTCCGCGGAGGTGCCATCCTGGGTCAATCCACCAGCACGGCGCGCGGTGACCCGAGCTCCGCCAGTAGGTCCCGATGATCCCGAGGTTCCCTCCATCCACGTGGCGTGATAAGCAAAATTATGCATACGCTGCCGATGAGGGTCGATATCGCTCGAGGGACGCAGGAATTGTGCGAGCGATTAGCTGCGTCTGACTGATTTGGGAGAGAGTGGTTGCGAGCTTCGATTTGTAGGAGGGAGGGAAGCGAGTGTTTGGGACTCCCTGCCGATGGAGGGGGGGTGTGGTTGAACGAGACGGGCCGAGGGGTGGTGGTGGGTTGCGGGAGCGACGCGAATTTCAGGGGACATTGGAAATGCCGAATTTCATACCACGCGGCTCGCGAAGGTGGATAAATTGTCGGCCTGCGAAGTGCCGGTTGGTATTCTGAACGAGGTGAGGGAAGTGCTACACCAGAGTTAAAACTAGTCTATGTTGAATCCATAACATAGATGTCTCTCATTCAACAAAATATAAATGGCACACATTTATGTAGCTTCCCACTTTCATATATGATTAGTAATCACACGCAATTTTGCTTTAAAATTTGTAGCTTTCTACGCCTTTTCCAACTTTACCCCCTTCTCTCCCATCTTCCATCACCTTGACAACACAGTGTGGAGGACGCGTTAGACGATGCGACATGCGACCGCAATATGGAAGGGTTTCTGCGCACCATCAGAATGGCGTCACAACTTTCACCACCCATGGTAAGACTTCCTTGCCAGTGATGCAAAAAAAGGCTCAGGGAAAAAGAAATTGTGAGTTCGAACTAGGGAGTGTGCATTCAACCAAACGGAGGTTACCCACTCTATGTATAGACAAATACGTTTTTTTCTAGATCTTGAGCTCTGTTTCCTGCTATTTGTGTTGTCCATTCCTGATCCAAAATCCAACACATCCCATACACAGCCGGATCTTTTTTACGATTCATCCACCACCCTCCCCCCCACCCCTGTCAGAAGTCTCCTTCCCATTCAACCACAAGCCTTGAATTTCCCTGCCCTGTTGTGCATCCCAATCACCCCATGCAGGTGAGCTTCGCCTGTGTGAAGATCACGGCCCTCTGCCCACTCCCAGTGCTCGAACGAGTCAGCGAGCTCCTGCGCTGGGACCACAAACTCTCCTTTTCCTCCACCTCCTCCTCATCTGCCTCTGTCCCCATGCCGTGGCACCGCCCCTCCCTCCCGATTCTCGCTCCCGAGTCCCCCACCTACTTTACCCCCACCTCCGCACCCTCCCCTCTCACACCCAGCGAGGAAGCCGCCATCACGTCGGCTCATGATAGACTAAGGAAAATCTGTGATGCCTGCGCTGAGGGCGGCTTGCCACTCTTGATAGACGCGGAGTATCAGTCCGTGGAACCCGCTATTGATTACTTAGCGTATGCGCTAATGATGGAGTATAACAAGACGGGTGTGACTGTAACAGGAGGTGGGAAGGAGGGGAGCAAGACCGAAGCAGAGTTGCCGTTGGTGTATTCGACAGTGCAGTGTTACCTGCGGGATGCCAAGCCGAGGCTGGCTGCTAGCTTCGACGCAGCGCAGGAGGATTTGCTGGCTTCAATGCGTCCAAGTACCTTCCATATGGTCCTGTGCGGGATGTCATGCCGTACCTGCTGAGGCGCGCGCATGAGAACAGAGGCGTGTTGGGGAACACTCGTGGAGCGACTATGGCTCAGGTACAGTGGTGTTCTTTTCTGGTACTAAGTATGTGGGCACTCTCATCGATTTTGGCGATCGTTCCAGCCGCAGGTTCGTATTCTTACGGGGTTTAAACAGGATAAGCAGGTTTTAGCAGGTTTCCTGTGCAGTGGCGGCTCTATCAGTTGCCGAAATCTTAGCGAGTGTCCACACCCTAACCCCAGCATTGCATTTAGCATCTCGGATAGTTCAACTGACCACTAAGCATGCAGCTCCCATACTGGTATTCTGCGTGCAAATGATGGTTGGATCTGAGGTTAATTTGTGCCTGTGTCTGTGATTGCAGGGCCGAGCTTATGCGTCGAGTGCGTTCAATGTTTGGAGCTTGAAACACCAGCATGTCCCATATTGCCATGTATATATTTCATTTCGTTGTTTGTGCCAAAGCGTTGTACCTATCGGCTAGTGAACGAGCAACTAGCAAAAATTGGACTCGATGAAAAGCAAAGCAAACGGTTACAAGGAGTGGACCTAAAGGCTCAAATCAACACCGATTGGATTTATGCGTGGAATAGCACAAATATGAAAATCCAAATCAGAGTGAATTTGTCGTCCTATTGCATCTAAAGATAACACTTCATGCTTTAGATGAGTTTTGGTAATGGTGGTGTTGGTATAAGGGTGAAATGTAGATGATTAACTGTTGTGCCCATTATCTCCCTCGGTAACGCACAGTATATCAAGGACTCTGCTTGACTGGAAAAACTCCTCACCGCGCCACCCACAAGGGCATTCGTGAAAATGTCATACAGATCACTGTTTATGAGCCCACATCAGCGCACGCGAAAACTAACACCACTGTTTACTTTCAGCCACACAACCAACGACACGTCAGAGCGACCGAGCCGTAGATCGAGTCATGTAATTATTCCAGGTCGAGAGTAACGAGCACCCGTGCAACCCACTCGCCCCGTTGTTTCTGTGCCCCACCCAGCGCTGTAGAAGGTGAAGCCCTGGTAACATCCCAATACTGTAATGTATTGTTCTGCATAGTTGGATAACCATTTTGATCCTACCTGTTTCGTTAGAACTGGAAATCCTTTGTCTACGGGCAGAAAAAGCTCTACTCCCTTGTGGATGGCGTGCATCGTCCTGCCCTGTAATGCTGAGAAGTTCGGTTTTGAGCTGACCAATCAATGCTGTGGCGATTTGGTCAGGTTGGTCCTAACGGACCATTTGTTTTGTTCGTTTGGAACGAACCCAAACGGACAAACTCTGAGAACGGAAGGAAAAGGCTTCCTCGCATCCAATTGGACGCTGCGTAGGGTCTGGGCATTTTTCTACAATTTCGGTTGTGTTGGCCTGTTTGTTCATTCCATGTACACGTACCGATATATTTGTTCGAGGGATGTGCTAGGTGTATGTGGTACGGGGTGTCTTTTCTTAGCGAGAAGAAAAAACAAATCAGACACTGAGGTAGATTGCCGTTGAAGGACTGACTCCTTTGAAAATGGTGAAGGCGGAGAAGGCGTGGGTCATTCACCGTTTTGCCCATTTCATACATCCTGACCGCACAGAAACACTACATCCCGGGTTCCAGGAACTTGCCATGCCACAGCATTGCGTCGCGACGCGACTCGCAACGCAACGCAACCCCGCTTCCATCACCATTCAACAGGGCATGTCTAGCAAGGAAATGCAATGCAAAATGCAACCAGAGCAGAGCAGCAACAGGCACCGAACAGCAAGAGCAGCAACCAGCAGCTGCAGCCAGCAAAAAAGGGTGAAGGAAGGATTTGTGGAGTTGTTGCAACTATGGAATTATGTCTTCACTCCTTCGAAAGCCCTTATTCGACTGCCTACTTACGTGTAGGTAATCAGTACTTCAAAACCGGGAAACAGTCGTAACAGCTGTATTATTGTGTACGTAGTACTCGTCCAGCGCCATTGTTTCGCTCTTTCAAACTCAGCAACATTCCCTGTAATGGCGCTCGTGAGCTCCGAAGTTCCGCGCGACGACACCATGCGCAGCCGACCAATCCCATGCAGCACGGAAAGGGGGGAGTATACCCCCGCCTTTCCCCCATGCGCGGAACAGCAGAATTGTCATCACGCAGTTCCGCGCCTTGCGCTGATCAATCCCACCCACCAACACCTCCCACCGCCAGCGTCGTCCGCCCCCTACGGTGCGACTGCAGCACGATTCCGTTGCAACGGTCGAGAACACTGTTCCGAGTCTATCGCCAGCCGACGTGGGGAGAAAGTATTAGCAATGATGGCAGTATCGAAGCCTACTAGAAGCGCTTCAGCTACTAGATGGCCTGGCATGCCCGAAGCGACATCTCGCGCCGCGGAAATTGAACCGGATACCCTGGAAACCGCACACGCGGAAGCCAGCACAGCTATTCCCATTCGCGCGGAGGAAACGCGAAACCCTAGTGTGGCGCGGCTCGAAGAATTGTCGGAAGATCGGCGGCACAATCCAGCCGGCGCGCACGAATCAGCGTCGGGAGATCATGGCGGCGGTTCGGAGGCTATAAGCGATCGCGAGCGTCTCTTTCTGCAAGAGCTTCGTCGCAACTCGCTCGAGTCGCGGCAGCGGATCTTAACGAACGTCGCCGACGTGTGGATGTCGCATCAGGAATCGGACATGTGGCTCGGACAGCTTGAATCACTCGCTTCGGCGCAGCAAAAAAACGATAAACCTGTTGCTGTAACGAGCGGCGCCGGCAGCGGTCAGCAACAGCACAGCATGTGGCGGACCGGGGGACTGTACAGATTTGGCAGCGGTACCTTCCGCAAGGCGCACGCCGTGGCGGAGAAGCCTGAGGCAGTGGCGCACCAGCCGCGGGGAGAGCGCAGGCTTAAGCGGAGCGGGGAAAGCAGCAAGAGCACGCAGCGTGAGTCTTTTCCGCAACAGCGGCACCAGCACCAGCAGCCGCTGCTGACGGCGCCGGTGGTGGTAGAAGAACCGAAGAGTTCGCCCCTTGCAGCCCCAGCAGCCCCAGCAGCACAGGGGTTTGCGCGCGCCAGGAGCGCGTCTGGGGGCACCAGCAGCACCTCCACCGGCAGCGACACCGGGGGTGGAAGTGGCGGGACCTTCTTTCCGCGGTCGGGAGGGTTTTTGCGCAGCAGCACCGCTTTAGGCGGTACTATCGTCGTTCCCCGCTCGCCATCGCGCGCGTCTTGGTTATTTGGCTCCACTACTCGCTCCGCACAGGAGCGCAGCACCAGCAGGCTTTCCGTGGACGGCTCTACGTGAGCCTTCGCCTGACGTTTCCGCGTCTTCTTTCCCCTCTATATCCCCCCCAATTTTTCGCGGTATGCAAGGGATGGGGCGAGCTTTATGATGCATCCCCGCACTATGATCATGCGATTCTACAGCTTCTTTGCTTGGAACAGACTTGGCACTGCCTATTTTAGAAACCCTAATCTTCGGCCCACAGTCTTCAGCCAGTCATTACTGCTCAGCCATGTAGGTCCTCATGGTACTGGTATTTTATTTGAGCAGGCGGCGATGTGAGGCTAGTCCAGTGCATGTTCTAGTTGTAGCATTGGACTAAGCATTTATCTCTGTGATTACTCATTAGGTTTCTACGCTAACCCGTCACTCAAGAATGTTAAATTGTAATGTGTTATATGTTGGTAGGCTGTAGTGGGGTAGCCAATATGGGGTACAACCCCAACTAGGGTTTGCTACTTGTACCCAACTGTTTCATTCAATGCATCATTCTTGCCTAGTCCTGTTGACATGGTATTCAGAGCAGGAGGTCCCTAGGACCTACCGACCGTTTTTTTTTAGGGCCCACCACCGCTCGCATGCGGTTACCACGCTACCCCGTGCCCTAGCCTCGTAGCGCCCTCGTGCGCCCTCATTATCGCCCTCGCGCGCCCTCGTTAGCGCCCTCGCGCGCCCTCGTTAGCGCCCTCGCGCGCCTCTCGTTAGCGCCCTCGTTAGCGCCCTCGCCCGCCGCGCTGCTCGTCGCGCCGCCCGTAGCGCTGCCCGTCGCGCCGCGCGTCGCCAGCCGCGCTGCCCGTCGCGCTGCCGGTCGCGCTGCCCGCTCGCTGCGCTGTACCCGCCGCGCTGCCCGCCAGTAGCGCCGCCCATCCGCCGCGCTACCCGCTCGCGCTGCCCGCTTGCAGCGCCGCCTGCCCGCCGCGCTGCCCGCTCGCAGCGTCGCCCGCCCGCCGCGCTGCCCGCTTGCAGCGCCGCCTGCCCGCCGCGCTGCCAGCTTCGTAGCCCGCCCGCCGCGCTGCCCGCTCGCAGCGTCGCCCGCCCGCCGCGCTGCCCGCTTCGCCGCCCGTCCGCCGCGCTGCCCGCTCACAGCGTCGCCCGCCCGTCGCGCTGCCTCTTTGCAGCGCCGCCTGCCCGCCGCGCTACCTGCCACGCTGCCCGCTCAGAGCGCCGCCCGCCCGCCGCGCTCCCCACCGAGCTACCTGCTTGCAGCGTCGCCTGCCCGTAGCGCCAGCCTTCCCCTGCTGCGGCTGCTTGCTTTGCTCTGACGTGCTGTCGCGATGGCTTCCATCCGCGTGCTGTCCTTCGATGCTGAGGGCCGCCCTGTGCAGTTCACCACTTGGCTAGATGACCTGCAGCTGTTCCTCCTGAGCGATAGCAAGGAGCACGTGTCACTCTATGATTACGCATCTGGTGCTGCGCCTGCCCCTCCTGCCACAGCCGAGCTTAGTGCCCGTTCCCACTGGCAGACGCGTGACGCTGCTGCTCGCCTAGCCATTCGCAGTCACCTGCCGTTAGCTGAGCTCGAGCATTTTGGCGACTGCAAAACCGCTAAGGCCCTTTACGACGCTGTCGTTGCTCGCTACTCCTCGCCTGCCACAGCCGAGCTTAGCCGCCTCATGCTGCCTTACCTGTTCCCTGAGCTGTCCACCTTTGCTACAGTCGCCGATCTTATCACCCACCTTCGCACTAGTGACGCTCGCCTGCGTGCCGCCCTTCCCACCGAGTTCTGCGCTAAGAACCC